TATGTACTCCAGTTTTGAATTTGGAAAAGTCAGAGAAGCCCTAATTCGGGAGTGTATATACATGAACCTTCTGAGAAGTAGTTCATGTGTAAACAAAAAAGCATTGCACCTATAAAGAAGGAATATATATATATATATATATATAATTTCAATATTTATAAATAGAATAGAAACAACAGTCGAGTACTTGCGGGCAAGATAAACCTTCCCCCTTTTCGAACATAAACCTTCCCTTGAAGCTACAAAATGGTCTGTTACAACGCTAAACTTTGTTTTTCTTTGTCAGTCACTACTTTCGGGCCAGAAAATGTTCTGCTTAACTTAATATCTAACCAAATGTCTTTCATTATATTGTTCGTGCTACATACAACTTGTGCATTTCGACCCGAGAAATAGCACGTAAACTCACTAATATCTCGGGTCAACATTTTGTACGTCGATGAAATGTATGGGCGTATAGGGCTCAGGATTATATTGCATCACACGTGTGGGTGTCATGACTTCAATTTCCCAAAATCAACGTCAAACGTTAGTGTAATTATAAGAAAATGGAGGAATGAGAATCCGGTGGGTAGCTATAAACATATATCTATGAGCATATTGTTGACTTGTATAATATAGAAGGGAAATATATTAATTATGTCGAGAAAGTAAATATCTCGAAGATTTTTATGGATTACATGACGATTAAGAAGATAAAGCGCAATTAAGTATAAACTAAACAGAGATTATGACTTAAAAAGGAGATTGGATAGAAGACTTTGGAGGGTAAGTGGCGCATGGGATTACCAACGGCCAAGCAAATACACGAACGGGGCAACCATACAAAAGGGACGGGTCATAATATTTTTTTTGTCACTATTTTGGATTTTCAATTATAATGTCGTAATTATAAATGATACTCATGTGTAAGAACGCATGGACCCGCTTATTGTTATCTTTTCACATTCAATGTAATAAAATAAATTCAAGAGTCAATCTTGGTTAAAGCTTCAAAACCAATAATCAACTTTGCACAGCCTACAGACTACAAAGTACGTGGAGAAGTTGAGCTTTTCAGAATACATTTATTTGAAGAGAAAATCTTGCCTATGGTCTAGATTTACCTTCAAACTTAGAGTTTTTTCCTTGTTCTTTAAATGTAATTAATCTATTATCAACATCTTTATTAAAGCTAAGTTTTTTTTTTGGGGGGGGGGGGGGGGGGATTTAATGTTAGTAACAATGGTAAGTTGTTACACCATAGAAGTTTCAAGATTGATTTCAGACTGTATATATATATATATATATATCACCTCAAATCTTTAACAAAAAAACATCACCTCGAATTATTTCTTTCTTATTACTTAAACAAATAATGTACCAAAGTTTTATCCTCGGATATATATATCTAACAATTTATGAGAAATACATTTATATATCATAGGAATAGTTAAGCCTCGTTTTATACACAACTTTGGAGGATAAATCATCTCTACTTGTAATTTTGAAAACCATAGTCTAACATGACGATTAAACCTCAACCACATAATCATTTTTTCCCTGTTTTAAAATTTATAGAAAACCATAGCCAAACTAAAATGATTATGTGGCGTAAATGATTTCTGGTAGATCTTTACAAGAATATCAGGGGAAAAAGCCATTATAATAAAGCAGTAGAAAAGATAATATACAAAAGTACTATGTCGATCGGTTATATATAACATATATTTGTATTGCTGAACTTTAAAACTAGAATATACAAATGTACTATCAATCATAAGTTCTGTTAACATTTGGATCCAATAGTTTTAAATTAGAATAAAGCTTATAGTCAATAGTTTAGCTGTTACAAGAAATAATAGTTCAAAACTATCCTATTCACGTACGTGTTAAATTGAAAAGTACTATGCAGATATTTAAAACTAGTTACTAATACGAAACACACATTTTTCTACTAATTAACACATCTTAATTAAATCGATCATTTTAAAAGCAAAAATTTGTCTAACTTGTAAACCCAAACACACATAATATTTGGTTCATTGGCATTTCCAATTTGTATTTACCCCCAAAAAGAATAGTAAATATATATTTGATATAATTAGAATTAGGATAACAAAGTAAAAAAAAAAAAAAAAAACTAGTTAACTATGAAAGAAAACGTACACGAAACATAATCGCATATTCCACCCCCCAAAAAATGAAATAAACCTTTAGCATAATAATATGTCACCGTAATTAGTCTAATATCCATAAGCATGATGGACCACAAATCGTTATATAATCAGGTAAGGCAAAATATCACAATATCTCTATTTCGATTTTCTGCACCACAACACAAACACAACATTGTTTCTTTAAAACCAAAAAAAAAAAAAAAAAAAAAAACTGACGTCGGTAACATAGCTTAGCTCCAAGCCTCCAACATACAAGATTGTCCCCATTAATTTTAGAGTAATAACTACCACTAAATATAAGATATGGAGATTTGGCACACGTAGTCTTTAAATCGATATTTTACGATTGAAACTCTTTATCTTTCCACTGCCAGGTTTTTTTTAATGGTTTACCATTTATGATTTATAGGGAAAAATTTATTTACTACAGACAAAAATAAGAAATTTGGTTTTTATATAAAAAAATAAGAAAAAATGAGCCGTATATTAAAAAAATAAGTGGAGGCAACTAGGGGAACTTGATGCGGTTAGGGAGACATCAACCCTTTCGTGACCCTTTGAGCCACTTTCACCGCGTTTACATTAATTCATTTTTCCCCTTGCAAAATTTATTTGTTAAATTTATGTTTGTACGAAAAAACCATATTAACATGTATATTAATTTTCAAACCATACCATATTTTTAATATGGTACTATATGAGGATGTAATTCGACATATATATAAAAAACAAGTACAGTACTCCTGTAATTTATGAAAACGCGGAATAGAGAAACAATAATATACTTTCACTATTTTTGAAAGTATGATATTTTACTTTATTTATATACTTTTACAACATTTTTTTTTTTTTTTATTTCTTAACTACTTTTTTGTTTTCTACTCCTATATTAACACTAGTTTTTCTATTTCCAAATAATATAAAGATTTTTTGTAAAACTAAATATATTAATTAAAATCTAAAACATTATACTTTAAAAAATAAAAATAAAAACTAAAACATTAAACTTTAAAAGCCATAACGAGTTCGTGTCTAGAAACATTAACTCGAAATTAAATTATTCCATTTTTGTATAAATTGAGTCTTTATCGTACACCCAATAGTTCTTGCTGCCAAGCATATTCAAAACGCGTGTTTAATTGACTTACCGTCAAACATAATTATCCTGGCGAATATGAGAGCAATTAACAAATATCATAATTAGAATCCCCCTTGTTGTGTTGTTGTTTTGGTGAAAAAGCAGCACTTTTGATTTCATATAACATATTTAATCTGTGTAACGAAATATCTATTAGAGATTAATGTTCCACTATACATATTATATCCTGCTCGTACCCCGTGATATATAATGCACCACTTGACACCAAATACAGCTTATATATCTTTCACCCATATGATATTAGCCATATTGCCATAATTGGACACTTTTACTGTTTATAGTCACATTCAGTTTTGTGTTTAAAAATATGGCACTTGTAAAGTTGGACGTATAGTATTGAATTTTATTACGTCCAAAAAAGAGCAAAACTTTACTCGGAGCTAATTTTCCTGTTTTTACAAGAATAGCAAATTAGATTTATACGATAAAGTAATTGTATCAAATGAACATGTCAAATCAAAATTTAGCTTTCATAATATATAAGAAAGAAAAAAAAAATAGTAAGAACCCATCCTACAATGGAAGATCCAAAATCCATAAAGTTCAATACAGACAAACACTTTGAATAATAGTAGATTTTCAATGTCATTTTAAATAATAGTAGAAAATAACAATGGTTTTGGCGATTTAAACAATGTGCCACTTACATTGGTATATTCACCACAATAATCAAAATGTTGGTGACAAATTAAAATCATGTTTTAGTAGTTTAATATGGAATGGTGCAGTCACACTAAAATTTTGTTGGAACGCCCAAAGTTTTCGGGTCAATTTACCGCTCTCAACGCACATGGTAATATTCCTCTATAGTTTTGGTATGTTCACAAAAGTTAAAACACTAGATGCATCAAGAAAAAATGAATAATACTATTAAAATATTGTAAAAAAATAATAAAATTTTATGCATGAAAATCAGAGCAGGCAGATCCGAGAAAGCTTAGCTACATATAAATATATAACATTCACATTTCGCAATGGCAAGGGTCAATTAACGCATATCGCCTCCCCTGGATATCCCTGTCTGTTTTTGTTTTCTTTTTCCTTTTGTTGCAATATTATTATTATTTTCTAAATCTTGCTATTGTGAAGACTGAAAGACTGTGAAGTGGAAAGATACCACACTAATTATAATCACTATTTTTAAATAATACTACATTAAAGCACTATTAAGTTAAAGTGTTTTAGTTTTACGGGGAAAAAAAATGGAATTAAACCCCTGATGGTTTAAAAGCATATCATAAAGCAGTGGTCCAAGGGATTGCAATTTTTTTTTCTTGTATTTATTTTAACCATAAAGTTGCAATATGTATAATAATCATATGCAGTTTTCGAACATTGTTGTTGTTAGTCAAATTATTATAATTTTTCCTTCTTTATAATGGATAATTGTGAGATTCCTGTCAGCATTATAATAATGTTTGAGGCACTTTCTTTGAATCGTATCTATATCTTAAACTATAGTACATCAAACAAATTGCAATTTTCGTCACTAGGCAATGATTAATGATTACAGTTGATTTAGTTTCATAATCATGTGTTTATTTGTTAGCGGGCGGCAAAAACATAAAAATATCTAATTTAGGCCCAATATAATGCAAGACAAGATCTGTTATTATAAGCCCACAGGGCCGTAACTTTCAAATTCCATTTTTTTGATAATTATAAATGAGTCAGCATTATAGATCGTTGACCGTGGAGTGGTTAGACTTAACATTAAAAAATCCGCACGAGATGCTGACACGTGTCATTCTGATTAAGAAAAAGATTTGTCTCTTACCAGATTTGCTGCTTCCTCCTAATTAACAGCAAAATCCCGATTCGAGTTGAAGAAGCCAACTTAGAAAAAAATCCCAAAAAATCAAAAAATACAAATGGGAGATGAAAATCCGAGGATAATGTACGGTGTGATCATCACCGTGTACGTTGATCGTCAAACGACGGCCGTCCGATCGTTTCGAGCGATACGTAAGAATGAAGGGACGTGGAAGCGTGAGATCGGAAGAACACGTGGCTATGATCGGAGAGCGAACCTGTTAGCGTATATTCGTCAGCTGAGGGCTGAAAGTCTCGCCGGAGATTCGAAACGCGACGGTGTAGAGAGTGACAACATGCCCGAGCGGCCGAACCCGAAGGTAACGTTTTTTTCATTTTGTTATGATGTTTTTTTTTTCATTCAATTGATATTATGAGCTTTTATAACTTAACTGGGCCAGATATGGGTCATGATGACCTGCGTTTATACTTGTGCAAAGATTAGAGAACAAGTAGGCAATTGCGTCTCAATCATCTGATTATTGATATTGCTTAGAGTAGCCTACGTAAATTGTAAAGATTAAACCTCTTACTACGTACTAAATCTTAATTTTTTTGAAATATATTGTTTTTTTCTTTTGTGTGTAGCTAAGTTATTGTTCTAAACCATATTAGTTTGTTATTGTGTTGATTTTTGAAAAATAGCAGAAAAAGAAAAGAAGGTGGATACGGAAAATGATGAGTAAGTTCCGGCTACCGTTTCACCGGGCATTTCGTCGGAAAAATAGGACGTGGAGATACCGCCAGTTTATTCCAGATAAAGAAGGAGAAACAAAGAGCAAGGCTTACAATTCAGATATTTGGGTAACTTCGTGTTCCGATTTATCTATTCTTTTATACAGCTTAACTCGCTTTTGTAATTGAAACTATTCTTAATTTTAATCTTGTTTTCTGTTTTCCGAATGAAGAAAAAGCTCAAACATGTGGTTGGAGGGTTATCACGCGGCTGTGTACGAAGTAGTAGACGAGACACAAAACAAGAATCAAGTTACTACAGCGAGGAGTAATTAGTTAAGTACATCATTTCTTTTTTTTCACATGACCTTTTTATTTTTTTTCTTCCAGAACTTAAGGAAGATGAAAATCAAATCAATACATAAAAGCAGGAAATAAAAAGAATTTGGAAAAAAAGGCATAAAAGATCATGCCTCATTATACAACAATGCAGAAACAAGGATACAATTACACATAATAATTTACATAAAATTAAATTAAAAAAGGGGACAACAGCGAGTTTTTTTTTTCCCAATTCCCTGTATGGCTAAGTGGCTAGTCATGTTATCCTTTTATACTTCTCCTGCAAATTTTGAAGTCAACTGTAATAATGCTGGAGAGAATTTTGAGAAATATGCAGAGGAGATTTTTGTTTGCTTCGGTTAAAATTTAAAGTTACCGACCTCTATTACCGCCTCTCTGGTTCCTTGGGAAGAGCAAACGGCGAAGCGAACCAGTTGGAGAAGCAGGGGAACGAGACGACGATGCGAAGTCGCTTGATTCCACATCGATAAACCGAATATGATGGCTTTGTCCTTGCCAAGTTTCAAGATCAATTATGTCATTGCTCAAAGAGTCATCCGAACTGTAACCTTCTTCTTCGTCGTCTTCATCGTAAACAGCTCGACCACGCGGCTCTATGACATAATCTCCCAACACAACAGCGCCTGGAGTCGATGACATTATCGTGCTTATCACATCTCTCCTGTCTCTTTCCCTCTCGAGCCTCTTCCATTTGGTTTCCAGAGCTGGATCAACAGCTCTCGGGCAAGCATGCGGGTGGGTTTCCTTCATGTGTTTCTTGAGCTTTTTGAAGTTTCCAACAAAGGAGCAGTCTTCCTGCATACAGGTCCTTCTCTTGGAGTTGAAATGCATCCGGGCATCTTCCACAACAGTCAAGCCTTTCACTTGACCTCTGCACAGCGGACACAGAAGCTCGGGTTGTCCCGAGTTTTCGCTGCCGTATGATTTCCTGTATTGGTCGAGGCAGTTCGCAAATCGGCTGCTTGTTGCGCACATGTATGGACGACATCCTTTGTGATGGGACGAACACAGGAGAAGAACAGCGTTGTGTGGAGACTCCAAACATACTGGGCAAGTTGACCCCGCCCATTCTTTCTTGCAACAAGACGGTGGTGATGGATATGGAGTTGCAATGTGAGAGCTACGATTCACTTTCTTGATTTTCCCCATTCGATCAATAAAAAAACCTATTCAACAAAAGAAACCAGAAAGGTGAACGAACAAGCCCATCATTCACAATTCTACTTAGTGTAGTATCCATGTGAATTCACTAATATCGCTCTCTAAACGAACAGTTGACCATGGATCGGAAAAGATGATAATTCATAAAATCAAGCAGAAGCAATGCTCATTAGTAGCCATTGGCCACGGATCTGAAAATCTGACTCAGGAAGTCATGCAATAGCTACCAGATAACTACACTTTACTTGAACGTGATCGAGTGAGCGTTAACCGGATCCGGAAAATAGCAATCACAAGCAAAAGACACGATTAGATCCAAAGAAAATGAAAAACTCTAGATCTGTAGAAGCAATTCTGGCAATTTCAACCAATAAATCATGCAAAATTAAGCAAAATCATCAATGGCAACGCAGATTCTCGAATTCCACATATAAGATCGAGACGAATCATACAGTTCAATGTTCGACAAAAAATGACTCGAGATCTTCGCTCAGAACGGAATCCTAATCGAGAAACTAAGATAGATCTCTCTCCCGAAATGGAAGATCGGGGACTTCTAGCGAATCTTATCTATAGATAATTCGAGAACGAGACGACGAATATCAACAATATAATAGGTTCACAGATGCGGAGAAGGCGCGGGGAAACAGTACCGGAGATAAGCGGAGGAGAATCGCGGTGATTGCCGGAGGAGGAGAGAGCTCCGAGCTTCAAGGATGTTCGAAAAAAGGGAAAAGCGATTGCTTCTACAAATTGACGTACGCAAACTAAGCCAGAGACTCTTATTTTTCCTTTTGTTTTTAAAATAGCGGTTAGATTCCAAATGTCGTCATTTTGACGCAACCGTTTTTCTCATCCAAATTCTCGTATTGAGGGAGTATCTCGCGGTACGATATAAGCAAGCGTAGTGTTCCGAATATTCTGATATAAGGGGCTGTGTAAACCCATTGCACTCGCGGTTATAAGAGGCCCACATTTAGGAGTTAACCAAAATACTAGTATTCGTATTTTTTTTTTGGTAAAAGAAAATAAAATTAGGTTTCGAATGAAAAATTTAAAACAATTAGGGAGTAAAATAATTTATGTATTTTTTACTAAACTATCATAGTTTGTGTGTCACAAAGTGAGAAAGAATTATTATATCCATTCCATTTATTAAAACCTGAAACATGAGCCAATTTTTCTTGAAGAAAAAAAACCATCTACAAATTTTTAAATATTTCTTAGCTTATAATCAAAGTAATAAAAGTTTTAAGAAGATTATCCTGTCATATATAAAAACTAAAGAATAGGAATATATAGTACCAATATAAGAAGAATATGGCTTCATTCTTAGAGGGTTTTTATTAATCTAAAATATAAACATAATAAATTCAAGCAGTTCAAACCGGATTGTACATAGTTAGTTAATTTTTAGAGAAACAAATAGAAACTTAACCAAAAAAAAAAAAAAAAAAAACAGATCCAAACTGGTACGGGTGTTTTAATTAGATTGGTTTATATGTTCCGGTCAGACTAAATGATCAAATAAACCAACTAGGATTAGCTGATCTCTGTCCCTAACTTGCCAGAGACGCTTACATTAATTCCACATATCATAGACGGGAACCATGTTGGGAGTGAAGAAGCCGAAGCTCTTTTCAACCTCTCCTTGCTTCAAATCCTCATTGAACATCTCGAAGAAAAACGTCACCACGGGAACCGCAGGCCGCCTCGGCGTAGCCCTAGTACCCGTACTGATGAGTTTCTTAAGCAACCCTCGATTATACGCACGTGCGTTCTCCACGCTAGTGTACGGCGGATTCCCTCTCGTAGGCCAGCCAGTCTCCGCCACGTACACCTTCACTCCTCCGTGGCCGAGTTTCTCCAACGCCGCGTTGAAACTGTCCACCGCCGCATCGAATAGGTTCGTGTACTGGTAGTTCCCGTCGACCACGACCGGTTTGCTTGAACCGAACGTCGCGTATTCCAATGACACGTGGCTAGGATCAGACGCGTAGGCGAAATAAGGGTATATGTTGACCATGAGTGGCGAATCTGTAGAGCTTAGAACCGATGCGATCTCGGTTAAAATCTCGGTTATCTGCGGTTTAAATACTCCGGCTGATGGTGGGTAAGAGTTCGCGAGTGAGGCTGCGGATAAGACAGTGGTGACGTGGATCGTCCTTGAGATTCTGGTTTCGGTCAACGCTTTTTTTATGTTTCTCATCGCTTGTGGCACGTAACGTCCGATCTCTGATTCGATCACTTCGTTTCCCACCGTGATCCAGCTGAAAGCGACGTTGTATGGTAGTATAAACGTTTTGACCCAATACAAAGCGTATTCGTATTGATCGGCTAATGTTTTGATCTCTTCGTTTTTTGGTCCGGTGGCTACGAGAATATTGGTTCCTTGTAAGGACTTGAGGAGGTCAGGGAATGGCTCGTACAGTCTTATCCAACCGACGTTGATTTTCTGGTAAAGAGATACTATTTGGGCCGGAGATGGAAGATTATCTCCGTTTCTACCGGTACAAACTCCGGCGAATCGAGTGTTTGCGGCGCCGACTCCGATTGATCTGGCTGAAGTAAAGAGAAGAGTGATTACGAGGAACATTGTCGAGTTGCTCATGTTTGGCTCCTTATGGTAGTGTTTGTCTGTGTATGATTAATATTTATGTTTTGTAGTTTAATGTGGACTTATATACAACTCTTAAATATGTAATGAAGGTAATATATGGAAATATTGTTGGTGAATCTCGTGTCTATTAATGATATGTATATGGGATCTATAATGAATTTAGGACAGATTGAGCACGTTTCATATGCTGCTTCTGTTTCATTGTGTATGCACAGTTACAAAAATTTATGAGAAAAAAAAAAGTTGATATCTTGGCTAGTTTAGATTTTAGATTTTATCATTCTTTAAATTTTTGCTTGAAAATAAGATAAAATTAATTAATTTTTAAAAAATGACTTGAAAAATATCTACAATATTAATGAAATCTGCAAAGTACTAAAAAAGTGCGAACTAGGCCACTCAATCCAACGCCATACTAGATCCTTCAAAAAGATTTAAGAGTTTGGAACCAATTATATTGAAGAATTGTCATGTTGGTTCTCCCACGTCAGTTGTAAAAACTTTGATATCATGTCCACCTACAGACTAAACACTTTCAGTTAGCGTGGATTAAACTACCAGTTAACTTATTTTAGCTTTCAATTAAGAGTTTAAGTTTAAATTAAATAGTTATTCACTGCTTTTTTCTCTTGATTTGTCTGTGTTGTTTGAAGACTTTTAGTTTGATCATCTTTATATCACCAAAAGAAGAAAAACAAAATCACAACAATTAAATGCAGAAATAAATTTCAGCATCTTGTCTAAATTAATTCTGTAGAATAAACAAAAGTAAAATCACACTAACATATAAACTGTTTTAAAAAGATTTTAAAACACTAGTGATAAAAAGAAGTCCCAAATTCTACGGTTGTGTCGGGTCTGCGAGGTTTCCGCGTAGTTCCTCCACAAATTTGAATCCCTAAATTGTACCCATCACTTAGGAGGTGTATTCAATTTAACATTTAAAATCATTTGAAAGGATTTAAGTTTTAATGAGTTTTTAGATGATTTGATTGAATTATGGAAATTATTATGATTTGATATCAAAATTCTATCAAACTCCATCTAAAACCATGAGATTTAGATTCTTATATTTTTAACTAGGTTATTCCATCAAAACATCTTAGAGTCACTCCAAGTTTTTTAAAATTTACTACTTAAATTATTTCCAATAACAATGAATTTGAAGTTACATTTTATAATCAATAGTTCAATAATACTGAATTTTAAATAATTTTTTAAAAAATTATGTTTTCATAACATATATAATTTATGATTTTAATACAAATCACTATAAATTCTATTTTGAATACATCCTCCTTAATTTGGTGTGTGTAAGAGATTACAGAGAATTTATGAATATGATTCTTCTGATATTTGTGTGTATATGTGAAGATGTTCATGTTGGTGAATGCGGAATGTATGTAAGGGTAATGTTTAGGAAGCGTGCGTTATTACTTAAAGACATTTAATCGTCGATATCATGATATAATCAAATTCTCAGGCATGGATTGCAACATTCAAACAAATAAACAGTGATGATTACTTAAATAGTACAATATAGAGCAAGTTACACAAATGTAAACAAAAATGAATTGGAAAACAAATCTTTTATTAGGAAAACTGGCTAATTTTTTTTTTTAAAATAACGAATACATTTAATACGTGATTTCACCTGGTTTTGTAATCTAATGAAACAATACAAAATCGCGTTATAGCTTTGTTATTCCACGGACGTTGAAACTTAGAGTAGATGACCAACGAAAATATATATATATATATATTATTGAAAGTCATATATATATGTATACCAGTAATGATATTAGCGCCTATTGTAGAATAACTTACGGGTCACTTCACTTGTTATTGGTTGATGACGAGATGCAATCTCATTATCATTCACATTACATCACACATGAATGATATATGTTCCAAACAGACATGCCAAAAACAACATAGATCCAAAATGTGGAAGAAACCCATCATTCCACATAAAGATTAAGACCTGATCATAGGCAGTCAACGTTTTAAACATCTTACTAATTACTAGTTCATTGGGTTGTGTAAGAGTTTTCCCTATTAAAACAAAGATTACTTTATCACCAGCTATATTAATTTCCACAAACGAGGCTCCTCAAAATCGGTAAATCATACACGGTACTTTTAAAATAACGTTTTCCATAAATAATTGAAATAACCTTATCTTAATTTATATATGCATTAACAAAGCCAGCTATATTCCATTTCATTCCGTCATTAGTTTGGCCATCTAATTTCTTGTCACTCAATTAAATTCCAGAGCCTTTAACGATTGTAGTCTAATTAGTGGGCTCTAAGAGTCATTTTCATATTAATATGTATCATATGTACATCCACATGCAATTAATACATCCTCCTCCTTGTGATACAATCACAATCAAAGTTTTTTTTCCCTTTGTTCCGAACTAGAGCAAATCCAACAAGAACCAAAAATAGTGGTATCGTCATAAACACTACGAAGGCACCAAAACCGAAAGTTAAAAACCAAAATAAAAGTCTGAAAGGAAATCATATTTGGATATGTATGGACTTCTGAAAAAGGTAATGACCAATTTCACATTTTACTAAAAAAAGAGGGATCATATTTTAATTAAGGAAAGGGTACGAAAAGAAAAAGACTGGAAAGAATGAATTAACGTGCTCGTATCTCGTGAGTCATCTAACGAATTAAAACGTAACACGTGTCGAAACAGAGGAGGTGCACGAGTGCTACCCTACGCCTCACACCTGCCTATCATATTCTCTGAATAAAAGCTGGAAAAAAAAAATTCTGCCAAAAATGAACCGTTCTTCTGTTGCCTGCAAATAACGCGAAAATCTCTCTGGAAAAAAAAAAAGGAAAAAAAGAAAAAAAAGAAAAAGAACCGAACCAGTCGTGGGAAGGATCCGAAAGAACATGAACCAGAGAAATTTGAAGAAACCCTAATCTTAGCCACGCTTTTATCCATCTTTTCTTTTCTTCTTCCATCGTTCTAATCTGAAAGGCGCCAAGATTGTTACGGGGCGGAGCTAGGCTAGGGTTAGGTTTAGGCTTCGGAAAATTAGGGTTAGGGTTTTGATTACCGGCTGTTTCTCCCGTTATCTGGGAGGTGCACGAGGAGGAAAAATTGAAGGCGGAGTCATTTCTGGGCGATTGGGGATTTAGGGTTAAGTGCTCCGTTTTATGGGCCGCGCGGGAGTTTATGGTGGTGGTTTGTGTCGGTTATGAACGTTGACCAATGCCAGTGGCCGACGAAGATGATGGGTAGGGGAGTGGACGGAGGTTGTGGTACTGAAGAGAGGCCTTGTCGACCACTTCGCAGGGCTACGCTTGCGAAGGAAAATGGGGATAAGTGCTACGAGGATAAGGGTTCGCCGGAAATCGATTTGTTAGCTCAGGCCAGCAAACACCTCTCAGAGAGGTCTCCGTATGATGCTCCTGAAGACGGCTCTACTTTGAGGGTAAGTGTGCCTACTCTGCCCATTGCGCTAGCTAATTTGCTCAACCAGACTGATAACAAGAAACGGCACAAGAAGTCTCACTCTGGGACGGAGAGCAAGAAGAAGAAGAAGTCTTCTAGGCAAGGGGAGAAGTCGCGAGCTGGGAGCATCTGGGTTGAGCATCATGACTACTTTAGGCGCTTAGAATTGCCTGATTTAGAAACTTTGTCAGATTTAGCATCTCTACGGTCTTTATCTTCTAAGAACTGCTTTTCAGTTCCATCGGTGGGATACGAATCCATTGATATTCAACAGAGGGAGACTGATGCCAGTGCAAAGAACGAGGATGCTGTTCTGGAAGAAACTAGAGACTTTCTTAGCAAAGAGGTATCTCAAGGCGCAGTGAAGAAAGAAGAGGTTAACGAGGATGTTGCGCAGCCAATGAGTGTTGACAGTGTGGGGGATGAAATCTCCTCTGGGCCAGTCTATCCTGGTAGCTTAGAATGGGTTTTAGGTAGTAGAAATAGGATTTTGTTGACATCAGAAAGGCCTTCCAAAAAGCGGAGGCGTATTGGTGCTGATGCAGGTTTGGGAAAGTTAGTGGTTGCTTCTGGCAAAGGGAATGCATTGTTATGTGATTTTTGCTGCACTGGTGATGCCAAGGAATATCATAACCAGTTGATTGTTTGCACTTCCTGCAAAGCTATGGTTCATAGAAAATGCTATGGTGTGGTTGAAGATACAGATGAATCTTGGTTGTGCTCTTGGTGTGAGCTGGGGAGTGGTCGTAGTGATCCTGAAAGACCGTGCTTGCTCTGTCCCAAAAAGGGTGGCATCCTGAAACCTGTTCACTCGAATACTGAGAATGGTGGGTCAGTGGAGTTTGCTCACCTGTTTTGCTCTCTGTGGATGCCTGAGGTGTATGTAGAAGACTTGAAAAAAATGGAGCCTATCATGAATTTGCCTGGAATAAAGGAAACTCGGAGGAAGTTATTGTGTAACTTGTGCAAGGTGAAATCTGGTGCTTGCATTCGGTGTTGTAATGGTATGTATTGTTGCTTTCTGTGCATCCAGTCTACTTATGAGCATGAATAACATGAATATTCTTAATGACAGGCCCTGTCGTATAGTTTGGGTCTTTTACTTAAGTTCTTATTCCTTGAAACATCTTTAATTGTGCAAAAGAATACTCGTACGACAAACAAATAGCGAGTACTGGTTCTCATTATCTACCGTTGGAAAAAGCCTACATTTCACCTGCAATTGGGGTTCATCTGGCTTTATTGCTTTTGCATCTAGATTTTGTTTCTTACATGAATATTTTGCTGCTGCATTTACTGTGAAAGTGAAATTGTACACAGCTTGGGCCTAACTAAAATCAATAGGCAAAGGACGTTACCTTTCTCGGCTCTCCATGTTCTTACTTGATGTACTTATCCAAACATATGGCTTCATCGTGGAACTACTTGTGACACTTTTCTTTGATTCTTTGGTGAATATCAGATTTGTAATTAATGCTTCATTACTATCTCTTGATCATAGGAGCATGTCGAACGTCTTTCCATCCTATATGTGCAAGGGAGGCAGGGAATAGGCTAGAGCTCTGGGGGAAACATGGGCGTGATACTGTAAGTTTCATCACGTACATAACAGAATCATAGACATTAGTACTGTTCTTTCTTTAACAATATAAGAAAAACTTGTAGGTTGAACTGCGAGCTTTCTGTTCGAAGCATTCGGAGATTCAAGAAAGTGGAAGGTCCGTAGAGGGAGGAGAAACTAATGCTGCTAATGGTCGTTCTCCTGTTTGTCATCTTCCATCAGAATCTGTAAGAGAAGGTCACCTAAGTAATGATGAGATGGGAGTTGACGTAGGAACACCGGGTACAGGTTCTGATATTTCGAGAAACAGTGAGTTGCGAGAACTGGAATCACCGCGTTCAAACTTCAACTGGCCTGCAACAGACAATGTGGAATCAGGGATGACTGGGAGAAGCACTGATACTGAAGGAACTCTGCCTGAGTCTCTTAGTTTTGGATTGATTTTGAAAAAGGTGTGCATATTCTTTAAAGTTGGATTAATTGTACCTGTTGACTCTCTTTCTCACTGATTCACATATTTTTAGTTGATCGACTTGGGGAAAGTGGATGTGAAGGATGTGGCTGCAGAGATTGGGGTCAATCCTGATGCTTTGAGTGCCAAACTTATGGTAACGAGTATAACTTCTCACATACCTGCTTAAAACCTCTGTGTTCTCATTATGGGTTTTTGTATATTGATTTCAAAGTTTTGCGCTACAGGATGGAGACTTGTTACCTGATTTACTAGGCAAGATAGTGAAATGGCTTACCCAGCATGCACACATGGGCACTGGGAACAAAGGAGAAATTTTTAAAAGTACGAACACTACTAAATCTGAGCGTCGGGTAGCTATCTGTACTGAAGGCCTGGTGATGTCAGATTCTGTCACAAAGGCGTTTTCTTTGGAGCGAACACTTGAAAGCAATATTTGTAATAAGAATACGATATGCACCTCTACTGAAAATTGTACTGGTAATGGTATTGTGGTTGATGAAGCTAAAGCTAATAGGCCAGTCTTAAAGAATGAAAGAAGTGGGAATTTGGCATCTGATCATTCTTCAGAAGAACAGGTAATCTCCCATGGTTCATCACAAATAGTTGTTTCTTGTTAGTTATCAAAGGCTTTAGATCTGTCACCACGGTTCAATCAGCTGTTTTGGTATATTTTTGTATGCACAAGGACCTGCTGATGAGGTATTTGACGTTGTGCCTTGTTTCTTATATTCAGAAATCAGTAGTGCTTGATCAGGAAGTTCATCTCGGGAAAAATTCAGTTCATCTTTCTGGTATGTTCTTCTAACTTTTCACTATTTCTTCTTGCATATCCCATGTAGCTTTCCTCCATGTATGTTCTTTTGTTTTACATAGTTGCTTGGAGTTTTTTTTCTATCTGAGTATGTCTCTTCATCGTCTAGTGTTTATTTCACTTCATTATGTTCTTAGTTGATGCCTTGGTGGTAGCTGCTGTTGATCTTATTTTTAATTTGCTGCGTAGATGATCACGGAGAACAATCAAACTCCGGTTCTTCAGGAGTCATGCTGGAGAATGCCTTTTCTTTGGGGCCAAATAATTCTCAGAATCGTGGAAATTTGAACTGCCCAAGTCCTATCATCTTGGATCTCCTGTAAGCTTCTATACATAATTGGGAGACAGTCTCTTTTCTTCTCTCGGGTACATAAGCATTCTGCCTACTAAATCACTTTTATTTATTTTTTTGATGCAGTGATCATGATGCATATCCTGGTTTCAATCCTCATCCTTATATCCATAAAGAATTGTCAGAGATGGGCAAAGGAAAAACCCTGAAAAGCAGCGCGGATTCTTATGTGGATAGTATTACAACCAAACCTGATGGTAGAGACTTTATGATTTATGCTACAGCTTTTAGAACATTTGGTAACATTATAACATTTGGCAGGCTCTGAAGAAGGAAATGAACATCTGCAGGACGATGGCGATTGCACTATCTGTTGTAATCACCAAAGTCAGAGTGCAGACTGCGGAGAGACATTCTGTCAGTTATCCAAAGCTAGGAAGTTGGGCATACTGGATCTGTCTCCTGAAGATGAAGTGGAAGGAGAACTTCTATATTATCAGCTTCAGTTACTTGACACTGCAGTTTCAAGAAAGCAACTTTCTGGTGATTTTATTGCCCATTGTTATTTGCATGGTCCCAGTCTTCATATTTTCTTGTCCTATATAGTTCCTGTTATATTTTTCTAAATGCGGCACCCTTTTCTCAGACAATCTAGTCTATGGAGTTACCAAAAAACTGCCCCTGGAGATTGATGAACAGCATGGACGAAGATGGGATGATGTTCTCGTCAACAAATATTTCCATGATGTCAGGGAAGCAAGAAAGCAAGGGCGGAAAGAGAAAAGACACAAACAAGCCCAGGCTGTTCTAGCTGCTGCTACTGCTGCAGCAGCAACATCTTCTCGGAATACATCGCTTAGGAAAGATATGTCAGAAGAACCTACACAACAAGAGGTTGATGTTGTTACGTCTAGATTTTTTCCTCAATGTATTTATCCTTCTTGTGCCATGTTTCTTATCCTTTGTCATTCTTGCTGGTTATATATCGGACAGATGAGTACTTCTAGACGTAAAGTTACTGGCAGCTCTCATGTAGTGCCACAGACAAAGGAAACACTTTTAAAGATGGCTGTTTCCGGTCCACCATCAGAGAAGCGGTCAGATCATCGTACACCAGACTTTTCATTAGAAAATCCACGAAGTTGTGACATCTGCAGACGCTCGGAAACTATATGGAACCTGATTGTAGTGTGCTCTAGTTGCAAGGTGGATATACATTTCCTGTGAATAATATATAATTCTTAATCAAGGCATGATTCTCTTCGAGGGACAGCTTTTATGCACGGTATGGTCTCTGATCAGGCTCCAATTACAGGTTGCTGTTCACATGGATTGCTACAAATGTGCTAAAGAATCTTCTGGTCCTTGGTACTGTGAACTGTGTGCGGAATCTACTGGTTCTTTCAATTTTTGGGAAAAGCCGTGTTCTTCCACAGAGTGTACTTTATGTGCTGGCACAACTGGGGCTTTTAGGAAAGCCACGAATGGGCAGTGGGTACATGCATTTTGTGCTGAGGTGAAGTTTTCTACTACAGCAGAAGTTATTTGCAGGGTACGAGTATCCAGTAATGAACATTGCAAATAATTTGGTATTTTAATTTCTTGCAGTGGGCTTTGGAATCAACCTTCAGAAGGGGGCAAATAAATCCTGTGCAGGGAATGGTGGGTTTATATTATTTTTACTGAGTAATCAGTATCATGTGTAAGCTATCTTACAAATGCTAAAGCTTAATGTATGATGCTTTGCTAGGAGACTTTGGCCAAGAACAAGGACACCTGTTGTGTATGCCAACGGATATATGGTGCATGCATTAAGGTACTAACCCTTTCGTACTTTCTATTCCAAAGATTGGGACAAAGATTGAACAAAACTTTTATGTTGTCAATTTTACAGTGTAGTTATGGTAACTGCCAGACGACATTTCACCCCTCCTGTGCAAGAAACGCTGGCTTTCATATGATTGGTGGTGGGAAACTTCCACATAAAGCGTACTGTGAGAAGCATAGCTTGGAGCAGAAAGCAAAGGTCTTATTTGTCATCTTTATAGTCATATTCATGATGGCCTACTTGTATCATAAGGTTGCTTAGATCTGTCTGACTGTGTTTGCAGGCCGAATCTCAGAAACATGGTGGAGAGGAGCTGAAAAGTCTCAAGCATTATAGGGTAAGAATTCGTAGCGACGGCAAAATGATTTTGCTCTGTTCTCTTGTCAACTTTTTTTTTAACTCTTGAAGTTTTATGCTTAATCTTTTCCAGGTTGAACTTGAGAGGTTACGCCTTCTGTGTGAGCGGATAGTCAAGAGGGAGAAGTTAAAAGTAAGTAAAACCACCGAAACCCTAAATCTTCCTTTCATTGAAATGAAACAAATGGGCGAGAGTTGACCTTTTACTGGTATGGTATAATTGCAGCGAGAGTTGGCGGTTTCCTCGCATGAAATACTCGCTGCCAAAAGGGATCACGCTGCACGTTCGTTAGCAGTCCGGAATCCGTTTCCTCCTCCAGAAGTTTCGTCGGACTCAGCTACAACGTCAATAAAAGGTCATCAAGATAGTAATATATCTGGCAGTGAAGCAATACAGAGGTCAGATGATATCACCATTGACAGCACAGCCTCTGTTAAGCGCCGAGGGAAAGGTCCCATTTTGATGGACACTGATCAGAAAACCGACGATAGTGCCACTTCCAAGGGTCGGTATTCCCGTAAGCCAACGGAAAGCCAGATATTTTCCGGGAAAACCGTTCCCCGCAAGCATTGTATAGTGTCGCCTAGTGTATCAGAGGATGGAGATAAAGACTCAAAGCCCAAGAAGGTGAGGAGAATCTCTTTGTCCTAAAGTTACATGCATCGTAAGTTGGACTCTTTCTGCTCAACACAAGCTCATTCATGAGAGATCTTATACTCGTTTGTGTTGATAACTGATAATAGCAGCATGTAGAAACATTTGCCAAGGAGCTTGTGATGACATCGGATGAAGCTTCTTTCAAAAACCGGCGGCTCCCAAAGGGATACTTCTACGTTCCTGTTGATTGCCTGCAAGAAGACAAGCCGGGGAACCAGAAGGCGGCGGCGGCTTCGCCTGACAAGCCAATCAACCAGATGGCCTCTTCAGGTGATGACCCGTCAGGTAAAGACGGCTAAAGCTTGAGAACATACGTACTGGGCTCATTGCTCTTCACAGATACTGCCCATTGGTGGACATCGCCTTCTGCGCCCTTCCCAAGGATTCACCAACAAAAGAACAGAAGCTACGACTGAGACTCTCAGCTCAAACGGCTATTGTGAAGATTTTGAGAGTTGAGAGTAAAGAACAAAGGCTTCAGATTGGATTTTAGGGTAGTGAGGAAAAACGCTCCCTATGACCTTATTAAGATCGATCACGTGTAGTTCTGTTTGTATAAAGAAATGGGGAAAAAGGGTTTGCATAAGTGTAAATATTCATCATTAAATTGTGTCTAAAAATCTGACAAAGGGAAATAATAGGTTTTTTCTTTCTAAAAATTCTTTGGTTATGCATTTTCCTCACACGTTAATTTGCCTATTGGCCTCATTTTTAACATGTGGTAAACCAAGTAGAAGAATAGAAGAACGTTAGATCAAAAATTGATAGACGATTAGACAAATGCAGGGAACTATCTGAAAGAACTCTTTTATGAAATGTATTTGATTTTTTTTTAACTATGGTATCATGTCATGTTTATAGTATTAATTATATCTTGAAACTGATTCATGTTTCATTGGGGTCACTAACCTTTTGCAGACGAACCAACCAAACCGATTAAATTTCTTTTTTGGGTAGATGGATAACAAAGCTGTAGTAGTGTGTGCGCAAAACCATATCTGTAAATTTGTTCATGTGGACAACTGATTGAAACAGACATTTTCTTGTACACTCTGCAGTCAATCTCAAGATGCTAAACCCCGATCTATGGTTCATATTTGCGAGTTGCATGTGAGAATTACACTAGTCAATAGAGATTAGAGGCAACAAGATTTCAAGTGTAAAACTTGGCAATTCTTATCCCATATTTTTGTTGGTGCAATGGTAGTACATCATGATCCAAACTTGGACAATAATTTTGTGTTTTCAATGGTAAGCAATGTGGATTTTTATTCTTAGTAACTACTCAAATTCTTATTTGGGAGGTATTCGATTAAAGAATTCAACTGAATTAGAAGGAATTAAGCTTTCTATTAAATTTTAGTGTTATTCAATGTTGTATTTTACAAATTCTTTTAAATTTATGTGTTATTAGATTTAATATTTGACAGTCGTTTTTCTAAATTACTTTAAATTCTAGTGTTATTCAATTTAATGATTTTTTAATTCTATTAATTGTTAGTGTTATTCAATTTTAGTTTTCTTCCTAGACTATTGTCATTTTAAAGAAATTTAATAGAATTTTAATGAAATTTTCTAAAGAACCAATTCCTATCATTTTTGCTATCATTTTGATAGAATTGGTTTAAATTCTCAACATAACTTTAAATTACTTCAAAATATATTATTTTTTAATTTTTTTTGTATTCTCTTAAAATCAACCATCCAATACCCCACCTTATTTGATTTATTGAGTATGACGTACTAAACCGACGGTGGAAAAGGCGCCCAAAATAAATTCACTTAATAGTCAACAAAACAACAATATTGGCCTAATTTGACGTTATTGGCCTAATTTGACGTTATGACAACTGATGCGGATTTGAACTTTGACCACAATTTCAAATGTTAGAATACACACAGAGCAAAGCAGGTAAACAAGCACAATAGAAAAAGTGAGTTTCAGCAAGATGTTGTATCTAGACTTTTTTTTGTTGTTGATATGTTCATCAATATTGATATGTGTAACAATGAAATTGGATGAGACGATGAGTTTCTGATCATCTGCAAAACAAGATTATTACCCACAGCAAAAATTTGCTATCTATGTCCTCTAAATTGTATCAGAGTTCTTCTGGTTCTCTGGAATTTGAGCAATAACTTCCTCTTTAAGGCAACATCATTTTGAATCTAATTAGTATTACGATAATTGGGTATGTTAATATTATAAAGCAAAAAAGGAATTTTGTCTTATAACCATTTCCTCACTAAAACGCGAATTGGGCGGAGGCTTACAAGTTACAATTTTGTCACTTGTGTTGGTCGCTTCTGGGACCAATGCTTCTCCTGAATACAAATTTCCTTAGTTTTCAAATCCAAAAGCAATCAAGAACAACGTCCATACATAAAGCATCCTAATGTCAACATATCTGAAATTTCTATACACTTATGAGAAGAAAAAAAACAGGACAAGGGGAATGAATCATTCATGGATCATGGTTAATGGAAGCCTCATATGTTTATGTTTCCAATGATACAAATAGCTTTAAGTCGACAATTGAAGTAGCACTACAAGATAATTGAGAAGTTTATGTTTTCATTGTTTCTCTCCTTACTTGTCGCCCACTCCTCATTGTTGAATTGGGCCTCCTAATTGGATATTGTACGGCGAGTCGCTAAGCATCTTTTTTTTGGTAGAAATTATCAAAAGTGAACAGAAATCCGATTTGTTAGGGAATTTGGAAAGTAATTAGTTACGCTAAGTTCTGAATTATCCGAGTCGGGGTTGCAAAAAATATACGCTTATTATAAAAAGGGCACAAGCAGATTCAATTAGTAAAGAAGCAATGGACATTATGAAACTTTGTCTGGCTAGGCTCGAGCTTTACAAGATTGATGTGCCTGGTGAGAGTGATGCGGGGGTTATGATATTAAGTGGTAGTCCGGGAGGCATAAGTGAACGGATTCAGTTGATAAAACACGCAGGACAAGGACGAGGAAGCGGTCCAAGAGCTGGATTCTCCAAAGCATTCGTTGATAGATTAGATTGGTTACTCTTTGGGCGCAAAGATCGGAAGTTATTGGTGAAACAGATCTTCGACTACATCGTCCCCAACTTCTGTTTCAAGGATCTTGATATTGTGCCGCCCGCGTGTCCTGTCCTCGTCTTTCACTTTTATTACAGACAAGAACACGAAGACGAGGTTCGTTACGTTGATATCAGACGCATTGTTTGGTTCACGTTGAGAAGCAGAAACCCTGCTCTGATATCCGAAGGTGTATTAGCCGGACCAGCTGTACCAATTGCTCCACCGACGACGGAGATCCTAGATTCTTACCAAAGCTCGGAACCGTGTCGTCTTTGTGGGGTAGGGTTTCCGAAAGAAGACGAGATCGTTCATAAGACGAGATGCAATCACATCTTTCACGCGACTTGTATCTCTCCTTACTTGTCGCGCACTCCTCATTGTCCTGTTTGCTCCGCTCACTTGCCACCTGTCGACATCCGAACTCTCCTCTTCTCCTAAGGTTTTTGGTCGATTTTTCATATTTGGTGCTATTTCTTATGAATTTTTAATTTCGTAAGTATTTGCTAGTTATTATTTATAAGGTTTTTCTGGAGATTAGAAAACAAAAATACATTGGTTGTTTTAGTAAGATTTACTATTAAATTGCAATAGTTTATTTCGGTCGTTACCATGCAAATTTATATTAACGGACCAATCGTATGTCATATATGCAAACGAGGTCGAATCTTTAGTGCGATACAGTTGAATTTCCTGGACTTACCAAAAGTGTATATTTTCTCGCACAAATTATTAGTATTTGCTAGTAAATTAAAAAAAAATCTGAAGATAGTATAATGTTAAAACTTAAACAACACAACAAAGAGGGCTCTAAATCAAATAAGTTACTCGTATAACGAAACCAAAGTAAAGAGTCTTTTGCTCATATATATGTTCTGCATTTAAAGGCCTTTTGATATTTTCTCCAGTATGCGATTTGTATACCTTTGGTTTTTTTTACAAAATTTGCCCTCTCCTCCAATCTCTCTCTCTCTCTCCCTCGTTTGTTTTCTTTCAGTCAAAGTTGTGTGACCTGTGAGTGTGTATGTTTCTAAATTAGCTCCACTTAAAGCTGATTGAGAAGTTACATGTTCTTCTAGAGAAGTGCATTCCAAACAGCTCCTTCTCCTTCGCTACACACTTCGTGGACTATCTTCATCCTCTCTACCGACTTGCAAATCCCACTGCAGCTCCACTCGAATGACGCCACACACACATCGCCTGCCTCTGCCTTCCATCTACAATCTACAATAACCATCAGAGAAAACAGAAGAGATAAGAGTGAGATTGCTTAAATCTCTCTTGTTTTGTGTGGAGACGTTGTTTTGAGCTTTACCTGGAGGAGTCCCACAACAGAAGTTTCGGTCATCGATGTGTTCAACCTCAAGTCCGATAAACCATGACCCTAAAGACACATCTTCATTAGCATACTTATGCAAAATCGGCCTGCACACAAAAGTTCAAAACCTTTTTGAGAACAAACACATGATGTTGTTATACAGTTATGGTGAGGAGGATGCAGAGTCGCGTACTTGTTGATGGATATGTATTTGGCAAGATCCTTAGAGATGGCATAGATCTGTCCCGTAGCATGTCGAAAGTATTTGTTGCCTTCCTCTCCAAATTTCCAATACTCAGGTTCATGGTACTTCACTGACCTGAAACAGTTTTTTGATTAACTAATATTCTCACAAATTCTCTTACCAAACAACAACGCAAGAAAATATTTGAAGCTTAAGCCACAAAAGTAATTACTTTTGAGCAAGAACAGGTCCTGATTTCATACACCCAATGTAGACCCTCGACTTTGAGCGGTGACGAGCAAGTGTGGATGCAAGCATACCTGCAAATGCAAAGTTATATAAACATTTTTTGATTGCTGCCATTGAATGAGATAGCAGCTAAAGAAACGAGCAAGATCATGTTTTTTGTAACTGTTGTTGTTTTTACCGAGATTCACGTGAACATCATCATCAACCTTGATATAGAACTCTGCATCCCATTTAGCTACTGCAGTAGAGAAGAATATTTTGGTTTTTGCTGAGAGTTCGTGATATCCTTCAACATGCTCCTGAAAACCATAAGAGTTTCAAACAGAAAGGAAAAATTGAAAAATTGTATCATTTCTTAGAAATCTAGAAATTATTTAGCTCACCAGCCTAAGGAAGTCTTTGTGTTGAGAATCTTCCGAATCAATAGCTCTGTCCAGTATACTATTCGACGTCGCACTGCCAACAAATTTGTATACACTTAAAGTCAATCTCAACGTTATATACATCAGAAGTAAAGTAAAACCTCTGAGAGAAAGAGAAGCAAAAGCTTCACCTGTGTCCAATCATGAACTTGATGACAATTCCCTTCTCTTGTTCCAGTTTCTCAAGCTTCTCCCCTGTAACATATCGACACACACATATATATATATGAACTAGATCCGAGATGCGAAAGTGTGAACCAACCAGATTAGATTGAAATGAGGATCACTAAGTCACCTTGAGGCATCCACGTTTCCCTGACTGAATCACGCCGTTTTCTACTGCTAAACGCGGTGTTAATTCCCATAACCATGAACACTTTCTTCCTCGGGGTTGCTCCCATTACAGAGGAGGTTGTTTCCGTTTCTTGAGAGGTCTTTGTAGAAGACAACTGCATTTGCAACGTAGAAACTGACTTATCCAGCGATCTATCAACCCTCCAAAGACACACACAGAGATCACTCAGACACAGAAAAAACAAAGTCCAATTTGCAAAAGAAGTCAGTTTTCTCACTCACTGTATTGCTTCATGTGTTCTCAAAACTTCGTCCATTACATCTTTTTCTTGCGTAGCTTTCTGCATTTTGAGCAAAATCAAAGATGAACAAACGTAAGATCTCCAAAAAGTAAACCCAGAATCTCTTTGAAACAAAGTCTTACAAAGTAACATCCAGAGAGGTAAAACTATTCGATTGAACTGTCCAAAACTATGAATTAGTCATTAATAACGAGACACAGATGATAGATTCCCTTAACTGGTGTAACTCTAGATTTAATCAACCACTAATTTAACTTCCCAAAAAATAACAATTTTGCATAAAAACTCTACTAAAACTGAATCTCGAAGCATACTTTCTTATGAGCACAATCGTCTGACACAATCTGAAGTTCATGATCACGACGGTGCTGTGAAATCAGCAGACTACCGGAATCCGACGACGGCTCCCATGACCTGAAACGCACAAATCGACAGTTGCAAACAAAAGCAAAAACCCATCAACAAAAATCGAACAGGGCAAAAGAAAAAAAAAGGAGAAGTTTGACGATTGGTGCAGGAGGAGAAAGGAAGGGAATTTATGAGAAAAGATGAAAGCTTGAAACCTTGAGGTGAAAATGGCTCCGAGGGCGAAGAAAGAGATGCAGAGAAACGGAACCCATCTGAGAGAAATCGTTGCTCTCTTGGAGACTTTGTGCTTCATCGTGGAGAGGGTGAAATAAGAGAGAGAGAGAGAGAGAGAGTGAGATCAGAGATGGGCAGATTTAAAGGAAACACACAATCGAGAAAATTTCAAGTGATGCAATTTGTGCCAATGTCATGCGAAGAGAAAAAAGAAATTAGTAAGTTTCCAAATAAACATTTTATTACACTTTTTGACTTTTGTTAGGCATCTTTAATGTATTTCCCACGGACCACGGTCGAATATATATACCAAAGTCACATTCTTTTTAAGTTGAAAATATATATGTAGAGAAACAATCGGAAGAGTTATCAGTTTATTTTATCTTCTTCCATTTCTAATTTTCTATTTCTTGAGTATTTTCTCAACATCTATTGTGGTTTTTAGTTTCTTCTTATTGTTTTTTATGTTTTAATTTTTAAACACTGTCAAATGCTAAATTTAGAAGTTTTAAAACTGTGAAATTTTGTAGGAACAAAAAATATTGTTTAGTTTACAAAAAAAAAAATGGTATTGCGTGGTTAATCTATTACAAACAAAAAGAAATACCAAAGTATTTTACATCTGATATTAATAGTCAGTTAAACTGACCTAAATAAATTCGAAAGAAATGCTACTAATGCATGAAAGGACTATTAACATATAATATATGATAAATAAATAAAAGAACAATCAACCAAAGATCATGTGTACATCTAATATAGTTTACTCTATCTTTCTTTCTTAGACTAAGTGAATGTTACGGAGAGAATAATCAAAAGCAGGCATTTTGAATTGAAAATGTGATTAGACCGTCAATCAAATATAGTTAGGCAGAAGAATGCGTGCCGTTTCGTCGGCCGCGTTATTCACGTCGCACGCCGTGATGTGCAGTTTGTGGACTTTTTGAGGTATGTCAACAGATCATGGGCTTAACAAATATCAGGCCTTATTCGATCATATTAGGCCTAATTCAATACAATTTAATTGAGAAAACAGGTCTGATAACTATTTGGGAGCTGAAAAATCCAAGGAGATAGTATTCGTTCATATATTAACACTAAATTCTTATAAAGAACAAACCAGGGAAGAAGATAAATTATATAGAAAAATAAAATAACCTATCAAACATGTGATCGCCAATTTGAACATCTGAATTTAATTGTGATTTGCTTTAATTCAGATAGTGTTCGTGTAGTGTTTCATCTTTCTTTCATTAGCAACCTCAAGTAAAAAAGAACTATATATATAGTAGTAGATTATTATTATTATTATTAGATACCAATGCCCCATATATCAAGACTAACGAACTTGAGAATCTTCTCATTCAAATACACAACCCGCGACCAAACATGCAGTTCTCTTATGTTCATAAAAACCTCAAAAAATTATCTTAATATGTAGTAATCAAACAATATCAGCATTTGAAGAAATCAATGTTGGAGATAGTGTTGAGCCCCAACTATTGCAAGTGATAATTACGAGCAGCAACAAGCGAAGATCGCACGGCTTGGACTGAAGCCTTGCAAGCTGTTAAAGAAACGTTTCCACGAATGTCAAACGAAGAGCTAATGGCAACGACGACTGATGTCTCAGTCTCGACCGATAAGCTAAGACAGAGATTAATGAAAGAAGAAGTTGACGAAACAATCATCGAAGATTGCGAAGATATTATGAAGACCAATTTCGTCGCTTTGCATGATGAGGTCATGACGCTTAAGCAATACCAATATCATCTCGTAGATTCTCCCAAGAACGTTAATAACAAACCTATGTCCAAAAAAATTCATGAATTATCTCTCTCTTTCTCTCTCTCAACATTTGATTTATTTTGGGATTTAAAAGTTAAAGTGGACTTTTTGTGTAATAATGGAAAACCATCAATTGATCGACAGCATGCGTTTAGAGTTTATGGACCATAGTACTGAAAACCATTAGAGTTTATTATATAGTCTATATAAAGTGTAGGCCTAATTAGATTTCTCATGCAGATCTTTTGTAATTTAATCTGAGTCGTACAATCTTTTTATAGTACTATGTAACTACTATTACTATAAAAGATTGTATACGACTAAAATTATATTACAAATCTCAATCTCTCAAATCTCAACAGTGAAAGACCAAAATGAAGATTAAGGATTTTTATACCTCCAGCTTCATGGCCGAAGATACGTGGAAACAATTAAGTTTGTCTATGCGGAAACAAAAAAAGAGAGTAAAACTCCGAAATTATCATCTTCTTTGCTTTGCCTCTTGCACATTCACGCAATAATGCTTTATGGTCTAATGAACTTTTGTTAGGCATCTTTAATGTCAGTTAAATATAGATTTGAAAGAGATGCTAGAACTATTGATATATATACTACGATATGCATAAAAAAAATAGAACAATAAACTGAGGATCATGTAAATCACTGATGACATATGTAATACAGTTTACTCTTTCTTTCTTTCTTAGACTAACTAAGCGTATTTTGAATTGAAAATGTAATTAAACCATGGATGATAAACAACATTATGTTCAATACATTTAGTTTTTTGTGCAATTCTTGTTCTTTTTTTTGTCTCATTTCTCACATTAAGAGAGAGCTAATTTTAGTTTTATACGGTATAATGCAAAACTCAAGCTAAAATTTAACTTTTTATTTCCAGAATTAGTGAGCGATGATAAAGTTGTAGGAAAACTGATGAGTGTCTACTCGAGCAGTGAAAACCTCTATTTCACAATGATGCCGAAGATCATACACCCTAAAATCATCGTTTTGAGTCTTCATGGCATTGAGGAGGTGGTTTGCAAGCTGATGAGTCTCTACTCTAGTGTGGGTTCGAAGGACTATGTTCTCGAAAGTTTGGAGGACAAATGCCCTTCAGCATGGAGAAACCTCTTCTACGCACATGCATCTTTCTCCCAAATGTTGGCATCCAACTCCACCTTGTATAGTATGTATAGTATATTATTCATTACATGCTAAACTGACTATGTATAATACACGCATGATGCATACACATACAATCATAAAGAGACTTGTAGAAGAAAGTTTAGAAACTTTGTATTATTTCTTTAATTTGATTCATAAAGAGACATATAACATAGTTGACTTCAACAAAAATAAATAAAGGAACAGAAACACGGAGCAATGAAATTTCAAAAGGGAATAAACATATTCGGGTGACATTAAGAAAGAAGCTAGGATAAATATTTCAGATTAATCCCATTAATCCAAGACACCAAATAATCAACAAAAATATCCATGTATTGGCAATTTTGATTCATTGTAACCAAATAAAAATGTTGCCGTAATCTATAGCATGAGACTATTGATATGTCAGATCATTTTTTACATTTACTGAAAAACTTTCTTGTATAGATCTCTTTTTCTCTCTCTTTCTTTTTAGTTTTTGTTAACATCTGGTTTATACTCTCGTCGTTTCATAGATGCAATAGGTAAAAAAGTAAGTAAAACATTGAATTATGTGTTCCGTGTTGATGTTGCTCTCGTCTTTGATTTCCTTTTATTTTTCCGATTAGAAAACTCCAACCACACAGGTTAGTAGAAATTTATGTCGATATATGTAATTAGAAACACGTGAAAGCTATGCACCCACGTATGTGCTTTTTAACCACGATCAAATCCACCAAGAGAGAGGCAAAACACGGGCGGTGGAAAAGACTCTCAGGCGAGACACCGGTTGTAAACGCAGCTCAAAGATAGAACAAGATGACCAACATATTGATTTACACTTTTGCTTAGCTTAGATTACTCCACTCTTAATTTTAATTACGTTAAGGCTCGTACCGAAAAAAAAGCTAATTATTATTATTATTATTATTATTATATATAAGCAAAACATAAAACATGATAGAAATATATATATATATATATATATATATATATATCATGTTTTGCTTATATTCCGCATATGTTTAATATATATTATATTTTTTTCTTAATATAAACTTTTATAAGTAATACTGTATTGATAGGATTTTAATTGAAATAATATATTATCTTTAAATTCACTAAAAATAAAATCAATTTGATGTTTCGGAAATATTTGATATGAGACACTTGGCATTCATTTCCATGTTATGTGAGAGAGATAGATTACTCAATCGTTTATATCAAATAGTGTTTCAAAAATCAAATATGGTGGATTAAGTTGTTTGTTTTATTAGTAAATCTTACCAAATCACCAATGTAATTTTTGCTTAGAAAATCTTTAAATCACTAGGAAATACTTAAAATTCATTGAAATTAAGATGAGAGTCGTGACCAACTCCATTTCTTTTTGAGATGTTTTGCTTGTGAAATAATCATCACGTTCGAATAGTTCATGGTTATTAGTCTAGTGCTTTTTGATTGAGAGCGTACCATGACAATCTATAGTAAGTGATTGAGATATACATTCGCATGGAAGGATGGTTATGTGAAGAATCCACCAAAGCATATTGAATGAATGAATATCGAACATCAACCAAACAGAAGACAAACCATCGTTACAATAAGCAGAGACAGCATAAACTACTACTATTGCACAGTTTCCAAATTTCCTAAAAATCGAATCGGATTCCCTAACAAATTTGATCCAACTACTAAAATTTACTGTCTATGAATTTTATTTTATAGTGATAGTGACACGTAGCTAAAACTTGGGAATACTAACACATGTCTTGAAATTGGCCTAATTGATATTATTATATGTAACTAGGGATTTCCCCGCGCTACGCGCAGGATGTGTTGTTATTTTATTTTAATAATTAATTATGATTTAAATCAATTAGTATACTGTTGATATTAGATTGGTAGCTAATATTTAATTATGGCAGCGTAAAAGTGTAAGAGTTCTGAATTATCTATAGGTAATATAAACATGTAAAGTATGGTAGGTTGATAATGATGTCGGTGTATGAATTTGTGAGTAGATGCTTGAGACTTAGTATTTATTAGTAATGCAATTTTATTGAACAGAATTGAAGATGTATCGTAGTACAAATTATTGTTGACATTAATTAATGTTGTATGTTGCCAAAATTGTTCATGAAGCTTCAATATATGATGTTGGCGAGTTTCCGTTGATGTGTGTAGAGGGGGTGAAGAAGAATCTTGTTAGTGGAGTAGAATGGAGCTGTAGATTTCCTGCATTTGTTTTAGAGTATGAAGTTGTGTATGTAAATCAAGTTGGCTACATTAAAAAGTGATCAGTGAATAATATATTAAAAGTTAATACTTTTGTATATTTTTGGATTGACGCTTGTGATAAGCATGGTTGTATATTTCCTGTCTTTGATGTTGAGTGTATGGCAGAAATTTGCTGCTTGTGCATCCCATATTAAGAGTCTGATAATAGTGTTCCTGTAAATTAAATTGTGAGTAATTTTTTTTAAAAAAAAACTGTATATGAAGTACCTGCTTAGCTGTAAGCCTACCAAAATATTTGATTTTGAGTTTTGATTTTTTAGATCGGAGCCCTGAATAATGCGGATATTCCCGAGGACATCTAATATTTTTTTTGGAAGTGTAATTTGACTGAGTATGATAATTATAGCAGACAAATATTGAACTAAGGAAAGAAAGTGTTGTGATTTAAATTGCTTTACCTGGTAGCTCGTATCTTGTACATGCGATCTGTAGTAGTTGTTTGTAGCTTTTGATAAAAAATTTGTTGGTAGGTATTTGAGGTAAATTTTCCTTAACTTCGAAAAATGTAGTTTCTCGGGTGAAGCGAATGACATATTGATGAGGAGTGAGTTTATATCTCCGATTATTTTCCAAAACTATGAATTTGGAAAGCTCATATATCAACCCCGCGTTTAATTTATGTTGTTGCAGCTCAATTATTGATAAATGCATCATGCTCTCGATCACTATACCCTTTGAGAATTGTTATGAAATAAGAAAATATGTTAACAAATTTGTTTAATAAGGGAATTTAATGTCTTACGTTTGCATCAATGAGTAGATAGACGAATCCCATTTTGTGATCTTCATTTGTGTGGTCGAATGTTTCTATAATGCGAAAAATGCGAACAATGATTCTCCTTTTGTAAGCTCCTAAACATAAATTCGATAAGTTTGTGTATTTTGCGAGCCTATGTTGCTGCACCAGTCCTGCTGAAAAATGGTAGGATAAATGTTGTTTTAACAATTTAACAATTTTAATATGGTCAAGACTGAAAATGTCAAATATTTAACAATTTTAAATGGTTATGATGCACATATTAGTGTGTAGGTGTAGATATATACCTTTACTTTTTGGTGATGTTTTTTCGCAGCCGTTATTCTCGTTTGGAACTATGATTTCCTGACTTACGGAGGTTGGACCAGCTATTGTAGATTCTCCTGATACAGTGGTTGAGTTCCATCTTTTCGAAAGCATAATCGATTTCCGCATAGACCGTGCTTTTTTTGCATTCACTGTAGAACATAGATAGTAAACTATTTTAGATAAATTGTTTGTTTTTTCAGTAGCGTACTTCGAATTGCGGGCTGTGAAATGCTGGGTGTTGAGGCGTCTGTTTACCGAATATAGAGCATCTGGTACAACCACCTATAAAATAAGAATAGGAATGAGCTTATTCATTTATTAGTAATTGTAACAATTGTGCGTGGATTGCTGTAAATAGGTAATGTTAGTGTTTGAAGTTAAAAAACTTACAATGATAATATCTGGTTAAGGTGCTTTGTTGTATGCCTTGGCGTTGATCTGATAATAAAGTGATTTAGGAGATATAAAGTTTGATATATGGCAACATCAATAATACGAAATGATTGAATATAGAAAAAGGGTACAGAGAGGGACCAGATTTGGTTTGAAAGTCTTGATCTCCACGTTTTCGTTTTCTCTGTTTATTGTGTGTCTCTTCCATGGATTGATTTTGTTGGCCGTCTTTTGCCATACTATCTGGTTGGGAAGATGAGTTCGTTCTTTCTAGCCTATTAACTTCGTAGAGGATGTGCTTGTTATAGGTGTGAGGGTTATTTGTATGTTCTTTTCTAATTTACGGAAGTTGATTTGAGAGTATATTCTACTTTCCAAATATAATCTGGTTTATGATTTTGATATTAATATAGGTGCCTATTTCAACGGAATTATTAATTATCTCTCATATTTGCAAATTTCATGGAGGCCTGATTGATTTGATTGTTCGAGTTGAAGACAGCCGGTGTGGTATGTTCGAGTTTTTGGACTTGTTTAGTTTAAAAGTCCGAAAACTCTTTTCATTCCACGACTAAGTTACACGAAATTTTATAAACTGAACATGATCCATCAAGTTATGCAATCAAGAAAGAAACAATTAAGCGATACTTAAAGAGCGGAACATGTGGAGACCAAAAATAAGTATGTATATAATTCCATCTTATTCAATTGGAAATGTTTGGTAGCGAACATGGTTAGTGGGTAGGTAAATGGAGATATATTTTTATAACCTTCTAAAGAGGAAGATTAGAAAGTTTATTATTAAACGGGTAAACAAAAAAGACAGTTCATTAAACTGGTTTAAATTTGGAAAGCAAAATGGAAATGAACGAAAAACTAAAGATTCTTGAAACGAAAGATGAGAGTAGCAATATACGCAGTAATGAGAAGAGTGATGGTGCATTCAGTGACGTGGACGCTTGGTCTCATTCTCACCATTGAACACCAACTCGTCCGAAATGAATTCTGTGTTTGTTATCCCCTCTTCTCCTGTGACTTCCAACTTTCCCTCATTGTCTTCAACGTTCAAGGATTCTTCAGTGGATGTGGAGTTGAGGTCGACATTATCGTCTACAATACGTGAAACCGTGATTGTTTGTCGTGAAGTTTGAAAGTTGTATGTGGTAAGCTTGATTTGGAATTCGCATGTCCGGCCAATAATTTATTTCAGACACTCAATGGTGTCATTTAGAACATCATTGGCACTTCTTCCGGCAAGTTTCATTGCATTTGGGTCGAATAGGACGAACGTAGCGGTGTCGTTGTTCGCATCACGGACTGAAATTTCAAAGCGGTACCTGCGTTGAAGTAGATGTTGTTGTATTGGATGTTTTGAGTTATTTTGTTCAAGCGGAGAATTCAGAAAATTGTAGTAATGTAACCTGATAAGACCAACATTGTTGGTCTGTTTACATGTGGTGGAATACAGTGAAACTTCAGACTTGCCTAACTTAGATTTGCACTTGCATGAGATGTAGTACCAGCCTGATTGTTCTGGAACATCCACTATTGTACAACAACAATAGAAGCTAGCACTCTGTGTAGTAAAAGTTGTTATATCAAAAGATTTCATGTTTTCAAGCTCGGGTAATAGTAATAGAATGAGTGAAGCAGGAAGAATGAGATTCTAACGAAGCAAATGACGATTAAACAGTTCAAAGGGAACTGAATTATACCTGGGGTGTTTCATTTTTGATGAATTGGTAGATCTCAGTTAGAGTGACTTTCTCTAATTTGGTAATAGCAGCAGATGAGGAAGTGATTTCTGGAATTCTTTTTGTGGCTCCAGCCAACCTGTCAAATTGACTTTACAGAATTAGACACTTTCCGTATTATATATGTTAATAATAATAACAGTAAAGTATGGAAGCAGACAATGTCATGAACTCTTTAGTTTCTGCAATGTCTCTATCGAAAAATAGACGGGTCGCTGATGTTGAGCTCAAGGTTACTGCACCTGGAAACGTGACAAACATATGTAATGAGAGTTGTAAATGGGTTTCTACTTGTCAATGGTGCAATTTTAATAATAAACCGTAAGGTTCTTTGATGTTTTCATATGGGGGTGTATTTTGTGACCAGTGAAGCCTAAAATCAAGTACTGTAATTTGAAACAGAATATCAATATCTAAGATGTTAACTGGTTTACCAAAAGTTTTTGGATTCACGGTGGTTATGAGCAGGACAACGGGTTGGACGTCGCTTGTATTCCATCTCTCTCGAAATGCAGCAGCGATATTGCCCCAGAGGTAAATACAGACGGTTTCACCACTGTTAAGGCAATTTATGAGATGATACGATCAGTGGGTAGTTTTAATGAGTACATATATTTTAAAGTAATTTTAAACATAACGTATTACTCTTTCATACGCAGGTGCAAGAAGACTCTATCTTTTGATCTGTCGCCTATGACTTGAGTTGCGTCTTCGTTTGTGGGACGAAGGTTATCTCCGCTAATGAGGCGAATTTGTCCAATGGCATCTAGAAGAAGCATAACTGAAGTGAGTAAAACTGAAATGGTTTTGAGGTTGAGTAATGCGATGTAGTTTTTTACTTACCGAAGAGATCGGTTTCCATGTTGGCGATGGCAGAAAAATCATTGAAGGTGCGTAATCTGAATTTCTGGGTTTCTATTTCGTGATCCCCCTCAGTTACCTCCACCATTGTTGTGTGGTCTGTGAAACATATGGTCTTATTGTGGTCGGATACTTTATAAATCTTTTTGCAGGGATTGATCAAGAATTTTTTAAGCTTGTAAACAGAGTTTCGCTTCAGGTTCTCCTCATGTCTAAACAGCCGGTTTGCAGAAATGAAACCTTGAACTGCATTAGACTGTGGAATTGTAATTAGAATAATGTTTACATCGTGTGCTAAATGTCTGTATGGAAAGAGTAGGGAGAGACATACCTCGGAGTCGAGTAAAAGCAGTTCAACACCCATGAGGATGTTGCATTTTTTGAAATTCCTGGCTTCCCAAAAATGGACCAGGCGGGCTAAAACTTCCTCGTTGCAGAAATCACCTTGATTATTGTTGAGTATCTGGAAAGTTGATGGCCGGCCGGAACGACGGAGAGCTGTAGAAGCCATGGATAAATTTGTTATTTGGTTGTAACAGTTTTGGAAGCTTTGGTGTAGGTGGAGGGATTGTGTGGGGTTGGATTTTATAAGCCTGCGTGAGAGCGAGGGTTAGTTTGAGGGGAGTGGTCATTGAAGACATTGAATTGTGAGAATCGAGTGGGAATTGAAGATGAGAAAGTGGAGAGGTAGATCGATTACAGAGCAATTTAGGTTTTGGAATCTCAAGTGTTGGAAGGCGGAAAAACATTCTCGAGAAATCAGACAACATACGTCGTCAACCTATTTGTTTGGGCTTTGTTTTTTTATATGGGCTTTTTTTTAATGGGCTTTTGTTTGTTACCTGGGTTTTTGTTTTTTAACTGGGCTTTCGTTTACTTTATGGTCCTCCGAAAGTGTTCAACCTCGTGCTTTATAGTTCGACCTAAATCATTTAGATTATATTATAGAACACTCTAAACTGCATATGTAAGTATATATATATATATATATATCAATATATTTTTGGTGATTATAATTGAGCACGTGTAGTGGTGGAGACAGATGTAGATTTTATTTATGGAGTTCGAAATCGAGGTTTGACAATTTATTATTATGACTGTGGAAGAAAACAAAAGAGACAGAGCAGCAACTGAATTTGTAGTATAAGCGGCCATGAACTATATGGTAATATCGTTCAGCTATAGTTCCGCTACTTTAGGTGATCCTTCCTTCATTTTACCAATAAGATACCTTTTTTTAAGTTGCCACATGTTTGCTTTGTTATCCCAAACAAAAGATGATGGAGTCTGAGTGAAAGCATAGTTTGTAGGCGAATCATATGTCGTATTGGCTTCCATCCATGATATCATGTTCGAGTAGGAAAGAGCAGTCCTATTACAAAGAGAAGTAGTTGAAATTTGAAAGAGTATTTGGAACTCATAGCGAATCTGAGTTAGAATCTTACAATGGTTGATAGACTTTGGCATCAGGTTGGAAGTGGGTTTGATGATTGTGCAGAACTTTGTTGTCACATTTTTGACCAACTTCATTGAATACCATAATATTGTTGAATTGATGTGCAGCATGGTTTGTAATCTTTGGAGGGTTAGCCCCCACTCTTTTGGATTTCTGAAGATGAATCCATGCAAAACTCTATATTAGAATATACTATAAACGATGTTGAACACTATGGATTGTTTGAAAAAGATAAGAGTTAATTAAGTACAACCTTCTGAGGAATGTCGGACTTTCTTTTTCCTGAATTAAAGTGATAAAAAGCATCATGAGAAACATATAAGAAGACCATGTTAATTTTTTTTTCCGTCGTCCATGTGGTATGTGATTGACGAAGCACATACATGACGTTTATATATTAAGTTTCTTTGGGGATTTAGGAGGACAATTAATATTGTAATTGTAATTATAATAATTGTATTGTAAATTATAATAATTGTAATTGCATAATTTAAGGTGTTTTTATGGTGTATATAGAAACTTTCTGTGTGAAAATTAGATTTGCAGAACTGTCGTAATTAGGAGCATTTATTGGGAATATACCAATAAGAAAATCGAATTTGGTTAGTAATTGTTGATAATACGCTGATGTGGCATCATATGAGAAATTTTAAAATGCTGATGTGGATAGCCTAAGAAGCCCCAAATAGTTCCTTTTATTTAGTATAGATTATTTCTTTTATGTTTAGTATTTGCTAATCTTGTTAATGAATTTCACCATCTGCTGGTTTTCTCTTATCATATTTTAAATGTATACAATGATCTTGATATCATAACATTTTTGCTTATTATATTTATTAGTGGAGTTACTAAAACTTGAGAATATTAATACATGTCTTGAAAAATGGCCTAAATATTAGTATTATCTGTAATTATAATTGTTTATGTTTAGTACATGTTTGCTAATGTTGTTAATAATTTTATTATCTACTGATTTTTTTTTATCACATTTTAAATATATAAATAATCTTGATGCATTATATCATAACATTTTGACTTTATTATAAGAGCTGATTTTAATTATTTTTGGTTGATAGTAAATAGTAAGAACTAAGAATCTGGGTCATTCTTTCCTATTCATAAAAAGGTGAAAATTAAAATAATTACTTGAGGAGAAGGAAATTTACAAACGGAAAAGTCGAAAATATATAAAAAAAGAATTTGCGTATTTTCCTATTCCTCAGTTAACCCTAATTTCTCCAACAACTCTCCTCGTATTTAAACAAACGCCTCTCTACAGCATTCCCGAACCAACAACAATCCTCTTGAGTTTTCGATTCCTCTCGTCTTCGACCTTCTCCTCGTCTTAAGAACAGAGGTATCTCTCCAGATTCATCGACCCTTTTTTTTTTTAATTCTAATTTCAAGCTTATTAGTGATTTTGATTTATTGGGCGATAGTTTTTTTTTTCCGATATTTGTTGTCTCGATCCGTCGTGAATTGTTTGTCTCTGTAAGCGTCGAATTCTCCATGATCTGATTGTATTCTTCCTGATGACGATGATTTTCGCAAGTCTCTTAGATGTATTCAATTCAATTCTCCTTTAGGTTCCTGTAGGGTTTCGTTTGAGGATTTTCAATCTTATCGAGTGATAGGTAGGCGTGTCAAAGTGGATCCAAATCCCTGGGTTGACCCATCCCAAATCCGATCCATAAACCCTATTGGATTGAAAAATTTGATTCTAATGGTTTGATGGGTCAATTGGGTTGGGATGATATGGTTTAACTTGTTTCACCCAATAATTTGTTTTTTTTTTTTCAGATCGGAATTTTTTTGCCTTACCTACTTTTGATTTCTCCTTGTATCGTTGTTGAATTGATCAGTTTTCGTTTATAGATGCTGTGTGAGATTTGTGAGATTCTAACATATTTCATTCATCAGTTAATATCTTCTCCTCTAATTCGTTTCCTTCTTCAGCGTTTTGTTTTACAGGAGCTTTAAGTTTTTTGCAGTTTCGTCACAGGATCCGACTTTTCGAAGCTTCTTTTATGTCTGACAAGATTTCTCCGTTTTGCTTTCGATCTGGTTGCTTGGCAAGTACTGTGCTACATCCAGAATTAAGGACTACAAGTTCCTCCATAACCATAGGCTCACGCATCTTCAAGCCGGAGACTCCTTTGAAGACTGTCGCTCAGCTTCCCGGTTCACAAAAAGCTCGTCCGCTCTTCGACCACTTCGACTGATACTTTTTTTTCCGGCTAAGAAACTCACAAGATGGCGATGCAGAACATTGGTGCGTCGAACCGTGACGATGCCTTTTACAGGTACAAGATGCCAAAGATGCTTACCAAGACTGAAGGCAAAGGTAATGGCATCAAGACCAACATTGTGAACAATGTTGATATTGCGAAAGCCTTGGGCAGGCCTGCTTCTTACACGACCAAGTACTTTGGTTGCGAGCTCGGTGCTCAGTCCAAGTTCGACGAGAAGACTGGGACGTCGCTTGTGAATGGAGCACACAGCACGGCAAAGCTCGCGGCGCTTCTGGAGTCTTTTATCAAGAGGTATGTGCAGTGCTATGGATGTGGCAACCCTGAGACTGATATCATTATCACCAAAGCGCAGTTGATCAACCTTAAGTGTGCTGCTTGCGGGTTTATCTCTGCGGTTGACATGAGGGACAAGTTGACGACTTTCATTCTGAAGAACCCACCAGAGTCGAAGAAGGGCTCAAAGGACAAGAAGGCTATGAGGAGGGCTGAGAAGGAGAGGCTCAAAGAAGGGGAAGCAGCCGATGAGGAGCAGAGAAAGCTGAAGAAGGAAGCTAAGAAGAAAGCTTCTTCTAACGGGAAGGTTGCTTCTTCTTCCAAGACGTCCAAGAACCATACTTCCTCTGATGAGGATATCAGCCCCAAGCTTGACGAGGTGGCGCAGGAGGTGGATGATGATGAAGACGATGATGATGACGATGGTATCCAGTGGCAAACCGATACTTCCCGAGAAGCTGCAGAGAAGAGAATGAAAGAACAGTTGAGTGCTGCAACTGCGGAACTGGTGGTGCTCTCTGTTAAAGAAGCAGAGGAAGAAGAGAAGAAGGCGGCGCACAAAAGCAAAACGAATGGCGATGTGAAAGCTGAGAAACCCAAGGAAGAGAAGAAGCTCGTGCAGGAGATGAAAGAGTATCTGAAGAAAGGTTCACCGATAAGCGAGCTCAAAACTTTCATCTCTTCCCTCTCTGCGCATCCTCCTCAAGACGTCATGGACGCACTCTTCAATGCGCTCTTTGATGGTGTGGGCAAAGGATTTGCAAAAGAAGTGACGAAGAAGAAGAATTACTTGGTGGCTGCAACGCAAGAGGATGGATCACAGATGCTTCTGCTCAGTTCAATCGAATCATTCTGCGGGAAGAATGGAAACGGAGAAGCGGCTAAAGAGGTGGCTCTGGTTCTGAAAGCATTGTACGATGAAGACATCATTGAGGAAGACTTTGTTTTGGAGTGGTACCAAAAGGGTCTAACCGGAGTCGACAAAAGCTCGCCGGTTTGGAAGAATGTGAAGCCTTTTGTCGAGTGGCTCCAGAGCGCTGAGTCCGAGTCCGAAGAGGAGGATTGAGAGTTTTTTGCTCTTTGGCTGTTTTTGTTTTGTTTTATGGATTTTATTTTTCAGTTTTTGGGTCAGTTTTCAGAATTTCTATCTTTCGGCGAAACTTAAAAAAAAACCTTTTTCTTATCTGGCTTTGTTGCTTTTCAATGGTGGTGTTTTAATCTGTGGTTTTGGATTCGAGTACAAAACCACTAGGCTGTTTTTATTTAAATATGTTATTTTCAATGTTTTCATTATTTTGCTCAAACAATAACAAATCGTACTGTTTATCTTATTTGTTTGCAAACCGTAGCACGATTATTGATGTTACATTGATTTTGACAGACAGGTGTTAAATGAATGACAAGTACGAGTACGACGGCCGAATTTTGTTCTCGTGAAAACTTATTCTGAACCAAAAAAAATTATTTGATTTGCAAAATTTCACTTTTACAAGACAAAAAAACAAAAAAACAAAAAGTTCTAAGATATGTTCACGCTACTCATATTTCTAAAGATGTGATGACTCGGGAAAATATTTGTGTGTTCACGAGTCTGTTTGAGATGGCTTCTTCGTTGGTCATTGACTTGTTGGTATAATTGTCATTATTATTATTTTTATTTTAATATATCGGATTAACCTTGATGTGATAGTGGGCCGTATATTACAAAAAAATCGAAACATGCGAAAAACAGAAACAGGCCCGTTTGAACGGAGCGTGATAAATAGAGAGATGTGCCGTCAAAATCAATACGAATAAAATAAATGACATTAATTAATTTAAAAAAATCACAACAAACATTCCTAACCGGCCACCCATATGCTTTCCCCACGCGCCAACGGAATAACAATAAGGATCCTTTTTGATACTTTTGGGTTTCTTTTTTTTTTCTATTTATATTTACGTATTTATATATTTTTTTCTAGAAATTATTGTGTTGTTATTAAGTTGTTAGCATTAAAAAACTAAAGTATAAAGTAAGGTCGCTTTTTAATAACAACGATAAATGGTCTATTTGGCTAGGATTGTAACTGAAGATTAAATATTGTATATGAATCTATCTATAATTGTTTTAGCTTCTAGCTTTAAATTATATAAAGATTTTTAAATTGTTTGGACAAACAAAAATTGATGCTGGGGTGTGAGTTTTTAGAGGATCATTTATCGCTTTTAGAAAAATGATAGGTAAAAGATGTAGTAAATACGATCTTCACCAATCACCTCATTTAAAATAATGAATTTAAAAAATCAGTATTCAGCAGCACAACAAATATACTCAATGGATTCCAAAAGCCATGGATTTCTGTATACATATCATTTTTGGAATTATCGGATTGTAAATTAAAATAAAATATGATAGGTTGTTAATTGCAACCACATGAAATAAGATAGCCTTGAAACTGATACATTTTGATTTACTTTGATTTTGTTGAAAGTAGAAAAACATAAATTTTCTAAAATAAAATTACCGTGTAAAAAATAAGTTCAATCAATAATTAATTTATCCCAAAAAAATAAAAGATAAACAAGTAATATTGACAACAAACAAGGTAATGTTTTATTTATTTTATCTAATGTGAGAAAATGGACATTGTGAAGTTTTAATACATCCATCTCCTGAAAATAAGAAAAGAGTTTTACAGTGAGACAAAAAGAAAATTGGTCTTTCTATTATCTGTTCAATTATTTTTCCCAAATCTAACTAAGACTGTTTTAATTTTTTACTTAAGAAAGGTGGTGAAAATCCAAACTGTTAAGGTCACCTTCTTAAGTATACTAATACTAGTATAATTAATTATTATTTTTTCTAAATTATTTTTAAACCTACAGAAACATTCCTTTTTCAGTTCTTTTAGACACCGAAGATAAATAATTGTTCTTCTTTCTCAAAAACAAAACAATTCGTTAATTAATTATTTGCTCGGTGAACAACACAAGGAAGAAGGACACATAATTTATTTATTTTGTTACGTAAAAAAAACAAAGAAACATCATTAAGTGAACCTAAAAAATAGGGGGAAAACAATAAATGGAGAAAAGAAAAAAATGACATAAAAGGAGGGAGAGTGAGATGCACGCGCGATCGGACGGTGTAAAAGAGCAGGTTACTGCATAAAGTTTGTTGTCGTGTGGCAGAAACTGTAAATTCGAACAAAATCAAGCAAAATCCCGTAGCAGCGTAACAGTAAATCGGTAATCCATCTCTCTCTTCTCTTCTCTATCCCTCCGCTTTTGCATCCGTTCCGTGCCCGTTTCAATTCTCTCTCTCTCTCTCTCTCTCTCTCTCTCTCTCAGACATACGGTCTCTCTCTCCCTCTCTCTCTCTAACACCTAACAGTACCTACCTCTTCTTCTTCTTCTTCTTTTTCGCTGACTTCTCTGCTGTGAAAACGACCTATAGCCTATGTCACCGCCGGCGGCAACCGCCGACATCCTCCGCGAAGTCGACCCGAGGATCTGGCGCGCTTGTGCCGGCGCCTCTGTGCAGATCCCCTCTCTGTACTCTAGGGTTTACTACTTCCCGCAGGGCCATGTCGAGCACTGTTGCGCTTCGTCGGTCATCTCTTCCTTCCCTTCCTCCACCTCTCCGGTTCCCTGCGTCGTCTCCTCCATCGAGTTGCTGGCCGATCCGATCACTGATGAGGTTTTCGCTCACCTCTTCCTCCAGCCGATGGCTCCCGAGCAGTTCATCCCCCCTAATTACTCTCGATTCGGGAGATACGAGAGTGATGAAGAGGAGAACAAGGTGGTTACATTCGCCAAGATTCTCACGCCGTCCGATGCTAATAATGGCGGCGGTTTCTCCGTCCCGCGTTACTGCGCGGATTCAGTCTTCCCCCCGCTCGATTTCCAGGCAGATCCTCCGGTCCAGAAGCTGTTCATCACCGATATCCACGGTATTGTCTGGGATTTCCGGCATATCTACCGCGGCACACCGAGGAGGCACCTATTAACCACCGGATGGAGCAAGTTCGTCAACAACAAGAAGCTTATCGCTGGGGATTCGGTCGTTTTTATGAGGAAATCGGTAGATGAGATGTTTATCGGCGTAAGGCGAGCACCTATCTCCAGCAACGGCGGAACAAGCTTCTACGGCGGCGGGGATGAGTACTCCAGTTATTACCAGGCCAAGGAAGACGATGTTATTGTGAAGAAGGGGTTTAGGAGGACCGGGAAAGGGAAGCTGACGGCTGAAGCAGTCTCGGAGGCGATTAGCAAAGCCGCTCAGGGTCTGCCGTTCGAGGTGGTCTATTATCCCACTGCTGGTTGGTCCGACTTCGTGGTGAGGGCCGAAGATGTCGAGGCCTCAATGGCTGTTTACTGGACTCCTGGAACTAGAGTTAAGATGGCTATGGAGACTGAGGACTCCTCCAGGATTACATGGTTTCAGGGCATCGTCTCCTCCACATTCCAGGAAACTGGTCCATGGCGTGGATCTCCATGGAAACAGCTTCAGGTATACAGTGTTTTCCAATGGCCTATTCGCTTATATATCTCTCTCTGATCTTGTGCTGCTGGGAAATTTACAGAATCGATTTTATATCTCTATGCAACGATTACCTTTCATGAGTATTGATAATCTCATTCTGGTTATGCAAATGCCAATTGGGTTTTGGAGGATTGCTGCGTTGAGGATGCTTATTCTGAAATCTGTATATTTTGATTGGAAAACAGGATTTAGTATGAGAATGATTGCTGCATCACTTAGTTTAGCTATTTGAGATTCATCCACAAAGATAACATTCTGCTTCCTCTCTGATCATTTCTTTGTGCTGCACTCAGCTTTCCAGTGGTATGATTTACATTCTGCTTCCTATCTGATCATTTTCGTTGGTTTGAACTTATCGCAGATCACATGGGACGAACCTGAGATCCTGCAAAACGTGAAGAGGGTGAATCCTTGGCAAGTGGAAGTGGTTGCAAACTCGAGCCAGCTCCATGCCACTTTCCCTCCAGCAAAGAGGTTGAAGTTCCCCCATAACGCAGGTGGGTTCATGAGTGCAGAGGAAGGAGAACAGCTCTATTCTCACAGAGGACTGTCCAGTGTAGCACCAGTTGGGGATCCAAGTCCCTACATGTGCTCGTATACTACATTTCCTGCTGGCATGCAGGGAGCCAGGCATTATGAATTTGGGTCTTACAATCCAACCGGATTCATCGGAGAAAATCCTCCCCAGTCCAATAACTTCTTTAGTCCGCTTCCCGGTTTGGGAAAACTCTCGACTGAGATGAACTTCGGCAGCCCACCGTCGGATGACTTGTCGCCTAATAGCAATACCACTAACCTCTCCTCCGGAAATGACCCAGTCGGAAACCGAGCCCCCACTTCTGCAAGAGCAAGCTCGTTTCAGCTGTTTGGTAAGATCATCAACGTGCAGGAGCTTTCTGAGAGCGGTCTTGCTGAGTCGGGCTTGTATGAAGAGGACGGAAGCAAAGAGTCAAGCGACAACGAAGTTAATGAGACACAATTGTCACTGACACATGGCCCTCAAGGCCTGTGAAGAGTCTAGGTGCCTAGAGATTCCAACAGCCACGCAGGTTATAGCTGCAAAGGTATCTTGATCTATCACAAACTACATCAGTCTATTAAATCATTGCGTTTTTCTTTTCTTTCAAATTGATTAGGTTATAGTATCAGTATTCAATTACAATTTTGCACAATGCTTTCCCTTGAAACATCCCGATCATACTTGTGAAAACTATCTCTGTCTCTCGAGTCATCGACTTGTGGTAATTGGAATTTGGAACTAAACATTACTTGGATTAACTTTTCAAAGCCTATCTTTCATCATCATCATATATATTGTTATTACAGTCAATGTCGTTTCTCCGTACTTGGTATGCTTTTATTACTGCTGCTATTAAGCATCTCTTCTATTTTTTACCCCATTATTGGTCTCTTATTCATTTATAGGACACATATAATTGGCTCATTCAACATTCTCTGAACAATATGCAATGAATGCAATATCACTGTTCAGTCCAGTCCCTACTTGATTTCATAAGTCATTACATGCTTCCATTACAATTTGGACCTACAAAAGCTTCTTAACTACTATAATCCCTATAATGGTGAAGATCAGATCTAATTGTGGAATGATTTGTGCTTGGTCAGGTGAATCAAAGGACTGGATCTTGCTGGAATCTCCCAAGTTTATATAAGCCGTACTATATAGTTATCTCTGGTGTATCTGGCATTGACTTTCTCTGGGTTTTTTCTTTGCCACGTGACAATCTTTTTTTCTGTTTTTTTTTTTTTTACCAATTGCTCAGACATTTTGATGAACATCTCGCTCTCTCCTAATCGTTTACTATTATTCTATTGGGGTAAATGTCTATTGGGTTTTTTTTTTTACCTAACCACTACTTTAATCAAGACTCTGTTATGGAGTTAAAAAAGAATCTATATGGCTTTATTAAATTCCTCTATGCTATGGGTCTAATGATGCATCTAAGTTAACGGCGCCAACTAGAGAGAATTAAGTGTCCTCTTTGGGTTTTTTAAAATTAATGTAGTAAACTGCCAATAATGCTTTGCCCTGTCTCTATAAGGAATCTCAAGGTCCCTTCACTTTTCCGGCTCTTTAATCTTGTAACTGATTTATCTCTGTAGCAGCACCTATTTGTCAAGAAGCTAGGGGTTGGTTTAGATTCAGAAACTAATCAAGACAAATACTGTATTAGGTTGGTTTAGATTAGCAGATTAAGACGACTTTTTAATTTATGGGCCCGATGGACAATACAAAGACACTGAATATTTCATGATCCAAGTGACTCCGATTCGTTGTCAAAAATATTTCTGATTATTTCTGCACGGTAATTTTTACACACTCAACACGTTAATTGTGCTATTAAGCTAATTATATTCTGTAAATTTGGTCTGGTATACAGTACATTGCATACATGCACACACCTGGAAGAAGAGTGATCTGGATCTTGATATTTATTTCCTTAAGTAGTAATAGTATGACAAAGATAAAAGGATCCATTCTTGGAAAATTAGCTGTCAAGGCAAAGTTGTATGTGCTTAGGAAAAAGCAAAAGAAAAAAAAAATGTAAAATAGTCACATTTCAGAATACGGTCATGTGTTAGGGAAACACAGATAATTTCTGCAGACAAACAGGCAAAAAATAAGGAAATTGGTTCTGACTTCTATCATAGTCTCTGGGTGTAATTATTCGGTGTATATTATAAATCGTCTTATTTTTATACATTTTAAAAAAATAAGTGTTAGTAGCTGTAAGAAAATAAAAACTAAAATGTATTAGCATGTTTTTTTTCTTCTTGACAAGTGGGTAAAATTTGTGTGGTACAAAGCAGCAAAAAGGGTGAGTACGAATAATATGAGGGGAGGAGTGGTGTCCTCTGCGGAAGAAACAAAGCCTGAAAATTTCTGGTGTGACTTTCCAAATAGCTTTTTTTATTATTCTTTTCGCTTCTGTTTACATTGATATAAGAATAATTTGGTTTTTGGAATTTTTAATCAAATAAATCTGCCGCCAAACACAGTGAAACATCGATTTGACTTCAACCGAAAAATGAACGATTTGGTTGCAGTGGAATAGTTAGAAGATGTAAGACCAACCCAAATGGTGACACTAAGGAGTCTAATGAAGAGTGTCTAATATTATAACTGAATAAAAAAATTATAAAGAGTGTCTAATATATAAGACCAGTATCTAATATATAATTTCTTTTTTAATTTAAGAACATATAGATGTTAACATGTGAGTGGACGAAAAAATTAACACACAAAATCTTTTTTTTTTTGTCTCTCTCTAATTGCAATAAGTAGGCATGAGATTTTAAACCGAACCGAACCAACCAAACCGAATTTTTTGGTTTTCGGTTCTGGTTCGGTTATTGAAGAAAAACCGATCAGACATATTTTAAATCTCGTTCGGTTATCGGTTCGGTTCGGTTTACTGAACCGAACGGTTACCCGAATTTTTTTAAAAAAGATTATACCAAAATATACCAAATTGTACCAAATTATATCGAACTGAATATCCGAACTATCCGAAAATATATGAAATTATCCAAAAATACCCGAAATAACCCAAATCTACCCGAAATTAACCAAATTTAACCTAATTTAAACAAAAAAAAATTAGTTTGGATAGTTTCAGATAAAAAAATTAATATCTGAACTATCCGAACCGAACCGAACGAATTAAATTTTGGTTATTTTCGGTAATATTTCAGTAATCCGAACTATCTAAATTATCCGATCTGAATTATCCGAAGTATCTGAAGTCCCAGACTTAGCAACAGACACTGGAATTTCAAAGGAGAAGGCTTCTCAACAAGCAGTGAATTGCTCAATTGCATTTCTATTATTTATATGTTTCTATGTATTATCTTTGTAAAAATGTATTATGATTTAAAATTTGTTAAAATAAGTTTTTACATAAATTTATTTACATCCATCAAAGTGTCTCCATTGTATGTTTAAAAACAAGAAAATCCTACAAAGTGTTTTATACACCTAAAGTACACAAAATATTAATGATTAATCATTAAGATCCCTTCTAGTAGTATTATTATTGGGTTGCTCTAAAAGGTCAAAAGGGTGAATTTTTTTTTAAGAAAAAGTTTGAAAGAGGAAAAGAAACAAAAAATAAATGAATAGTGAATTGTTTAGTAGTATGAAGTGGGTTTGAAATAGTACTGTAACCCCTCCCCCCCCCAAAAAAAAAAAACCAAAAACACAAATTGGCTGATAATCTAAAAATAAAATCATAATTCACAAATAAAAAAATTAAATAAACTCATCCTAAAAAAAAAAGAGCACGAGATGCTTTTGTCTCTCTGCACCAAGTCAAATCAAAATCAAATCAGATGAATCTGTCAGTTTTTAATCATTAGCTATTTTCGTTTTACCTTTCCCTTCCTTCTGCAACTCTCTTCCGTATAGACAACTCTCTCTTTTTCGCAGTCAATTTTTTTTTTTCATTCAAACGGAACCAACCAATAAAAATTGTAATCATCTAAAGTTTTCATCTACCTGTGATATTTATTATGTACAACAGTGAACAGTACAAGTCTCTTCGTTTTGAACTTTCATTTGACGCCATTGCACAACATATTATTAACTTCAACTTTAACAAAACGTCTTAATTTCATATTTCATTAATGTTCAGACTTTGGAATATAAATCCCCCAAAAAGGTTTTAAAAACAAGAAAGCAAAAAAACATATATTTTATAGATATTAATAAAAGTAAAAACAGAGCAGATTAACAACAAACCGATTCATCTAAAAGCCTAATTTTCTTTTACCGGTGGCTACAGAAATCCAGAAGCAATTTTCTTCCATCAACAATCTCATCAAAGAAATCATCAATCTGAGCAACAATACTCTCTGTTCCATTCCTCAAATTCCCAATATTCACTTTCACACTCTCCACTCTCTCTCTTAACACTTTCTCCGCCGCTGCCGCCTCCTCCCCCTCTCCTCCTCCGCCGCACCACCGTCGTTCCAGCTCAGCCTTGAGCTCCTCCATCGCGTTCTTGCTCCTCCTAAACTCATACATCATTACTCCTTTCTTCATCCCTGTCCTCTCCATTTCCGCCGCCACTCTCTGCTTCAGTCTCACCATCGCAGACGCTGTCATCGTCACCGTCGCCGCTGTCTCGCCGGGAATACAGTAAACAAGGCCTTGCATTAAGATCATGAGAAGCAGCGAGTTTATGTTCTTCATTGTGTTCATTACTCCTCTAAAGCCGCTGAATCCGTTCTGTATCTTCGATGACTCCATCGCCGTCGTCGTAACTTGCTCCGACAGAAACGGAAACCTTAGAATCCGATTCTCCATTAAAGCTCTGTTTTCTTCCTCTATCCCCACCGCTTCTCTCCGACATCCAGATACTGCTCGTATCACCTGTCTCCGTTTTTAAAATTAAAAGAATTCAATTTTACAAAAATCGAACTTTATTCGGGAATAAGCCAAAAAGATTCAAACTTTATTACATCCATACCTGTCGGGAAATCTGACGGTGGTGGTGGCCGTCGAGAGTAGAGGCGATGGAAATCGCGGCGGAGCAAAAGTTTTCCATAGATGAGAGAGAGGATTTGATGACGTGGCAAACGTCCCAGAGCTTGGAGGTTTCGTCCATGTAGTCGTCGAGCCATTTGTCACCGACAGGGAGATTGAGTTTTTGGACGAGAAGTGTGAGATGAGAGTGAGAGGTTCTTAGGAGACAGATCACTCTCTGTAGGAACTGTACGGACATGAAGTTGTTGGAGAGGTAAACCCTTTCGAGATCTTCCATTGATCTGTTTAGAAACGAGTAGATTCCGTTTACGGAGTTTGTACAAGACGAATCCATTGTTTTTGCCGAAACAGAGAATTCTCAAAAAAAGATTTGATTTTTGTTTGTGGGTTTTGGTGTATTGATGATTCTATGGGAGGGAAAATTGGAAATGAGAGAATTTAAAGGTTAGTGGAAGTGTGTATAGATGAAAAAAGAGAGAGAGAAAGAAAGAAGAATAAGAAGAAGAAGAAGAAGAAGCAGAAGCAGAGATTATTTTCAAAGGATGAAAGTGATTGTTTGGAGCAATGATGGTTGTTTCCTATAGAGGAGGAAATGATCATTGGTTAATATCTCAAATTTTTACCAATATATATTATTTCTACTATATTTTATGGAAAGAAATAGTTTCCAATAAAGGCATATATATACTACAAAGAGGATTTTAATTTTAATATAAAGACAATAGTTTTTTAGGGGGAAAAAATAAAGAAATTACATAGGACATGAATTTCCATGGAATCCAAATAAATTTGTCATCAATTTTCTGAGACATAAATAAAATTAAAATAATACTCCGAATAAAAATTGAAAATTGTTTTCTAGAAGCTGCTCGTATCATTCTTTTTTTCTTTGGTTGGGGTTAGATAGATTTTTTCGTCCGAATAAAAACTCTTGTAACTAAAAATCAATATAGTAAGAACTAAAAATGATATTGATCATGCTTCAGTACATTAATAATCGAATTAGTGGTTTAGTATATGACTTAGCATTTTCGACAAGGGTCTAACACCACTTTACGCTTCACTAAAACCAATTTTCTTCTGACGTTATCTGGTACAAATATAATAATGGTGTCTGGTATAAACATAATAGTGTCTACAAACCTCACAATCTTTATTTATCCAATGATTGTATAGTGTCTCTATGTCTGTATTTTGTTTTTCTAACAACACCATTATAAACCATGACCCTTTTATTTTCAACAACTAACAGAGATAACAATACTTGTTACAGTTTTTTTTCACACAAACAATTTTATACCTGGCTACAACTATAATCACATAACCATGACACTTATTTATATTAATGTTTTCACTATTACACGTTGCTTACATCTTTCATTCGGTTTTCGATTCAATAATAATAATATAACAACGGATGCAATCATTTGCTAAAAATAATTATTTGTTTTAATACTGTTCGTGAAAATGGGTACTTCTTACGGTACCGTATCATTCTACTCGCATGCACATCCTTCTTCGTAGGACATTTTTTTATGGTTTTTTGTCAACATTCGACATTTACAATGTGTATCATTTCTTACTATATACTTTAATGCATATATAACTCCTTGTCGCAAAGCAACTAAGTTGAAATTCATATAATTAATTATAAAGACGTTTTTTTTAATTATTTGCCAGTGTATATATCTTTGTGTTAAAACAGTTTGAAGCACAGCAAAAGTATAATGTACGTGTACGTCTCTAAGTTACTTTAGAAATTAGAATATATTCACTAACTATTATTTAATACAATCCAACGAAATGAAATAATCAAATAAACTTGATTGTATGATGATTTGAATTGATATTACTAATGTGATCGAGATAGGTCATATTGTATAACAATTAGATTCGTCCATATTATTAATATAGTAGCGAAATTAAAATATACAAGAAATGAAATCAAGCTCGTACCACCAAGTGGCATTTCGGACCCATTTAACGGCGGATACCAAGAAAAGAAATATATAACATATTGACGCAATGGAACATTTACTAAAAATAATTAAGTAGATCGGGAAAAAAAATAATTTAATGCAAAAGGGCAATAGATGTTGCAAGCTAAGCAGTGTATATAAGTTGCTTTATTCCCGTTAATAAGCCGGCGCGTATTCTATACTCTTATCTGTGTTTTTTTTAATTTGAGGACTTTTTCTTATTCCATTCGTACACACTCTTTCTAAAGTCTAAACCACCGATATATATAAACATTATCATCTGATTGTATGCAATTATGATTCTTCTCGTTTAATTAGGTTGATATATAAAATAAATACTTCTATATCGTGAAAGTAAAACAATAGGGGCTAAATGTAAAACTGATTTTGTCCAAACAAATTTGACCACAGTATTAAAAGATGAAAGTTCATATGTAACTACCGGTTTATATGTAAAAATAAAAATGCATACAAAATAATCAATCTCGCATTACGGCATACTCTACCGTAAAGATATACGTTCCACTCGGATCAATGAAACAGGAGTCCATATTATTTGGTCAATAATTATATTTACTGTCCATATTGTAGATTTTATAAATGAAAACAATGTATTAAATATTATATATTGCATTTATTTATGGATGTGTGATTAAAAAAATTAATAGGTGTGGTAGAGCGGGGACCACCAAATCTAAAGGAAGCGTCGGGCGACTCAATAATTTCCGATACTTCATTTTTTTGTGCAACGTATTTACTTCATTTCTTTAGTACTCTAAAATTTGATGTTTAAGGTTTTGCACAGAGATTAAGAAGTTATTTAATTTTTTTTTTTCAAAACAAAACATCAATTCTAAAAATAATTCAACCAATAGAAAAATAATATATAGAATAAAACAATTACTTTTTACATTAACTTCTGAAAACATCATCTAATTATGAACAAAATTTTTTTCTAAAACATCTTATAAAGAAAAACAGAGAAAGTATAATTTTTTATCACATTTTTTATATTTGCTGTTTTCTCTACAATTTGTCTTTATATTATTATTTAGATACAAATCGATTTCCCAGGTAGACGTGAAAGACATACTCATAACTATTAGAATTATTTTAGTTTTCATTATTTATGAAAAACAAAACAAACAGGGACAAAACGAACTCTATTCAGCAAACTATCTAAAAATTAATATATAAATATTTCAAAAAGATGGTATATTGGTAAGACTTATTATATAAACAAATAATTAGAAATTTACGTAAATAGTTTTGGTCAGATGGAAATGTATGTTTAAGCGTATATCTATCGATCCAGCCGTAGAAAGTAGTTTATAAATAAAGTAGATTTGCGAGAATGTTTCGTTTTTTCAGTAATGGCTTAAGATAAGGAAACAACTGTTTTTGGTCCATACTCTCTTCTCCTTCTGTCTACCATTTCAAATGGATCTTCCAATTTTCTTCATTTCGTTGTCCCGTTTAATTCTGGCTGAGAATGTTTATATACCAAGTGATTTCTTTGGTTTTAGTCTCCAGATTTATGGCTAAGGGTAAATGTTTGAAAAAAACCTTGAACTCTAAGATAATTATTTTGAAAAGAAAATAGTAAAATTTACGAGGTTGAAGTTTTTTGTAGAGTCGTCTACAACTTTGTTAAAACTCGACTGAAAAAATAACATAATAAAAAACCGAAACCTTTATACCCGTTTTACCTAACTAGTAGAAGCTATGGTCGTTATTAATCAAGGTCAAAAGGAACTTTTAAGTTTTAACAGAGAAACAAATGAAGTAAGGTTAAAAGAAAAGGCTGTAGTAAGTAAATAACTGATAAGCACTCTGATCAGTGATACTCCAATCGAACGGTGGAGATCAATGGAAGAGTTGATTAAATAGAGGGTAAAGAGCCGCCACTAAAGATATAGTTTATCACTTTATCTACTTATATATATTTTTAATGTAAAAGTAAAAGTGTTGAGCCGAAATTAGGATGTAAAGGTATATGCTATTTCAACGTTAAATGGTAGAGATTTGTGATTGTAATATTCCACTTCGTATAATGTACACTAAATTATAGTTTTTTTTAATATATACAATGTTGATGTGGTCCAAATTCTTGATACTAAGGAATAAGGATTATATATTATGAAGAACTAAAGAAAGGAATGATTGAGGTTTGAGGAGGAGCGTAATACACTGAACGTGACGAGTGTTTTATATATATATCTAGGAATTATATAATTTTGGAAAAATGTTTCAACAATGCAAGAATTTTGGTTGTTTTGCAAAACGCTAAAAATCCTAAATAAGAAGAATTCAAAAATTGTGTGTTGGTTAGTGAGTTAATTCCAAAATACAAGACACATTTATATAAAACTGCCAAACCAAATTCCCTATCCGTCTTAACCGGATAAAGTTATAAAGTCAACTGGTTACAAAACAGAAGTGGGTCCTTCGCTTTATTTTATTTTTATTGCACCAAACCAAAGTAATGAATTGAAAGCCAAAACGAGTTGCAAAAGTTTTAGATTAATATAATTCTCAGAAACTGGAACTATAAACTATCAAACGAAATCACAAATCGAGTGACTTGAATATGTAATAAAATAGAGAAAAAAAAGAAGAAGAATGAATATTTGGATAGAGGAAACAAAAAAACATGACTTGTAAAGTGCATATTAAGAGAGGATATGAGATGTAGGCAGTTGGGTAGCTTAATGAGATTTAGGACCACAGTATGGGCTTCTTCTGCTATTACGTCTATTTCAACATGATAAGTAACATTCTCATTTCTATTTTCCAAAATCAATATTTTTTTTTATTTCGAAATTCCCCTAATAATCAATTTTAGTGGCCCTATCTCTATCTGTGACAAGGTCGGCCCTTTTCTTCTCATTCTACTACACCCACAAAGCCACACCTATTTTTCATCATCATCACTCTTCTTAAAGCATATAATAGAAAAAGAAAAAGAAAATATACATTTAAGTAAAAAGAAGCTGACTGAATACAGTTGTGTCATCTGTCATGTGTGCGTATGTATGCCGTATGATGTGGATTGTGTAAAGTTTATGTATGCACCTAATGCGGCTACTGGGTCCCTCATATGGGACCAAACTTTAGTATTCAGATTCATGGTATCAAGAACCAAGACAATCGTCTCATTACAAGTCCTACCCTCTTTATCCATTTGAGGCTATGCCAAAGACTTGACTATGGATTATTTATAGTGACAGTTTTGGTTTTATATGCAACTATCTATGTATGGGAGTGATAGATGGGAGTTGGCACCTGGTCAGGTCATGTTTAAGAGCAGACGAGTGTGCAGAGGTCTTGTGTCCTGGCTTGTGAGATGTTTGTGAAAGGAAATATCCGGAACTTTCCATTGGCCATGCAGGTCAGTGTTAGCTGAGCATCACTCACCATTGCCTGTTTAGTTCACAATTTTTTTTACAGTGTTGCATCATTAACCAAAACAGTGATCTGCTTATGTGAACAGGATCACAAGAAAGCTTTTAAGGTTTATATGATATACCTCGCAGGAAGTAGTCATATCACTGCAGCTCCATTTTCTGGTTGGAACACAGTCAACATAGCGACACCAATTGCAATGACGGTTCAGATTGATGCCCCAGCTCGCTGCTATTAAAGCCCCAGCAAGTCTAAACAAAACAAAAATGTGTAAAGCTTTATCATGTCGCAAGAGAACACGGAGAGATAATGATAGATCAATAAATAATCTAAGAGAGAGATTCTCACATTCCACAAAACAAGACCAGGCATACAATCCTTAACACCGGTCTGTCAAACATTTCTTTACGCCTTGTGGAACTTTTCATATCATCCTCAAACAGTTTTCCCTTGTGAGGTGGAGGGTCCTGACTCAGCTGTGGGGTGAATAATAGCACGAACCCAAGAAGGAACCCTGATATGAAACCGCCAATATTCGCAAAGTTGTCTATGTAAGGGAGGAAGCCTATCAGGAAATTGACAGTGGAGATAGTGAATATCATCACTAACGCAGAAACCTGTAGCAACCAAACAAAAACAAAAATCAGCAAAGGTATGAGAAGAAGATAGCTTAGGGACAGAACAAACAAACACAAGAAATGCTTGACCTTGCAGCTATAAAGATTCCAGTTCCTTGCAAGTGCAGAAAGCATGGCTCCAATCAAGCCAAAGAAAGCAGCACCAGAACAGATCGATGGGATGTTTCGAACAAACAACACAGCAAAGAGACTACCAACAATGCCAGAGAGGAAGTATATCACTGCAATCCTCACTACACAAGACCAAAAGCAAAAAGCAAAAGAGAAAGGCTGATTATAAAGGGTGAGAAGTATAAAGTATAGGTGAAATAACCAAAGCCAAGCAAGTGCAGTTTTACATGGTCCGTATTGCTGCTCCATGTATATCCCTACGAAAATCAAACTCCCGAGATTTATGAAAAGATGAAACAATCCGCTGTGAAGCCACGGGGATGTCAAAACACGCCAAATCTCATGCTTCTCCACCAGAGCATTCCAGAAAAGACCTCCCATGTCTACGAATCTGCAAACTCACAAGAAAAATAAGCTAAAATCCGCACCTGATTCCCTCAGTTTGCTTAAGAAACCTATAGCTCTCAGAAGAAGCAGCATCTTCTATTCTATTAGTAGCTTAAATTCAGTTTGCTTCATCAAACAGAGTGTAAATCCACACAAATAAGCAATCTGGAACAACACAGAGTTGGAAAGAAGAACTTGAAGCTGGTATCGAAGAAAATTGAGATCCAATGTTATCAGACTCAGTGAAAATGGCGGACGCAAAACATCGTAACATACTCCAATAAGAAATCTCTTGAAAGATCTTCCGCATCTAATTAGAGGTCGATTCCAGAAACAGAAACAAAAATAAACGCGGAAGAGAGCTACTCACGTAGAAGCGGAGGGGCCGAGCATAGGATTCTCGGAGAGAGGCTGAAAGGAGAATCGGCCGAGCAATTTGGCGGCGCAGTGGCCGTTAGAGTTCCGGGAGCAGTCGTTGACGCCCATAGTTACAGCGAAGATGACGATTTGAAGAAGCACGAAGGCGGAGACGAGCCAAGTGTCGCGCGTGATTTGCCGTGATCGGTGACGGAATAAGGGGAATTTGTCCCAGCTAGTATCGCCGGCGATGGAAGTAGAAAACGAGAGACTGTGAGAGATTTCATCGATCTGCGTCTTTGGCTTCGTAGGGACCTCCATTGAAAAGGCGGAGCGAGAAATTAGGGATCGGAGACGAATGTGTTGCTTTAAAAGTTTCTAGAAAGTGATTTCTAGAGTGGCGGGAAAATGCTTTTGAGAGCAAACCGAACGCCAACCGTTTATTTTAATCCGGTTTATTTCTATCTACATTAGTTCATCGTTTATTTTAGGGCTCTTTATTTTAAGATTCGGATGCTTATATTTGGGTCCAATTCAATACTCATGGATTCTGTATTTATCTCTCTCGAAATGGATTCAGTGAACTGTCTCGTCTTGGGCCTCTCTTGGGCTGCTTTTCTTGATGCGAACAACATCTAAAAATTGTAATATCACTAAGCCATTAATTTCTCAAGCAAAGAATGTATTCGTGTTTGTGGAATGCACGAAACGAATTTTACATGCAATAATTAATAAATGTTATCCGTAAATTTCGACGTTTGGTTTGGTTAGTAGTTAGTACTTAGTTATCAAAATGCTAATTTAACAATATGCAAAAAAAGAAGTAAAGAAACAGTGACTACAGTATTTAATATTATAAAATGCTGTTTTATCTCTTATCTATATGGTTCTTTCAATTTTAGGATGCTAAATGGAATTTAAATGTGGTCACCATTTGTCTAGAAACCATGCCTAAAAATAAGTTAGAATATCATCATATCCAGCTTCATAATTAGTGGAGTAGTTTAATACTATAAATTTACCAGGCCTTTTGGTAAACAAATACAGAAAAAATGCTGCACTTGTATAAAGTTGGTGGCTGCCATTTACTAACCCATTTGGATTGAAAATAGAGTATGTAAAACTAAATTTATAGTTCATATTGAATTCCACATGGCATATCTTTATATATATCATGTATAATTGCTTCATAATTTGTTTTTGTTTGCCTAATCTGTTTTGTTAGTGCAACAATATATAGACATGTACTCATCATATAGAGTCAAAGGGAACAAAAATGAACCTGGCATAAATGTAAATAAATAGAGAGACCCAATTAGTGTTTTCTTGTTTTCTCACATTGTTGTTGCTCAAAGACGACCTTTCTTTCAACGGTACGAAACTCTCTGATTTATCTTCCTCGTTGGATCTTTTTCCACTTACTTTCTTTCTTTCTTGGTGGTTTTTAAAATTTTAAACTGAAAAACAAGCGTCAATATAGATACTTCTTCTTCTTCTTCCATTCAAAACCGCTTTTTGATTTGGTTTTGTTGAATCTCGACTCGCTGAAGATGGGAGATGAAGATTGGATCGAACTGAAATTCAGACTCGCTGATGGGACCGACATTGGGCCAACCAAATACAGCCAATTCATGACTGTTGCGTCTCTTAAGGAGAGAATCATTTCTCAATGGCCTAAAGGTAAAGATGCTTTCAAATACAGTTTGTTTTTTTTATCGTTCAACTTTGTATTATGTTTCTCAAAGTTTTGCAATTTGTTTAAGTTATATAATTGATATATCTGAAACCATGAACTCTTGTTCCATATTGTTCTAAGTGCTGATCTTTTTGTTCTTGTAACAGACAGAGAAAATGCTCCAAAAACGATAAATGAGATCAAGGTCATCAATGGTGGCAAAATACTGGAGAACAACACAACACTTTCTGAAACCAGATCACTACCGTTTGGTGAACTAATTCCTGGAATGGTAACCACAATGCATGTTGTTCTTCGTCCTCCTCTCTTAGTCCCCAAAAACGGTACTTTCATTACATTTTCCTCTTCAATTAATTCTCAATTGTTTTTCTGTGTATTGTATATCTCAAACTTTTCTTTTTACTATTGGTCAGAGAAACTGCAGGATAAACCTCCAGTGAAGAACAGTTGTGTATGCTGCATTTTGTAACTCAACTAGAGATTTTTTTTTTTTTTTTAAATCTTTTTACATAATTTATGCTATTTGGATTATCCTCCATGGAAAAGCTTTCCATAGCCTCAACGACTTTTCTTCTTCATTAAAAAGATTCCACTAAGAGGCTTCAATGTTTTCCTTAAGCATTGATCTCAGAGAGTGGTCTGAGTAGACAAATGTAACAAGAAGCCAAGGTGCTTCTCCTACGCATCTAATTCAATGAGCACATGCATTGTGGAAGGTTGTAGGGTAAGTTTTGTTATCAGAAAGGGACACCATTCTTAAGATGGGAGTGGGTCACAGTTTCACTTAATGGGTGAGGGAAAAATGATGGCATGACATGACAATATGACATGACATGAGTTGCTGCTTTCAATCAACTACTTAGGACACTAAAAGATACTATTATGGGTTACTTTTGAAAACGACCATTTTGGTCTTGTCCCTTTAATATTGTCTCTCTCTCTGTCTATTTACTAGTATCGGAACTCGGCTTCTGATTCTCAGGGCTCTTAATGGGCCATTTAACTGAACCAGGCCGACGAGTAATTTGTAGTTAAGAAGTTTAAAAGATTATATTTTAATTTTAGTTGTTTAATATAAACAGACGAGTGCAATGAATTGTCAAAAAAAAAAAAAAAGACGAGTGCAATTAATTGTTTTATTTTTTATTTTATGTTAAAAAGGACAGTGGAAATGTTTAACGAACTGTTAAACGGTATGCTAACAGAAGTATCATTTCTGATTATTTATACATCAGCCATATCCATAAAATCTGTGTGGTGACAATTTCGTCCAAAAAGTAAAAGATAAAGTTTTTGTTTAATACTTTATAATCCGACCACTTATGCGAATGGGGCGAATGGGGGTATTACTCGTACACGTATGAATGATTGCATTCGCTTCCTTTTCTCATAGTTTAATTTTTCTTTTTCCTTTTCTCCTAGTTTCATCTTCATCCTGACTCGTTACATGGTTAAACATAAGCCATGTATATAATTGAGAGAGAATTTGGACTCACTGTTCTACTTAATATAATCACTCACTCGATATAATCACAAGCCAGGTATATAATTAGATGTTGTATATATGTCGATGTGCAAAGTTTTTATATCCAATTGTAAACTGTCCGGTACAAATCGGTTCTCACTAAACCAAATTTTAATGTGTAAACCACATCATCATATCTAATACGAAACAATCCATTAGACAGAAAAAGGCTAAAAAAAAATTATAAAAAATAATCACTTACTCCATAGGGCTATTGAATTTCCCATTTTCTAATATAATTAAAGTGGTTTTAATGTATATGGATAATGTGGTGTCTTACATTAACCCTTAATTATATCTGGGCCATGTTGTGAACTTATTCCTTCAAAATTATATCAAAATAAAAAGTTGATCTGAAAAGCGCTACCTAAACTTCTGACGTAAATATATGACATAGCCAACACTAATTACATGACTAAACAACTCTAAAAAACACCGAGGAGATCAGTACTATATGTCGATCGACCGAACACTTTAATTAAATAATAAACTATATTACCACTATGATAGGAAGTGAACCATATCAGATATTTTAAAACTTTACAATATTAAATCTTAATATCAGATTCATCACAGCTTAAGTAATTTTACTACTTAGGTCCGAATTGGTCCATCCATTGTATTGATATCCGAATTCTGCGTTTGTCCCAAATTCTTCCTAATCATATATATATGTATGTATATCTATTATATTTTCTTAGATCAGTACAAATAATATGATCAGTAAATTTTATTTACTTTCAGGGGTGAATAAGCTTTTCAAGATTTTTTTTCGGAAGCCTATCACGGATTCAAGTATTCAAAACCTAGGCTATACTGAATCTCAAAAATCCAAAGTGATCCAAACAAAGTGATTTAATTCTTAATGAGAATCCAACTTAAATGCACTAAAGTCAGAAAGTTTTCAACTTTTGATCAATTTAATACTTTGACTGCGATGGCTATGAGATGAAAATGCAAGTTGATTAGTGTGTTGTTACCCGTTTCAGAGGCAGCCATGGAGGTAATGAACTTGGACGATTATATTTGACTTTAATTAGACGATTCTATTCCAATATAATATATGCTTTAATTGCTATATGTGTATAATGTATATAAAAAAAAATTGCAATAGATCTTGGCGTAGCCAGGCAGCCTCCTCGTTTTATTCCACACTAGCACTTTATATGCCAATATTCTCCCCTCACCCTTTAATTTATGTTTGTATGTATCCATTTTCTTAAAAAATGTTAGAGAGTGGAATCTATATTAAAATGTACTCAAATTCGAATTTGAAATAGTTTAAAGCGCATGTCATTTATACAACCGTTTATTGGTCTTTATCAAATTTTGTGAAGCAAACAAACAAACAAACCAATGCATCGGTAATAAATACATGTTATATACTTAATATTTTAAACATCATAAACAATTACAAACAAGAAAACTTCCACATGATGTATACATCAGTTTATTTAAACGACGATCAAACCTACATGTGTAATTCCCACATTTGTATAAATATTTGTTTTATGTTGTTACCATGCTGATAAGTGATAACTAAATTGATTTGTTCGCAAACTGCGTGTTCTCAAATTGTGTTCCAACATAACATGTATGCAAAATCGCTTTACTACACATTATTGGTTTAGCTTATTATTTAACATACAGAAAACCACATATAATATTTTTTTACTTTTTTATATGTACACAAAATAAATCAGCCCAACTACACATGCAGTCGTATGTGTATACTCGCACAGTTATTTTTGAACTAGATTTCATATGCTCGCATAATTGCCTATAAGTTTTGGAAAAATATACTTTTGTATTATGTTATAACATGTTCACTTAGAGTAGTAGTATATTTTCAAAAAGAGCTTGCATGTTATTTGCTTTTATTCGTCGTGAAAATGATTGTGGATTTTCGAGTGAATCAATAATAGTCACCTGAAATTGACTCACACGTGGTGAACATCGCTGATGCATTTGATGGAGTATATTTTTTATAAAATATACCATAAACAAACAACGAATCAGGAATATATCGAACACTATCTGATATTAATTGCCACTTCAAAATTAGAGATCGTGCGACAACAAAATAGTCTGGTTTATCCAATAGAGGAACAACAGTAAGAAACGTGACTAAAAAAGAAACAGAATCCAGAGAAAAAAAAAACACAAAACAAAAAAAAGTAAGAAACAATTATTATATATTTGTATTAGATGACTGTGAAGTCCACTACCAACACAAATCGCAGAATGCACGGAAACAACAAAACCAAGTAGTATAAATTTGGCATATAGTATATTTATATATGTGTTCTTGACTTCTTGGCTTGTCAATAGAGACACGTTTATGGATATTGTGGTCGATTCGATTGTCATTTTGGAAGTTAAATGGCGGCCGAGTCAGATTCCTCTCAGGCCTTCTTCAATTTATTCGTGGGTTGTTTCTCGAATCTCGAGATTTATTTATAAATTGTTTTCATACTTTGTAACAGCCATCATACCTTTTTGGGGGGTAAAATACACAGCCATCATACTTTACTACTATCGATTATATATTAGTTAACAAAAAGTTAATTTTTTTTTTTTTATATTTTAGTTAGCGTTATCATCCCAGTAACCAGTGCCCTAGCGTTTGCTTATAAGCTGTAGTCTGTAGAAAATCAATCTGTATTTCAAAATTTCTTTCTATGTAAATCCGTTAACTATTATACCAAACTCTAAAACCTGAAACCAAATAGTCTAAAATAAAGATAAAAATTTAAAATTTATTTCTATAAAACTTTTGGATTATGGGCGGGGTTTTTTTGTGTGTGGCTAAGATTATGGTCGGGTTATGTTTATTTGGATGCATTTTTCGAAAGAAGAAAAAATTGGATGCATTCTCAAAAATTTTAAAACGTACATAGTTGCTGATTAAAATCCATATCTGTTAAACAAAAATAGTATTTCATGAAAGCCAGATACCCATAATCAATTAAAATATAAGTTTAATAATTAACGCATTTTTAACAGAAAATTTTAATAATATAAACCATGTTTAGCTTAGATCTGATCTTTATTTACAAGTTTTTATTTTTTAAGTCTTGACATAATATCTGGACCCTGAACAATCATTTATTTACAAAACGTAAATATACTATTTTAATTAACAAACAACATGCTCTATGTCCAAAAAATCTCCTTAACATTTAGACCCAAATAAAAGAAAAAGCAATGAGCAAAAAAAAAAAAAAAAAACTCCACTACTCCGATCGGCAAAAACTAGGTTCCCTGATCAACTTAAACGTGACACAACAGTAAAACCTAGTTCCGGAAATAAATATACACAACAGTAGTATATGCATATACCGTATTTTTCGAGGAAAAGAGAAGTATGTATACGTATAATAGCGTGGCAAAACAAACCCCATAAATTCAGTAAAAAGGACCCCACGAGTTTTTATTCTATAAATAACGCCCCAAACCTCTCCCCCTTAAATGCAACAACACTCATCTTTCCCAAACAAACTACCTTTTGTTTTTCTTTCCGCTTCTTCAGATAATTAAAGGAAACTTCATTTTCTTTTTTTCTTTTCTTTTCTAAGTTGATCAAAGATGTCGCTAGCTATTGCAGAGGTTTACACGGTGAGGAAGCTTCACAGAGAGAGTATGAAGAAACCGGCGAAACCGGCGGTTACTGGCGATGGAGACGAAAAGATCGCCGGAGGTGGGATCCGTGGGGACATAAAATCGCCGGTGAAACAGAGTGGTTCTAGAAGGTTCGGACGGTGGTTTGTTGGAAAGCCGGGCGTGAAGAAAAGCTCTGCTAAAGTTTCGGATCCCATGACGATTGAGTGAAAGTTTTCTCTTATTTTCGTATTTTTATTTTGTTTCTTTTTCTTTCTTTCTTTATCTATTTTATCACGTCTTTACTCTTTTTTTTGGTTCTCGCCTTTTCTAGTTTCTTCTCTTCTTCTTCTTCTTCTTCTTTTTTTATTGTGAGATTTCATAAATAGTTGATAAAAGTTGTAAAGTATGAACTTAAAATATGAGCTATATATATATATATATGTCGTATGGAAGTTCTGCACTGAGTTTCCCTAATATAAGAACATTTTTGGATTTGAACTCGGACTCACGATGCGGAGTAACTATTTATACAAACCTCTATAACACTAGCTTAAGTCATTAACAAAACATATCCCAAATCCAATTTCGGCGCTACGCAATATACATTTTAAAATTTGACTTTATTGAGCTATATATGTCAAGACGAGTCACATAAATACAGTTAAAGACACACTATTCTTTTTTATAAAAAAGATATAGGAAAACACTTTCAAAAGGAAAAAATAGTGGGTTAAAGAAAAAAGAATTGGTGGATGTTCAAAAGTATGATAACAAATTAAAAATCTATGAGGGTGACTAGGAGAAGGGGTCACATTGTTTTATAGATTTATTTGCAGCCAATCAGAATATTATGGCTTTCAACATACAAACAGCTAAAAAAAAGTTAATTAGTTTTACTGGCTTTACTAAATTTCACTTGCAGCTACTATTTTTAGTTGTTCTTGATATTTTTTTCCTCTTTCCTGTTTGTTGCAGCCATTTAGGAGCTTTTGTTTTTCTAAACCCACTCATAAATAAATTAAAAAAATAAACACTTTAACTTTTTAATGATAACCGAAGTATATTTTTAGTTTATCATTTGTAAGTAAAGAAAACGAAACCGAAAACAATTATAAAGAAAAAGTAAACGACAACAATATTATACCTTAAAATATCTTTTGTAGCAAGTTGAAGATATTGAATCTATTCTCTGTGGATAAAGTTATATCATCAATTAGATAATATCTTCTATTAATTTGTAATATGGAATCCACTATCTGTTCTTACTTAGAACTCCAGCCAAAACCTTGGATTCATTGCTTATCTCTCTTGATGTAGTTGAGATTACTTCACTTTCTCTGTGTACTTCGCCTTACCTTTAAACTGTTCAATAGAGTAGCTGAAACCTCGACAAAATGTAATATTATAGCCATATCACTATAAATCTAGGTTGCATGGAAACTCCGTCCGAGGTACGTTTCCCGTTTCCGAAACGTTTCGGAAACTGAAACTCTCGGAAACTCGTCGGAAACACGAAAAATCACGTTTACTAAAAATTCTAATTTGGAAACATTTTGGAAACGCGTTTCCATTTTAGAAACACGCGTTTCCATTTTGGAAAAAAGATAAAAACTAATTTCTTGTTTTTATAGAACAAATAAATAATTATAAAAATTAAATTAAATAATCAATTTACTTATTTATAGTAAATAATAAATATTTTGATTTAGTAATTAAGATTAATTTTGAAATTATTAAGTTTGAAAATTATTCTCTGGATGAATTAGAATTAGAGATAGATTGGTTAATGAAACTAATAAAATTGATAATAAAAACAATCTTCTAAATTTTTGACTTTACATATTTTAAATTTTATAGTTTAATAATTATGTAAAAATTATATATTAGATTTTGTTGATTAAATATTCTACTTATAATTAGATCTTTAATACTTAATATATATATATATATATATATATATACGTTTCCAAAACGTTTCCATTTTTATATTTTTTTTAAATAGCGTTTTCGCGTTTCGAAACGTTCCGCTTCCACGTATCCGTTTCCATTTCCGTGCAACATAGCTATAAATTTGCTTACACCTACAAATCGTGAACATTCACAAACAAAGAAAAGGACCACAAGAGTAAAAAACAAAGTTATAATGGGGGTGGGGTGAGTTATCAATTTAAGGAGTTATGGGCCGTTAGCCAAAAAGAAAAAGAGTTATAGCCAAAAAGAAAAAGAAGTAAAAAGTAAAAAGAGAAGGACCAAAAGTGTAAAAAACGTAGAAATTAAGAAAAGACGGTGAGGTGCTGTGCACGTAACTGAAATCCCAAAAAAAAAAAAAAAAAGTCTGGCGACTCTCTTCCTTTCTCCTTCCTCTCGCACACACCTTCACGCAATGACGCCAACCTTCGAAATTTATTCCACCTCCCTCGCTTCTCAAATCTTCCCGCCCCCTCCTCAAACTTATATCGGACGCTACGTTTCTCCGGCGGCGGCGGCGGAGGCGGAACCTTTCCTGTCAAATCTACCGACCAATTCTCTCCGGCCAGCTCGAATTTCAGGTATGGTTTGTACTTTATACTAGTGTTCTGATTAGAGAACTACTGTCGAATCGAATTAGCAGATTGATCGCGTCGAATTTTTCGGTGAAACCTAGGAAATTTTGGGGGATTTTAAGTTTGCTGTGGCGAAGGATCGATGGAGAAACCCAGTAAATGTGCTGTTTGCCACCATTCATTTCGTGCTTCAATCTGCGTAGCTTGTGTTAATCGCGGGTATGCTGGGTTTATCTATTTGAAATCGGTATCGGACGATTTTACTTGAGCTCCGGGAACAATCTCTTACTTGTGCGTTTCCTTGGCAATTTCTGCAGGTTAAATGAATACAAAATCATGTTGGACTCGTTGAAGAGCCGTCGGGATATTTCATACTTGAGATTAAGTGGTTTGCTTGTCACAAAGGTTTGCTTCTCTGCTCATTGAAAGGAGTTGGAATTCTCTGATCTGAATTTGCTTTTTTTTTTTGTTTTCTGCAAAAATGATGTTTTTCTTCACTGTTGTTGACCAGGAGAAAGCAATGAGTCAACGTTGTTGGGTGGAGCTTCAGAATGAGAAGCTTGCTAGGCTGCGGGAGAAGCTCCAGCTACAAGTGGATAAACTGCATAAAAGTCTGAAGATAACTCATTTCTTTAGCACTAAGTGACTTTAAACTGCGAATTCTAAGAAACCTACTCTATGATGCAGGTAAAAGCACATTTCGGAGACTATCTCACAATCTGAAAGAGAGATATGGCATTATCGAATCAACTAACGTTGCTGTAATGTGATACCTTTTTTTTTGTTCATTATCTTCCTTTTCTTTCAAAAGGAATTGTATGAAGCTGGTTTTGCCATGGCTAAGTCCCATCTCTCTTTCATCTCTACAGTTGGAAAAGAGCCGTGTTCGCCACTTGGGGAGCCACTATTCAGATACTATTGGCAATCACTACTTGGTATATGTAAGATCTGCATCTCATAATACCTTTAGTTGTGTGCTTGAACCAGTCCTTTGGTAGAACGTTTTTTTTCTATTCAGTGTCATGTATATGAACATAAGGCAGCATTTGTGATCTACAGATCGAGCTTACTTCAGAACGCCTTTATAAACAGGCTTTGGTCATGAAACAGATTTGCAAATTATTCCCTCTATCCAGGGTAAGGAGATCATATTTAAAGGTTCTTACTATAGAGTTGTTAAAAATACTGAAGAATTCTTCGCCAAAAAGATTTTGGTAAAGCAAATTTTGTTTATTCGTGAGGCAATCCATTATCTACATTGGTATTACTAAATATAAGTCTGTTCAGGTGACACTAGAGGGCCATAACAAAGATGGGTGTAGTGGACAGTATGATCAAATCTGCAATGCTCTCTTACCACAAGGTCTCAACCCACTCTCTGTTCCGCCAAAAGAGCTCGCAGCCTCGTTAGGGTAACATGTCCTCGTCTTTAAACTGTCATTTTGTGGTACAAAAGTAACCTAAGAAATATGCAGACTCATCTCTTTAAAGAATCTCATAGTCCTGCTGACCATTCTACTCATAATCATCTTTTATATTTGATTCAGTAGTTTGATAAATTTAACATTCCCATGGTTGGTGGTTGGATCAGGTACATGGTGCAGCTTCTGAATCTTGTTGTGCATAAGCTCGCAGTGCCTGCACTCCATAATTTGGGTTTTGGGGTAGGTGCCAACATATCCTTAGACACAATTTTATGCTAAACAGTTTCCTCAGTCTTGGAAGATTACACACACGCACACTTACTCACAGTCACTTCATCCAATGTTTTGTATAGGAAACAATTTTGGGAGATATTTCGTTTATGTTACTTCCTGAAATGGAAATTGACTGATTAACAAGGATTAAAAATTTGCATTATTTTGTCTCAGGGTTCTTGTTCAAGAATATGGCAACGAGATTCTTATTGGAACTCACATCCTTCTTCTCCAAGGTGAACCAATTTTTACATGACAGAGATTGTTTGTTTCTCCATTAGATTTGGAGATTTGAATGACTGTGTCTTTTTTTTTTGGCAGCGATGAGTATCCGCTTTTTGTACCATCCCATGATCACTACTCCATTGAAGAAAAGAGTTCATGGACGGGTAGAGATACAACCAATTTTGGCGTCACTTCACTGAAATCAGATGGAAGTGTAGAAGAAGATGATCATGACCTCGACGTCATCAACCTTTCCTCTGCCTCTCCTCAATCTGTTGAAACATTAGGAAATCTGCAGAGAGGAATTGCACATCTCAAGCAAAGCGTGGCTCACTTAACTGTGTATGGCTACAGTTCCTTGTCTATGGAAGTTCCTTCTGGAGCCTCGACTTTTGAAACATTTGCAAAATTGCTGGCCACATTATCTTCACTCAAGGAAGTTCAGTCTGCTTTTTCCCTTGGTTTGTCAAGGTAAAATCGTTGAATTATTTTCATAACTTGTACCCGAATTTTAGACACTTGATACTTTTACATTACAGTTCCAACAAGCAAAGACAGGAGCCGAACAAATCCGTGTGGAATTTGAACTCCTCAAGTTCCAGCACGTTGCTGAACAGCCCTCATACTCAGCCAACATCGGTATGACTTTTGGTTCATAGGATTAGTTTCAAAAGAAATAGTAAAATTTGGATGAGAAGTGTCGTGATATTTCCTATCTGTCTTTGTAGTGGAACAATAGCTATTATAATGTTCCAAATCGAGATCCAAGCTATATGGTGGAGTTTCCTGATGTGCAAAGGGACAAAAACTCTATTGGCGAGTGGAATTTGGTCGAGCATCCTCGTTCTTCACATCAACCAATGATTTTTAACCATCCAAACAAGTATTGAGGTAAAGAAAATACGTCTTTGCAGGAACTCAGATTGTCGATATGTATGTTCATTGTTCATTACCCTAAGCATCTTCAATTCTAGGCACCCATAAATGGTGCATTTGATCTAATTCTTGATACGTCTTCTTCTGTAATTTGTGTTAACATGTATATTTAGTATCATAGCAAATTAGCAATTGCTTCATTCTTATTCTTTTGGAGCAAAGTGGAGTAAATACATTGTGGAACAACAATGATGGTCATGTGCACTTGTCACATGACAATATCATCCGGCTTGTTTGGGCTTTTAATAGGAAGAAAAATAAAAAAAGGAAGCCACCATTAACTCACTCAACCAAAAAAGAACCAACCCCTTTTTTCCACACCACACAATGGGAACAAAAGCAATTATATGTGAAGCCCATCACATCCTTTGCTTTTCAAGGTTACATAATTGTTGGGAAATAACATATGTTTACTAACATTAATAAAGCAAGTCAGTTTGATATCCAATTTATACGAGAGAAAATAATACCATATTACAATATCATTTTTTTGTTGGTTGCTTAACGACAATGGTGGTGTTGGTTTCTCTATTCAAATAGTTTATTTGGATGAAGATGAAAATTTTATTTGTTTTATAATAAAATCAGAGCAACAGCCACTGAATTATTTAATGAGTTTATTTAAACTATGCAAATTTTTAAAATTCACCTGAATGAATCAAATTGATTCATGTGAATGATGATCCTAATATAACAAATGACTAAAATACTTTATCCAGATAAAACATTTAGATGTAAATGCTATATGGAAAAATAAACATGATATAAATGATATTTTCTAATTATTTTGAAAAATCAAAAATCATATTTCCCACCAAATTTATGAAATCATATTTTTTCTGTTAAAACCATGAAATATTGTTTTTTCACCAAAACCATGAAATTGTGTGTTTTTTTTATTGCAAAAATCACAGAACCACATTTTTTAGCCAAAATCATATAATTACATTTTCTCGCTAAAATTGCAAAATTACATTTCCTACTAAAATCAAAAATTATGTTTTTTTGTTTAAACTGCAAAATTGTTTTTTTTTCTACCAAAACCATGAAATAATATTTTATTGTCAAAATCATAAAATCATGTTTCCCTGCTAAAACCTTAAAATCACTTTTTCCCACTAAAATTGCAAAATTGCATTTTTTGCTAAAATCAAAATCATGTTTTTATTTAAATCACAAAATTATTTTTTCTCACAAAAATTACAAAATCGCATTTTTCGCCAAAACTAAAATCAGTCAATCGTCAAAATTACAAAATCAGGGTTTTTTTGTTAAAATTATAAAATTTTGACCACAAAATTGTATTTTTTCACCAAAACTGTGAAATTATGTTTTCTATCAAAACTATTTGATTAATAAATATATTTTACATCAAATTAAAATTAAAAATAAAATAACTAAAATTGAGATTACAAATGTGATTATATGAAAATATGGGTATTTTGTTATTAAAATCATCTAAATGGAAATGTAAATTTATAGCCAAACTAATGAAACAAATAAAGTTACATTCAGATGCATCATTCAAATGAACATTCAACAATAGAACGAACAACTTTGAAATAAACCATTGGAATATAGCATTTGGATAAAAATGATAGATGAGGACAACCAGGCCCAGTATCATTTTTTGGGTACGCGGAAGAAGGAAAATCAGTCTCAGTTCAGTTCAAGTTCGAATCTTTGAACGACATGCGGTTTACATATAAGGAATTAGTATATAACTATGTCTATATATGCCTCCTTTAATATTATTTCTCATATTCCCCCTTTTCTTTTGTAATATAGAGAATATTAAGTATTCTTCGTGAAGCAATATTACTAATATTCGAATCTTTTTGTCCCTTTGTTGAACGTTTGATGATCATTCGTCCACAAGAATCTCAGGGCATGATAGATTCGCAGTTTTGATTTGCTCAGTATATGATAAATTACATTTTTGAAAAGGAACTTTCAAATTACTTTGATATGATTTTTTTTTACTGAATTAATTATAAAAGTTTTGGATCTTACATTCATAATCTTCCTAACATCTAGAATTAGTCCGTTCTATATTTCGATTTAAAGAATATATTTTCATTTTAAAAGAGGTTTGAATCCAGAATACAAGAAAATTAATTCGTTGTACTACTATACTAAACCACCACCACTTTGATCTTTTGATATGATGTTATACTCTAAATTTTCAAGAAAGGTGCAACAAACTTTTACTGCAGCAAAATTTGTAAAAGATGCAATTCCTATTAAACTTGCAAGTCGGAAGATAGATATTTTCAGGTGTACTTGAGAAGAATGTAAGAAATCAGAGGGGGGGGGGAAAGTACGGAGAAGATAACGGGAAAAAGCAAGAAAAATGCGTAACTTTTGTGGTCGTAAACGAAAAAGAGAGAAAGAAGATAATGAAAATAGTGGAAGATCGGTGTCTTCGTGATGAATTAAAGTAGAAATGTGTGTACGTAACTTTTGTGATCATACTATCTTTTCTTCCTCAACTACAACACGTAACAATGATATCAATAATGCATGCATATACATTAGAACATATATAAATAATGGCATTTTCTTTAGAGTTGTAAATGATATATACTGGATTACCGGATTACTAAAGAGTTTCACATAATTGTAAATTCTAATAAACCGTCATCTAATGTATAATATATATCCTATATCTAAAATTATTGCTACCTAGGATCTTGATCCCACTAGTATATCGGTAATACAAAACTAACTCTATGATACAAAAAAGGCTTCGAAAAACTTCGATACACACTACTGAATGAATCTAGCTAGCCAAAATCTATATGATCTTTCGAGAAACCAATTGATTCTCTCACATGATCATCATAGAATATTGTTGTTTCATTTCTTTCATCACTTGCGTATCACCGCACCCATTCATATGTATCATATTATATATAATGGATTGAAAAATATTTATTCATGGACTCTTTATTAAAGTAAAACCAAGACAGGAAATAAAGCTAAATAAAAAAAAAATTAAACAGACATGCTTGTCTTTGTCGAACACACAGATTTTATTACACAAGTGGTGCCAAACTAATTAAGATCCATAATTTAAAAATAAATGAGAGATTTTAAAATGTTATCTTTTGTGTTTGGTAGGCCATTAAAGCTCCAATTATTTGTCACTAAGTCAGGGAAGAAGACTAAGCATAAAGATGCCACTGCATAACCATATGGACCACCCCAAAACAAACCCAAAGTTGTATAAGAAAAAGAAAACAAAACAATAATAAAATAAAAATAGACGTAAAAAATCCTACACCTTTGTTCCACCTAGATGAACCTAATTTATAGAGAAAAAGACATTGATTCTTTCGCAGACCCATTAATATGCATTTACAAAAATATGTGAAAATGGTTTCGAAAAATTGCGGAAGGGATCCTGGCTGGTTTACTGGTTTGACAATATGTAATTCGGGATATATAGAATATTTAAGTTTTTTGAAATACTAGTTGTTATATAATCATTCTATTTTTTGTTACATAATAATCATTCTATTTTTAAATATATGTATAGTTGTTAAGAATTTTTTTTACAAGCATGAATAATTTAAAATTTCTATATGCTAAACTAATGTCTTATTTTTGAATTAATTTTTAACATTAAAATTATAAAACTGTAGATTAATCAAGCTAACAAATTCAACTACTCTATAAGAAAAAATGTTCAAAAAAAACGGACGTAAGTATATTATTTTCTCTCTCAAACCTAGTATTTAATATATGATCCCCAAAACATGAGACTCTTTCTATTTCTGGAATGCAGAAACGATGCAGTAAATTCACACCAACGGACCGAATAGTCGATTGATCGCGCCACGTGGCGAAACCGGAGGGTATCGAGCTCTTCAAAGAGTTTCCGGTTTATGACATCATGTCGTGCGTACTTGAGAGATGCAAGCGCACGATAAGGTCTCTCTTCGGTTCTGTGAAAGACTCATCTTTTTCCTTTTCCCCAGCGTTTTGTCGTTAAACGTTTCGTTGCTTTAAATTGATTATTATTATTATTATTATTTCTTTAATAATCAATTGATTATCATTACTATTTCTGTAACTTGGTTATTATTCTAATGGTGATGTACACAAATAAAGGAAAGAGAAAAAAAAAAAAATCCTTTTTATCATCTCCTTTCCATGATGGGAACGCTTGACCTTTAAGTTTTTTTTTTTTGAGACTGTAAGTGTCCAAAGGAACTCGAAAAACTTCTCCTTCCATTAGATTTTCTGTGGCCGGAATGAAAAATATCTCTTGTTTGATTACCCATTTATGCATTTCGAGAATATTTTTTTGTTGACTCATCTCTCAACTTCGTCATCAATTCCTCTGCTTTTCGATTGAGGTCTGTTTAAATTTCTTCTCTCTGTTTTACTCTTGAAAGTTTGGATCTTGGGGAGTTTGGGATTTCTCTTCTTTTGACCAAAGGTCCAATCTTTTTATAGTCTTTGGAATATTTCGAAATGATGAAGAAATTATTCTGTTTGTGGATGTGTTTCAGTGAGCAAACGTTATTGGATCTATAATTGAAGGTGAGTATCAGAAAAACAGTTTCTTTCTTTCTTCTTTTGATTTCTACTAGTGGATTTTGAGAGAGTGTTAATTTTAATATATGCATAATTGGTTGATGATATGTTAAAAAGAGGGATAGAGAGATGATGAGTTCTTCTTCTCCAACTCAACTTGCGTCTTTAAGAGACATGGGAATCTATGAGCCATTTCAACAACTTGTCTCTTGGGGAAATGTTTTCAAATCCGATATCATCGATCACAGTCCTAATACTGCTTCTTCCTCAATCATTCAAGTGGATGCTATCATTGATGATCACAACAACAACAACAACATCATCAAGGTCTTTGAATATTTTCTCTCTTCAAATTTTATTGATCTTGAAAGGACGTTATACTTCACTTGTGTTTTTTGCTAATGGTTTGAAATTTGAATTACGCGCATGCAGATGAATTACGCTACTTCGCATAACCAGATCGAAGCAGAACCTTCTAGTACTGATCATCAGGATGACGATGGCAGGATTCATGATAATAATAAGGTTTTAAGACCAAAAAAGAGAAAAAAAAAATACATATTCTTAAAGAAAAGTTTCGGTTTTTGTGATATTGATTGATGTTCTTTTCTCATATACTGTCAATAGACGAAACGGCGTTTAGCACAGAACAGAGAAGCTGCTCGCAAAAGTCGTTTGAGAAAGAAGGTAAAGCCAATCTCTTTTTGTTTCACTGAATCTCACAAAACTAAGTTAGTCTACTACTAATTAACTCTGTTTTGCTTCTTTAGGCTTACGTTCAACAGTTGGAAGAAAGTCGGTTAAAGTTATCTCAGTTAGAGCAAGAACTCGAAAAGGCTAAGCAGCAGGTAAGTTGTTTCAAACTGTTCTGTCTTGTATTAATATTTGCTGTTTTTCATAACTGACTCTTGTCTTTCTTGAAAAGGGATTACGCGGACGAAACTCGTCGGATTCAAGCTATTTAGGAGCATCAGGGAGCATAAACACAGGGATTGCTGCATTTGAGATGGAATATTCGCATTGGCTCGAAGAACAAAGCAGGAGAATTAGCGAAATACGAACGGCGCTTCAAGCTCATATAAGCGACGTAGAGCTCAGGATGCTTGTGGAGAGCTGCTTGAACCATTACGCGAACCTCTTTCGGATGAAGTCTGATGCAGCGAGAGCCGATGTTTTCTACTTGATATCCGGAATGTGGCGAACTTCCACTGAAAGATTCTTCCAATGGATCGGAGGGTTTCGTCCTTCCGAGCTTTTAAACGTGAGAACACTCAGAATCCAGATTTCTAAAAGTTGCAATCTTCTTTTTTGGAAAATCCAAAACGTTTTTTTTTAAATTTCTTTTTTTGCAGGTTGTGATGCCTTATCTTCAGCCATTAACGGACCAGCAAATCTTGGAAGTGAGAAACCTCCAACAATCATCACAACAAGCAGAGGATGCTCTGTCTCAAGGGATCGATAAACTTCAACAGAGTTTAGCAGAAAGCATTGTGATCGATGTGATTATCGAGTCCACTGAGTTCCCTCCTCACATGGCTGCAGCGATAGAGAATCTTCAAGCGTTGGAAGGGTTCGTGAATCAAGTGAGTAGAACAACACAAAGCAAAAGAAAGTTTGTGTCTTTTTTGTTGTGTGTATATTTTTTCAAGATTCAAGAAATCAAAAATTGTTTTGTAATGAACAGGCGGATCATCTGAGGCAGCAAACGTTGCAGCAAATGGCGAAGATCTTGACGACAAGACAAGCGGCTAGAGGTTTGCTTGCTTTGGGAGAGTATCTTCATAGGCTTCGTGCTCTTAGTTCTCTATGGGCAGCTCGTCCACGAGAACCCACTTAAAGGATAACAAAGAGACAGAGACTCGAAGTTTTAAAAAGCAGACTCAAGCTTGGGAAAATGATGGATATGTTATAGGATCTTTGCTAAGTAGAGTGATGCTGTTGATTAGAGAACTTTATGAAGTATCTCGCTCCATATATATTTCAAACAAGAAGATGTAAATTTGGGTGGAAAACTTTGTAATATATTGTTTAGATACAAAATAAGCCTCTCTCTCTGCTCACATTAGTGTAATGTTTTTGAAATTTGAGCAATGTGATAATATGTGTGCCGAATCTAAAATTTGAGGTATGTTCAGGGGCTATAATGTAAAAGGGTATTATTGTAATTAACCTTTGCTGCGCTTCAATCGTCCACAAAAATTTCCCGGGAATTTGATTTTTTTTTTTCTTAGTAAAAAGAAAAGTCTCTTGTTCGGTTGATTTTTTTTCATTTTCAGAGTTTGCTTATACATCCCGCGGAGCAATTTGTTCATGTTGATAAGAAGGGGAATTCGATTTTTATGAATTCTGATTCCTGGGTCTGCGAAATTCATCGGTTTCTGGGTCGGAAATTGAAGTTATGAGCAACCTGCGAGCTATCTGTAGACCACACACGGTGTTCTCTTCGATCGTGTGTTGTAGTAGAAACCAAATTCGATCGATTGTTAGGGTTTCGATTCAAAGCGTCGGATACAGAACTCGGTTGTCGAATTCGTCTCCGTCTTCGTCGTGGTTTAGGTCTAGAGATACGAATCTTTGGTTTCGTGTGAGTCAGAGGAAGACTCTCGTCAGGGCAGCATCGAACTGGGGCGAAGAGAGATCTCCGTACGACACTCTCGGTATGCTTCTTCTACCAATTTTGAGGATTTTTCTGTATCTGCAGTTTCATTCGTTGCTTGCTCTCTTGTATGTATGTGTCAAGATTTAGCTTAGTGGTAGTGGAAATAAGATTCTACTGTGTTGTGTTTCAATCTAAGATATGGTTTCATGTTGTTTTGATTTTGAGTACAGAGTTGGATCGAGATGCAGAGGAAGAGCAGATCAAGGTGGCATACAGACGATTAGCCAAATTCTATCATCCTGATGGTAACTTCTATGGATCTTTAGAGCCAATTTAAACTCAAGATTCGTGTGATTGTTTACAATTCTTGCATGGTTTGTGTGTTTGTCTTTGTAGTTTATGATGGAAAAGGGACACTTGAAGAAGGAGAGACAGCAGAAGGTAGATTCATCAAGATTCAGGCTGCGTACGAGCTGCTCATGGACACTGAGAAGAGAAGACAGTATGATTTGGACAACCGAGTGAATCCAATGAAGGTATATTGTTATAGAAATCACAGACTTTGGAACTGGGATTGTTTAAGGATGAGATGGTTTGGGATTTGTGTAGGCATCACAAGCTTGGATGGAATGGCTGATGAGAAAGCGTAAAGCGTTTGATCAGAGAGGCGACATGGCGATTGCAGCTTGGGCTGAGCAACAACAGCTTGAGATAAACCTTCGTGCTCGTCGTCTTTCTCGTTCCAAGGTCAGAAGAACAACAACGATCGTGTTTTTCGAGCTTCTTCTTCCCAAGTTGTAATGATCTTTTGCTCTGTTTTTTGTAGGTGGATCCGGAAGAAGAGAGAAAGATCTTGGAGAAGGAGAAGAAAGCGTCGAGAGAGTTGTTCAACAGCACTCTAAAGCGACACACGCTGGTACTGAAGAAAAGAGATCTGATGCGGAAGAAAGCAGAGGAAGATAAGAAAAAGCTCATCACTCAGCTATTAGCAGCAGAAGGTCTCGAGCTCGATACTGAAGAAGAAGAGGAAGAAGCAGCCAAGTGAGACGTTTTAGAAGAAGCTTCATCTTCTATACCTTACTACTTCAAAGTAATTATTGGTACTTGCTTTCTCTCTCCCTTTGTAGAAACATACATGTAGTTTCACGTTTGATAAAATCTAATAAAAAAAAGTATCATCATATTTGATAATTACAAGATCTTCAGTTACTGAGACTAACATCAAATCAGTCGAAGTGGTAGAACCATAATGATTATCAATTCTCATAAAGGCGTGTGTTGTTTACTGCTGCTTAAAAAAAGAAAAAAAATTCTTATCCGGTCCTTAATATAAGAAAACTTCAAAGCACAATATCTTTTGCTCATAAAATTCGAGAGAGGCTCAAATACAAAAATGGATAAAGGTCCAGGGAACAATTAAAATAGGAAGTTGTATCACTCGTCACCAGGAATTGACTTGATAATGTCAGAATCACCTGAAACCATTCAAAAAAAAGAAAAATCATTAGTAAGGATCGAAGATGAAGAACAACCAAAATATATATTTATATATATATTCTTGGTGATGTTATTTTACCAGGATCAACGATGCTCAGACAAGAAACACGGAAGTACTTTCCACAAGCTGTACCCAAATCAACGTTATCTGAAACCCAATGGAGAGAGATGAAAACACAGTCAAGCAAAAGTTATACCGCAGGAATAATGGATGAATTAGCCTAGAAGATCGTGTTTCTCGAAACATGAAAGTATGCTGAATAGAATAGATACTTCATTCATCTGCTTCCTTTCATGTTATGGAATCAAAGTCTATTTTGGGTATATCAATGAGGTAAGATCAAAATTTTGTATAATGAGGTAAGATCAACGTTCTATATAATGAGGTAAGATCAAAGTTCTGTATAATGAGGTAAGATCAATGTTCTGTATAAGAAGAGTGAAGAACGAGACTAACATCCTGCTGTTCAAACCCAAATCCTAGAAAGATACAACATTCATTTGGGAAATGATGTAATGCGGATATAAATACAGTAATCTGTAACAGCAATAGCAAGTCCATATACTAGTTTCCTCTACTTAGGATCATAAGTTCATCATCAGCTTAATGGTGTCAATAGAGAGGATTTTCCACACTTTCATCTAATTTGGAATATACATTCTACAGTTACAAAACAAATAGTCTCTGAATCTAAAGGAGGTAAAGAAGATTGTTCAGAAGAAGAAGAAAGGAACTCACTTCCATTGTAGTGGTGAACACCAACTTTGGCGAGCATTGCGTAGTACTCAATCTCCGATCTTCTCAACGGTGGGCAATTGGAGGAGATGAGAATTAGCTTTCCTGTGAAAATAAGCAAAACCCAGAATAAATTTAGAAAAAGGATGTCAAAGCTAAGGCATTTTTTTGGTATGCACACCAGGTGTTCGACTAAATTACCTTTGGAGCCACGGAGGGATTTGAGGACAGACTTGTAACCAAGAGTGTATTTACCACTCTTCATCACAAGAGCCAACCTGCTGTTGATACCCTCGTGAGACTTCTTCTGCAATTAAGCATAAACCCCAGAAACAACTTAGACATTGAGATCGAAAACGAACACAGACGACGAGGGGATAAAAAAACTTTGATGAGAGATAACGTTACGCACCGTTTTCTTGGCGGTCACCATTTTCACCGGCGATGGGAAGCAGAGAGATCAAAATGGCTTGGATCTGTACGGCCGAGAGATAACGAGAGGAAGAGGAGGAGCACGATGACCAAATCGGAAAAACGCCGCTTATTGACCTTTTATATCTCTCTTGTCAATTTTGCTAGGGTTTTGCTTTTTTCAATTTCCTATTAAATTCCATTTGTACCCTTAATTTTCCTAACCCATTTTTTCTCATCACCCCCTTAAATAATAATGAAATATTAAAATTAATTACAACTCGCTCCTTTATTTCAACATTTTGGGTCAGATGACATGAAATGTATTTGAAACTTTAATATTTACACAAAAAAACAAAAAAGTACAGAAACAAACAGGGTGTGAGCTATTATGTTTCAAGTTTCAACAATCTTTGTTTTCTGGTGCAGTAAAATACGAACAGGTCGGATACAAAATATGTATATATGAATCAAATTTAGAGAAAGTGGACTGAACTGGTTAATCTACAAAAAAAAGTATATAGATATAGTTTTGGTACTTTTTTACACCCATATGCATATTTTTTCTCCAATCAATAAATTTTGGATCTTTAAATCCATAATCTTTATGTACTAGAGACCAATCGCTGACGATATTTAGTAGATATCAGCAAAACAACACCCTTTTAATCGGTCAAACTAAGCACTCTTAATAAATTTTGGGCTATTTTTTTTTGTTTTTCTTAACTTGTGCGTAGCAATTATTTATCCTTGCATGGACACGTTAACACTATTTTGTACTATCGTTTTAACATATAAGTAGTGTGGATATAGTATAGTGCGATGTTGTCTAGATTATGTGGTTTTGCAAGCTGGTTTAGAATTTTCATAGTTTTTTTAATCAAATACAAATGAATGAAATATAAGTGACACGAGAGTGTATTACCGTGACCTTAGGCCTTAGATCATACTCTCTAAATCGGCATATATAAATCCGTCGGTCCAAATGTATAAATACTCAGAGCAAACTTCGCGTTGAGGATCTCCCTCTCTCTTTATCTTCTTCCCTTGTCGGCGCGTAAGAACAACAACCGAGACAAAAACAAAATAGAACTCCACGTGTCGCAGTCTGAGACTAGGGTAGTCGTCATGCACATCTCTAACATAGAGTACGTAACATCTAAGAATATTCCAATACGAACCCTAAACCTTTTGCCTTCACCAAGGGCTAGGTAATATAATCTTTATTTTCATCATATATATACATGTCTCTCACTTGGATCATTTTCATTTATTTCTGTATGTACATATATATTCCTATTAGGCTATTAGTGGCAGTCTATGAAAATATAGCAAATGCCAAGAAAACTAATGTTTAAATATGGGGGTAAAATTAACAATAAGGATATTAAAATATGAGTAAACTACTTGCTTATAAAACAAGACTAAGAAAAAAGATTCCGAGTATTATATAAAATGAGTATATATACAATGCAAGTGATGCACCTAGCCATGTGACACAGATTCGTCCAAATTAAGAACAAAATATCTATACGCTCACCCATTTGTAACTCCTTTTATCTCTCTCTTTTACAAACACAACAAAACATAGAACTCTCCTTTCGTCGGCTCATTTACTTGTATGTACACCGTTTCTTTCCAAGTCAATCAAATTCTCTCGTACCAACTTTTTTATAGATTACTATTGTGTTTTTGTTTTTGTTTTTGTTTTGCAGTGATCATTGGATATGGGTCGGGTTAAACTGGAGCTGAAGCGGATAGAGAAAAGCGCGAACAGACAAATTACGTTCTCAAAACGTAAAAAAGGTCTAATAAAAAAGGCTTATGAATTGGCAACACTTTGTGACATCGATCTTGCTCTTCTCATGTTCTCACCCTCCGATCGCCTTTGTCTCTTTTCCGGTCAAACAAGGTATTTCTATTTTTTCTTCAAGAACATTCCACGCCCTTCTGGAATCTTCTCGCTACGGATTTTTCAACTTATGAAAGTGTGATGACGTTTGCGTATATATCGATTTGTGTTTTCGAATCTATTAGAAGTAGCAACCGAACGTTGACACGTTTTTGCATATTACTGAATCTTTGGTGAACATTAGTTCTAATAAATATAGATACTACTATTATTAGTGCACAATAATTAGAATATCTTTAAATTATAAGTTATGACGAAAATGATAATAAAAGCTAAAAAGATAATATATTATTATAACTATCGGCTTTAACGAAACGAAATAGTTTTTTTTTTTTCCGGCCAAGTTTGTATTTTGTAGTTTAGTTTTAAATTAGAATTTTAGTGTTTCTCCGCGAGCTTTTTAACTTAGAATTTTTAGAATTCTAATTTTGTTGGTATAACGTCGTCCTCGTAAGCCACACAAGTACAAGAGGACCCAACTATATATATATACATAGTACCTTTCTTTAGATCAGTGAGTGAATATGTAGATTATCATTTGTGTTGAACAAAAAGATATGTTTTTAAGTTTGATAATTACTGTCATTTCAGTTTAAAATAAATTAAAGTAAAAAGAAACATATTCGAAACACACAAAAATGAAATTTAACTCTATTTTATATAGTTATATGAACTCTTTTTAATTCAAATTTTACAACGACAACTAGTTTCTAGTAGATGTTAGCAAAATATCCAAAATCTGTTATATAATAAGATTGCTCCATTCGAATTTGGATAATAAGTATTTCGGATCAGAATACCCTAAAATGCCCACATCTGCTCTACGTAATACAAAAGCCTAGCAGGTGGATACACGGCACTCTATACAAGAAACACGTCATGTTCCGATGACATCAATGTGCAAACAATGCATGCAATGACCAGTGTGGGTCCCATCCAATCAAACACTTATCATCATTTTTTCTTTCAGAATTTAGATTTGTATCCTGTGATAAGCACGAAACCTACGGTACATAGCTTCTATCCTTTATTCGCGATCTCTACAACTTAAGTATGTTGCGATCGAGCCTTCAACGATACATTTGTACAAAAATATATGTAAAATACACACATGCATGTGGTGTTGTATCTCCACTATCTTAATTTTGAGTTTTAATTTCAGGATTGAGGACGTTTTCGCGAGGTACATCAATCTTCCTGATCAAGAAAGAGAGAAGTACGTATGTTCCTCGCATTAATCTAATTGGTTTATTGATTTATATATTCACATCTTTTTGGGTTAATTTTTTTACATCTGCAGTGCTATAGTTTTACCCGATCAAAGCAAACGACAGTGAGTATAATATAGTTCAATTTGATATAGAATAATTACTTAATTTCATCTATATTTTGGTACTAATGAAACTTCCTTCTCTGTTTTGTAGAGGTATCCAAAACAAAGAGGTGAGAACAATCTATAAAAACAATATTAGTTTAATGGGTCCATAAGCTGTTTACAAGTATATGATCGTTATTTCTAATTGCAACGATCAAGCTTCAAATCTAAGTATTTGCTTTACAAATGCATACGTTAAATTTTTCTTATCAGCATTTTATTTTCGTGACAGTATTTGCTAAGGACTCTCCAACAACTCAAAACTGAGAACGACATGGCCCTCCAAATCAATGAACCTCGGTTTATTTCTCCTTGTCCTTTATAACAAAGTTCTTCATCTTATTACTATTCGATTTAGTGATATAATATAACATTATGTTGATATGTTTTAACAATTCAAAACTGCACACTGACCTTTTATCTTATGACTCTGGGAAAAGCCCTGAAGCTATCCAGTCCGATGTCGAGGTTATTAATTTCCCGGTTTACCAAAACATATAAATATATAACTATTATAAAGTTTGACAACAACAAAAAAGTTATTATAACAATTGCCTAATTATATTTGCAAATTTACAGGAACTTGAGCAAGAGGTTTGTAGATTACAACAACAGCTTCAGATTTCAGAGGAAGAGCTGAGGTATTTTTGTATAATTTGTCGTATTTAAAAATGATTTATTTGATAAAATATACTAAAAAGACAATATCATGTTGCGTAAAGACTGAGATTCTTGTGATCTAATATACATAGGAAATTCGAACCTGATCCAGTGAGGCTAACATCAATAGAGGAGATCGAAGCATGTGAAACTTATCTAATAGATACACTGACACGTGTCATTCAGAGAAGGGTAACACATACTTCATCTCTGCATATTTAAGAGGAAGATAATAATAATTGAGTATTATGGTTGATAATCGCAGGAACATTTGCTGAGCAAAACCTGCGAAGCGCCAAATACCAAACAAAGCATGGAAAAGATCCCTCTGAACGACGTCGTTGACGGCTGGGACCAGAGGCTGAGCCTAAACAAGCCCATGCGATAGCTATTTCAGCCCATCAATCCAATCAGCTCAGGTCTTTCTAGTTCAACCCAACTTGTTTGTGACTTTATAAATTTAATAATGATAATTATTCGAATTGATTTTTGTTTTTTCCCTCCACCAGTTGCGATCAGCTGTTCCGAAGGAGTAATTCAAGTGCAAATCAAAATCTAAAATGATGTTTGTTGGGATGTTTGTTGGGTGAACCGTATAAATTGTCAAATTCTACTTTTTTCAAAAATGCATATTGTTAACAAAAATAAAACAGCGAGCTATTTCATAAGTAGGTCTATGTTTACTATGTCTTTTTCTCTTTCAAATTTGAGGTTTTTTTTTTCTTTCTCTGTTTTGAAAAATAACTTTGAACTATTTGTTTAATAAAATTTTCATAATTTTTATAATTAGAACCATAGTCGGTCTATGAAACATTTTGAACAAACAAAACTATAGTAAGATTAAAAATGTTGATATAACATGTGCGAACTTATATTATACTGTGTAGTTTGTAGTTTTTAGGCACGACCGATCAAAATAAAAATATGGAAAATAAATAAGAATATGGGTTTCGATGCCTAAAAATCTATGATACTTTATCAGCAATTGTTTATATACTTTATCAGCAATTGTTTATAAATCTATGATACTTTATTAGTAAATGATTAGAAAACGATGACTTTTATGCCTATAAATCTATGATACTTCATTAGAGCGATGAGAAATAACATTAAAAAGAAAAACAATCTTAATTGTATAAGACAAGGTTACAATGTTATAATGTATATATCAAGCGGTAAAAACACATAAACACTTGATAAAGGATGATAGAAAAAGAACCATTACACATAGAAACCTTCATTTGTTCAATGTTTAAGGATAGGATCAACGACCTATAAATTAAAATAAACAAATTATAAATTAGTAAAATGTGAATGTTAATTCTTATCAATTTCATAAAAATTTAATAGAAAATCAATCAAATTCATGAATTATTAAAACTAATCCTTATTTTTAACCAGTTAAACAAAAAGTATAATGAATTACCATTTTTCATTTTGAGAAAATTTCTCATGTGAGGATCAACGCATAGACCAAGGCTTTTGTATCTTGGATCGTAAATTTTATATTCTAGCCTGAAAAAGATGTATATCTGTTATGTTTTTAAAGAAAATCTGTTTCTAATTACTTAGATATTTTAAATTGAAAGATTCACACATATAGAAAATTTATATATGAAAAAGTGTCGATATGAAAAAAAAAACAACCTTTCTTCTTCTCCAAAATTGGTTGCAGTTGGACCAACATTTCCATCTATTGATGAAATCATTATCTGCAATATTAAATTAAATTTTGTTATCTTAATATTTCATTATTTGTCATATGTGTTACACGAACTTATACCCTGCGTTGAGTAGAAGATGACGATTCTTCAAAATGAGAGATATGTGGATTAATTTGTTGCTGAGATCCTAAACCTCCATTCTGTAATATTTATATTAACAAAAAAAAATTCAGTGCACATAATCATTTGTACATCATTGATAATATATGTATTATTATTGTAGTTGGTCTTCCAACAATGACGAAAGAATGAGTGGATGATTGACTAATTGCATGTGTCTAGTTGATAATTCCCTAACTATATGTTTTTATGTTTTAGTGAATATATGTTGTTTATTGACATTCTAACAGCTATAATTTGGAGATCATGTATCATAAATATTCAGAAAGAACCATAATTTCATTCATTGCAGAAAATAAAATTTACTTGTGGAGGTATGATTGAGTTTGCATATGGATCTCTATGCATCTGAGTGTTGAGGTTTGAGAATCGAGAACTCAATGAAGGTTGATTTTTCTGAGTGTTGAGGTTTGAGAACTGAGAACTCGATGAAGGCTGATGCATTGATCTTTGCATGCTGCCATAATGCCTATGGAAACAAGGTTCAAAAAATAAATTTAGAATTTAAAAATATAAAAAACAAAAAAACTTATTTTTTTCTCTTGTGATAAATCTAATAGTTCACGACTTGCTTACATAGTAGAAATTGAGGGCATTTGAAGCATGTGCATCGATGAGATGTTACGTTGCAGAGCATCACCAACGGTACGGATCCCATAAATTTGATTTTGCTGAGGATATGTCCTGCACAAACCCAATAGATTTCTAAAACATATATAATATAAGAGAAGCATATAATGTTTGGATTATTTTGATTACTTTAAATCATTTAATTCTAAACTAAATGATTCTGTAGTAAAAATAAAACTGCAAAAATATACAAGTGGATAAAACTATGGGAAGGGTGTGATTATACCTAACTGAATTGTTAACCATCCTCCTTAAATTACGAAGCCCGTTTTGCCAATTGGTTAAACCTGATGGGTGCTGACCATGCATGTTAGTAGGAGAAGTGATTGAGACATGTTGATACGGTTGATACAACACATAATTTCCTGACCTACATTTCATGAAAATAATATTTTTATGAGTGTTATATATATATATATATATATATATATTTCTTTACGTGTGAGTACTAGTACTAATTTCAAATGAGATTGTTAGGCGCTACCATGCTATTGGGCTAGTATGCTCTGAATTCACCCTCATAGTTTCATCCAAACCATAAGAATTATGGCATTGGTTGTTAAGAATGCATTCCCTATACCATTCAAAGACAATATAACAAGTGAATTCAGTACTTCAAATTGATATAGTATTAAATTTTAAATCATGTACCTAATTGCAAAAGTATTATCGTAAGGATGATATCGCTATTTCTAAAACATATATAATATAAGAGAAGCATATAATGTTTGGTTTATTTTGATTACTTTGTAGTAAAAATAAAACTGCAAAAATATACAAGTGGATAAAACCGATGGAAAGGGTGTGATTATACCTAACTGAATTGTTAACCATCCTCCTTAAATTACGAAGCCCATTTTGCCAATTGGTTAAACCTGATGGGTGCTGATCATGCATGTTAGCAGGAGAAGTGATTGAGACATGTTGATACGGTTGATACAGCACATAATTTCCTGACCTACATTTCATGAAAATAATATTTTTATGAGTGTTATATATATATTTCTTTACGTGTGAGTACTAGTACTAATTTCAAATGAGATTGTTGGGCGCTACCATGCTATTGGGCTAGTATGCTCTGAATTCACCCTCATAGTTTCATCCAAACCATAAGAATTATGGTATTGGTTGTTAAGCATGCATTCCCTATACCATTCAAAGACAATATAACAAGTGAATTCAGTACTTCAAATTGATATAGTATTAAATTTTAAATCATGTACCTAATTGCAAAAGTATTGTCGTAAGGATGATATCGCTGATGCTGCATATGAACCAATATATTTAGTTAAATATAATATGTTTTTAGAGACATTTGTATTGGTCTATTGATGGTTAAGTAACAAATATTGCTCTAGACAAACAAATAAAAAATTGTTGATGTGGACTTACTGGATTCTGATAAGGTGTTACACGTGGAGCGGTAGCAGCTAAAATATTGTTATTTGAGAAATGATGCAACTGTTGAGGAAATGGTGAACCAATTGCATTAATACTTCTTCGGCGTTGCTGTTGCCGGTGCTGATAGACATTGTGTTGTTGCCGGTGCTGTCAACAATAAATACAAAATTAAATTATTAGCATACCATGTCACAATGAGTAACTAGGCTTAGATCTATTGGTATATGTTAAAATGCAGAAATATACAACTTTAAGTGCTATTATGATAACGATATGCAACTAATATCTGATTGTTGAGAGGATACTTATAAGTTGTTTTTTTGTCACACTATCCTTTACATCATCTATATCTCCAACAGCTTTATGATTAATAAACCTAAACAAAAACAATTTAACAGAGAAAGATAGTAACATACCATTGCCGGAATGAATAGTCCCGATGATTCAAAAAACTGAAAAGGATTCAATATCGGAGTTTCACTGCTATGAAACGTATCACTCCGAGAAAACATGGCTGCTAAGCATATCTTGTATAGATAAGAATCTTATGTACTAAAATGAGAGGTGGAAAAAAGAGAAACCTATATCTTTAATCTGATGTGGCATTGTTAATTTTTTAATGTAATATTTTATTTAATTTAAAATGAGTTATCAAAAATAAATTAGTAAATAGATCTCTAAAAACAGATAAGTACTCACTTACATCATTTTTGTGATACTCTCATTTTCATATATATTTTTTTAATATAAATTTGCATTTTAAGAAGAAAAATCACATATAATTTTGTAAAGAACATTAACAAAATACTTTGTTACAATATTGTATGGAAAATAGTTTGTTACATTATTTTGTATCAATAAAGGCCTGGTTCTAGGTATGTGCTCGAAATATATTTGCACAAGGTTCATTGATTTTTTACAAATTTTAGTTAGATTTTAGAGGGTTTGTTGAATCTTTTTGCAAATTATGTTTATTAAGTTTATAAATAGCACAAGATTTATTAAATTTATGGACCAGGTCTAAATAAATGTAAAATGTTATTATAAACAATAAAAATTACAGATATACAATAATTTAAATTAAATAGTGTGAAAATAATTATTGATTACTCAGCTAAAACATTCGAATATCATAGTCGGAGACCTCGTGGTCTATTTTTGCTTCCCTCTTTATAAGCGGTATTTCATCTTTCTTTATTTTGGGATTGAAACCCACCACTCCATACTGTCAGGGCCGGCCTAGAGGGTAGGTGGGCTAAGCCAGCGCTTAGGGCCACCAATATTTTTGAAAAAAACTAGGCTAAAAAATGAGTCACAAATTTTGAAAAAATCTAAAAAATGAGCCACAAATTTAAAATGATCAAATAAAATTTACATTTTCCTCTTTTATAGCTTTGTGCCACTATTTTAATTGGACCGAGCCTGTATACTGTCATATTCATCACATTTTCCATTTGAACAAAATAATACTCCATTATATTTTATTTGAAATAGAGAGATAGTTAAGAACCTGATGCTGCTGCATGTGAGGAAATAAGGCTGATGGATTGAGGCCCGTATTAGAAGTATAGGCTTGGGCCCATTGTTGGAACACACCATTAGGATTTGACAAGTGGCATTCACTCATGATGTTGTTGTTTTGGTTCAAGCTTGAACTACTTCCTTGCAACAACGTTTCATACATTGTTGAATGGGCCGATGCGTCAAATAGATGGGCTTGATTAAGCTCATTTTCAGCCAGCCAGCCTCCAATGATGTCGTTTACAAAAAGCCCACCTATATTTTGGTGTTGTATAGTAGATGCTTCATATGAAGATAACTGGTCACTTAAAATATGTTCCTGAGTATCAGAAAAAAAAAAGAAGAGAAAAAACTATTTAACTGTTAATATTGTAAAATATATTTATGATGAGAAAAATTAAGAGTAGCGTAAGGTTTTGACCCGTCGTTCATTAACACGTACTAAGATGTCCATGAGCTGCTTCTCACAAGTTTCGTACTCTTCCATTGTTGTAAACCTGATTGGATCTGGCTAGTATTTTCTAATTGTATATTTGCATATAACAATTAGTCACTAACTGTTATTAGATATATTTTCATGTATTGTATCAAACTTTTTATTTTAATTATAAAGGTAATAACTAGAGTAAAGACCTTAGTTCTTCCTCTGCCATATGCTGCTGTTGTTGTAACTTATACACTTCTTGCTCAAATTCCTTAAAAATTTAGATTCAAATATACAATAAAAGAATCAAAACGAAGATTAGGAGAAATAATTTTACATAATAGTTAAAGAAAAAAGAATCTATAGAAGATTCACCTCAACGTCGGAGTTCATAGCAGCAGGGCTTTTTAAAACCAGCGATATGAAATAACAACAACAAAAAGTTAACGTCCATATTCTTGAAAATAAAATGTATATAGACTAAAGAAAATATTATAATGAAAAAGAAAGAGAAAGAAGTTGAGACTTGGTGAGTTGAAGAGCAATATCATTTTCTGTCTTGAGTTGCTGCAAAGTCCGCAGTAGATACTGTCACGCGACAAATAATGTTTACAAATTTAATAATATAGAATATATCATTGTGAATTTCTTTTCACTATATGAACTATAAAGTATCTTTTTCTATGCTTTTTTTAACATATCTTTTTTCTACGTTGGACCGGAGATAAGGTACATTTGAAGTTTCAACCTCAAATCATAAAACGAAATAGCTAGCAAATTCATAATATTAGGCTTAATTACCTCTTTGCTCTGAAAATCTCTGCAGAAAAAGCGATCAAAACATGAAAATCTCAATAAGATTATAACTATTAAAATGTTCAAATTATAAATAAGAAAAAATATGAGGAATAGTAGGAGTAAGTTGCGTACGAGCATCGGCTCTGATCGGAGAATGATAGGGCACTGAAATAAAATTAAAAAAAATATAACAACGAAGATAGGGCACTGAAATAAAATTAAAAAAAATATAACAACGAACAAATTAAATTAGACAATAAACAGGAAAAATACTAGGAAAAGAATCTAAGGAGAATGCTCAGCGTACTTCTCTCGTTCTTGGTCAGGAAGATTGATGAATCTTGTGAAAACGTCTTCGATCCTGACCAAAATATATGAAAACAAAATATTTCCTCTAATATTTATTTGTGCAGTAACCAAAAAAAAGTGTGGAAATATATAATAAGAAACCTTGTTTTGCCGGAAAATAGGCTAAGACGATCAGAGGGAGAGAACATGAGGAGAGCAATGTCAATGTCACAAAGAATGGACAATTCATAAGCTTTCTTTTTTTTTGATAAAATGTGAATATAATTACCAAACAAACGTTCCGATTACAAGAGTTTGGTGACTAGAGTGAAAAGGATGAGCCCAAAAAAAGATAAAAAGCCCGACCAATTACATAATAGCCGCTAGCGAGGAGCAGAAATAATAGAGAGAGCTGAGTCTTCATTCGAAAGCGAACCAGGAGGATAGGAGATCCGAGTTCCTGGTTCTGTTTCGCGCCAAGATTGAATCCCGTATTGATCTGTCAATTTGCCTGAACACATGGTCCACCGTATGAGAAGTACTCTCATGTAGCCGCGAATTTCTCTCCTTCCAGATAGAGAAGATGGTGGCGTGGGCCGCAAGCAGCTTGAGGATGAGAGGCATCTGAGGAGAAGGGTCCAACATCCAAGAGACTAGTCCCGACCAATTCAAAAGCAGGACAGTTGGCTCCCCTAGCCGTCGGAAAACTAATTTCCAAACCTGAATAGAGATCTCACAGTGGAGGAGGAGATGATCCCTGGTCTCGTCGTGTAAGTTGCAGAGACAGCAAGAAGCGTTGTTGATTTGGCCCCATTTGACTAGCCTTGTTCTGACAGGTAGTCTGTCCAGCTGCGCCACCCAAAAGGTGAAGGCATGTTTAGGAATGTAGCCTTTGAACCACACCGCTTTGTGCCAAGGAACGGGCGGAGACACCGGTCTGATTTCCTCCCAAGTATGAGCCGTGGAGAAGAAATCCCTATGTGTGTTACCTGTTTTCCAGAGGTAGAGATCCTCCCCTCTCTCGGGATTTGGGAGCTCAATTGTAGTGAGGGTGTCTATAACCTTCCGGATCAGGCTGTTGCGAGTAGCAGCTCGGGGGAGAGACCAAGAACCAGAGGTACAGGCAGAGGCGACAGAGCTTTGTAGAGGAATGCCCAGGGTTCGAGGTCCTTCTGACCCAACAAAATCCATCAACGGGCCTAAAGGTGTCCAGGAATCAAACCAGAAGCTGCATCTCTTGCCATTGTTTATCGTACAGGTTAGGAACCTCTTTGCGAGGGGTCTTAACCGCAGTATGAATCTCCATATCCACGATGAGTTACCTTTTCCTTCCGTTTGCCAAAAGTTTGTGCGCTTCAGGCGGTGCTCTTTAATCCAAGCGAGCCATAGTGACCCACTTGAAGAGAACAGCAACCATATGAGCTTCAGATTCAAGACTTTGTTCCACTGAGAGAAGTTCCGGAGCCCCAGACCCCCTTCAGTTTTAGGAAGGCAAAGCTGTTGCCATGATACTTTCGCCCCACGGTGGTGTTCTAAGCTGCCAGACCAGAGAAATCTACTGCATAACGATTCTAGAGATTTTAGGCAGCTCTTTGGAAGCGAGAAAGCAGCTAACCAGAAGTTTATTGAGCTATAACCCACCGAGGAGATCAGCTGCAACCTTCCTGCAAAGGAAAGGGTTTTTACTGACCAACTAGTGAACCTTCTTTTAAGAGCATCAATAAGGGGCGAGTACTCTGCTCTCTTCAGCTTGCGGTGCATCAGCGGTAGTCCAAGGTATCTGACCGGGAGTGAACCGAGGAGGAATCCGAGAGATGTGGATTCTATGGTTTCCGCCTGGTTCAATCCTGCAACATAAAGAGCAGATTTCTCCTTATTCATTATCAATCCTGAAAGCTCCGAGAACTCTTCCATGGTGCTAATAATGGCCTGCAGGGAGCTTGTCTTTCCATCGTAGAAAAGCATGACATCGTCCGCAAAGGAGAGATGAGAGATTTTAGGATTATGCGCCTTTGGGTGATAACCGATTATCCCATCATTGAACTTGGATTTGATAAGGCAGTCAAAGACTTCCATTGCCATAACAAAGAGGTATGGGGAGAGGGAGTCACCTTGTCTCAGACCCTTCGTTCCTTTAAAATAGCCGCAGAGACCCCCGTTGATACACACTGAGAAGCTGGTGGTGGTGAGGCACTGTGAGATCCAGTTCACAAAAGAGCGAGGGAACTCAGCTGCCCGGAGAGAACCTGGATGATGAAGTCCCATCGAACTGAGTCAAAAGCCTTCCGAATATCCACTTTCAGCAGACCTCTTTTCGAGGTGTTCTTATGATTAGACCCTTGGACAAGCTCAGTTGCTAGAAGTACATTCTCGACGAGGAGTCTCCCTTTCAGAAAAGCAGACTGAGTGTTGGAGATCATATTCGGCAGAATTGCTTGCAGCCGTCTCGCAAGGATTCTGGAGATAACCTTATAGACCGTATTGCAGCACGAAATTGGCCTGAAGTCTTTTAACTGATCTGCACCGGGATGCTTGGGAATCAGGGCGAGGATCGTGGAGTTGATTTGCTTCAACATCTGACCAGAGGAGAAAAATTCAAGAACAGCTTGAGTGAAGTCTTCCCCTACAACATCCCAAGCGGCACGGAAGAATTCAGGAGTGTATCCATCGGGCCCCGGGGATTTATTGAGAGGGAGGGAGAAGAGTTCTCTCCTTACATCCGCTGCAGAAACTGGAGCAGAGAGCATCTCCTTTGTTGCAGGATCACATCTAATCGGAGTAAGGGCGCCAATGGATTCCATATTCGACTCCGTGAGGGGGGCCTGATATTCGCCTAGAAGATTGCTGTAGAAGTCCACACAGCAACGTTGGATCTCCTGAATTGTTTCGTGCTTAACACCCGAGCTGTCGAGGATGTAGTGGATCTGATTAGCTGATCGCCTAACTGCCATGTAACGGTGGAAAAATGCTGTGTTCCTGTCGCCACACTCAACCCAAGTTACTCGTGAGCGTTGGTGCAGAAAGAGCTCCTCCGCAACGGCAAGGTCCATCCAGTCTTTGTGAGCCTCTTTTTCTAGAGCAGCTATAGCGGGCGTTGGGGAGGAGAGGAGGTTGCGCTGGCAGATGGTGAGTTTGTCAAGCGCTTCCAGAACTCTCAGCTGTAGATTTGAATACTGCTCACGGTTGATGGTTTTGATGATACTCTTAAGCGCTTTCAACTTCTTAACCAGACAGAACAGTTTCGTCCCCTCGAAGCGAAGCTCCTCCCATGCCGCCGAGATCCTTGGCAAAAAAACCTGGTGTTTAGCAATGAAGTTGAAGAATTTGAATGGTCTGTTGTTGTCCGCAAGGGAGCGACCGAGCTCGACACAAGCTGGGCTATGATCCGAGAAGAGGCTCTCCTCGAAGTGACCGCAGGAGTATGGGAAATTAAGAATCCAGCTGCCGTTGACTAGGATACGATCGAGCTTTTTAACGATGGGATTGGCTTCTTGGTTATTCCACCAAGTGAACTTGTTTCCCCTGTACGTGAGGTCAAAGAGTCCAGCTTGGTGCAGGCACTCTCTCTAAGCTCTTCCATCCCTCTTGAGATTCTCGTGCTCCCCCTGGAGTCATCTTCCGGATCAAGAGATTGGTTGAAATCCCCCAGGACTAACCACGGAGTTGAGGAAGTGACCGGGTTAGAAGAAAGGTTCACCAAATCTTCCCATAGTTCTCTTCTCCCAGTAGGACTGTTAACTGCGTAGACAAAGGTAACTGTAACTTCCTGAGCGCACTCAGGCAGCTTCACCCGGCAGGAGATGGCCTGCTTTGATTTGTGGAAAACCGAGAGTCTTACGTTCGAGCCCCAAAGAACCCATATTCTCCCCAGGTCAGAGAATTCATAGTTGGTGACATAGCTCCAGCCCGGGAAAGAAGAATTCAGAATCTTCTGTGATTTATGCTCCTTCACTCTAGTCTCTACTATACACCCAAAAGAGGCTTTACTACGCCTAAGCCATCTACAGAAGCTACTACGTCTAAAGGAATTGTTAAAGCCCCGGACGTTCCAACAAAAAAAGTCGACTATCATCAGACTTAGAGATGTTTGGGGCCTTTGCCCCGTGACTTCCCCTCCGCCCTTTTGATTTTCTGATGCCGCTTAGAGACCACTTCAATAAGCCTCTCGCTATCCTGCGGATTATCATCTTCCTCAGAGTAATAGCTAGGGTCCCCCGAGCTTGAATCAGAGAGCGCTGTGGAGGGTAGTTCCGAGTCAGACGGAGAGGATGGGACAGGGGGTTTTCTGCTAGAGGAGAGCCCTTTGGGTTTCCGCGTGGTTGCAGGGGATTCCCGAGTCATGATCTTTTTGCCTTCCGCCTTCGATTCTGGTTTATATTTCAAATTCTCCTGTAGGGAGGGGGGGACAACCGCTTGCCGTGTGGCGCTTTCCTCCTTTCCTTTGATTTCTCTCTGGGAATCAGTTTTCTTTTTAGCTCGTGGGCAGGTGTCCGTGAAGTGCAAAGTGGATTTGCATCCCGCACAGGTGATCGGAGCGGAGGGGCATCGGCGAAGCGAATGACCAATCTGGCTACAGAACTCACAGGTTGGGGGGAGCCAAGGAGATGATACCTCGACTCGCCGAGTTTCCCCTGACTGGAATCGCACATTGACAAACTCCGGAAGGGGTTTCGAGGGGTCTATCAGGGTTAGCACTCTCGCCACTTCTAGGTTTGTCATATTGAGAGTTGTTGGGTGGCACTTGACTGGGTCTCCCACAAGCCCTGCAATGTGCTCGAGACCCTCCTCAGAATAGAACTGTAGGGGGACGTTCCGGAAGTCAATCCAGACCGGGGCGGAGATTAATGTTGGGATTTCAGGCGTCAATCCAGGCTCCCATTTCCCGACAAACATCGACTGGTTTTCTATGTGCCACATGCCCTGCGCTAGGACCCTCTGTCGAGTTAGCGGGCAGGGAATTCGTATAAGAAAGGATCTGTCATTAAGCTTCGAAACAGTGATGTCGCGAAGCCTTTTACTCCAGATGCCGTTGGTGATGGCGTGAAGCGCTCCCGGAGAAGGTGCTTTGCCATGGAACTGTGCCAGAATAAATTTCTCCTACCGGTATTGATTCCTGGTAATGACTTCGTTCGGAATGGTGACGCAGGGTTCGCCTGAGTCAAGGGTGAAATTTTCCCCTTTCTTCACCATCTTCTTGTTTGAGGGGCTCACGACTTCCGCCCAGGAGGGCTTGCTGGATTTCTCAGGTTCGTCGGCGGGGGCCTGTGAAGCTGGAGAGCGGATCTCTACGGAGTCGAGGACGACCGTGTCGCTGGTGCTAGAGGCGGCTGGCGAATCCAGGCGGATAGCGTCAGTGGGATTTGGGCACTTTTCAGTGGCCATAGAAGTCGCTGGTTGGTCCAATTTCAGGGACTCATTTGTGAGGTCGGGTTTTTGGATGGGAGAGGGGAGGGTTGAAAAAGGGGGTGGGCGAGATTTTGGGAGGTGATTTGGACTAAGGGGGGAGCCGAGAATGGGAGGTTTCTTTTTCTTAGCCATTGGGGTTGCCGACGACGGTGGCCAGGGACCGGCGCCGGTGGAGATGGAGGTCGGTGGAAAATTGCCTTCTTAATCGCCTTTTTGGTTTTACTACCTTCTTTATCCTCTTTCGTTTCAAATTAGAAATTCATAAGCTTTCTTTATCAAACCATTTCGTCGTTTTGAGAACGTAACTTGTCGATTTGTTGTGTTATCTATCCGCTTTATCTCCAATTTCACTCGTCCCATGTCTCTCTTATAATCTGATCAATGCAACAAATAAATTCAAAGATTCTTCTCTTTCTTTTTGGGAATGCAAAAATCTGATCAGTGGAGGCAGAAAAGTGTTTATGTATCAAAAATGTATGGACGAGAGAAAAGAGAAGCATGAAAGAAGGGGAGGTTATGTATCTAAGAAAGAGATTTGGTTATAAACAAATGGGAGAGATTGAAGGGTTTTGTTCTTTGAACGGATTTAGAATGATCTTATATTATGCCACGCAAAATTTATATGAAATCGAGTTATGTATTAATAGGTCCATCTCTGGTCTACAAATCAATGCACATGCAAAATTAGAAATTGGCCCTCGTTTCTCCATCTCGGCATACAAAATAACATTTTTTAGGTTCGTACATCGTTAGCTTATATATTTAATCATCGTATTTCTAGTCCCATTACTCTTTGGCTAATCGTGTGTATATCGGTACTATTCGTGAATCGTGACACTCTCTCGTGGATACGGAGGATTCAGCGACAACAGACGAGTTAAAATTTGACATGTCCATATATATAATTAAGACGTTGATTCCATATACGTCCGTACAAACAAAAAAGCAAAGATCTCGAAGTCACACAATGTCATTAGATTGAAATTTTACTAAGTTTTATGCATTGAAATTTGTGCTTCGAGTCTCGTTTAAGCTTTCTATGTTACAAATCTTACATTATTTTATAAATGATTTTCTCATATCACATATCAACACATATCCTGCGACGTAGACCTTGCTCTTACATAAACATCTACGGCTTCTCCTACTGTCATAAATATGTTTTCATTTTTCAGTTTCTCCTCCAATTTTGCTTGCTTCAATTTGTGATGTACCCTCCATCTCGGACTAGCAATCACTAACTGCACGTCCAAAGATAAAATAATATTTTTAATTTGAATAACCAATATATAATTAGTGAAAAATATAAATTTTGCGCATATGTTATAAATTCTATATGGAAAAATATTAAAATGTACCCGGATGTCATTAGAAGCCAGCTCTTGATGTAATTCTTCAAGTGCGACCACTCCTGATGTATCTACCCCCATCACGCCTTCAAATTTATTTTGAGAAAGGTGGAAAAAGAAATATATAAATAAAATGATTGTATCTTGTTAACTAGATGCAAGTTTCATTAGTTTTTAAAACATATAAAACAATTCTTTATAGTATCATAGAAATGTGTAGATACTTACAAGACATGTCGAGAATTACTACTTGAAGAAGTTTTTCCTTTCTAACTTCTTGTTCATCTTCCTCTTCTTCTACTTCTCGAACTGAATTCAATATTCTGAAAGTAATAAAGAAAAGGAAAAACCACCGTTAAATCCTAGAGTTTTCTTAAGAGTAACAAATGAGAGCTTCATAAAAAGAGAAAACAACTTAATTAGTGAAATAGAAATTAACCGGTCTCTAATAAAATTAGCATTGGCAAAACATAGCAATGGAGAGCTGATTCGAAGAGTCAATAATCCTTGAGTCTTGGTAGCCATTGGGTACTGATTTATGTCACCGAAAATATCTGTTCTTGACAACCTCCCTAAAGCCTCAGCGTTTGGTCTTATTGAACTCAAAATAATTCTCATAAACGATATCCCCACCTACATATATACAAAAAAAAACCATATAAAACTTGATGCTATACCAACCCATCGGATCTATATAAATTGGACCGCAAGAACAACTGATTAAGTGGATCAAAAAATTATAGGGTTAGGCAAAAGGATATATACAGAGACTTTAATTAGCATTACAATATAGATGGTGTTAGTGAGGAGTCAATTATAAGAATTGATGCCCAACTGTCAAAAGTTACATTGTCTTGTTCATCTACAACTTGGCTTCATAGTTTCGTGACCCACCACCAAACTTGTGTATTTGAATTTATGTGTACTAAATACTTCCACTTGTATGAAACGTTAAATAACATTATTACTGTTTTGTCTTTCAGGGTCCATGCACAACAAATTTGGTCGGCCTCCTAGCTTCATTTATAACAAATTGATATGGTTTTATATATATAGGACGTTGACGCTTTTGGTCCTATAGATTTAATTCACATGATTGGATATAGAGCTTACAGTTGACTCGACCCCATCAGGTCACCAATCAATCAATTTGAATAGCAACAACATCTTAATTTTAATGCGTACGTGTGGTTATTAAATAACTCGTCGGCATATTTATTTTCCAGGATAAGATTTTTTGGTGGGTTACAAAAAAAAAATAGAAAAGCAGTAGTGAAAGGAGAAAGACTTACGGCGAGGAGAAGGCCGACCTCGACGGAGGCAAAGAGGACGCCGAAGAAGGCGGCGATGAGGACGAGAAAATCGAGCTTATCGAGTTTCCAAATGTGCAAAGCGCCGGAGATATCGATAAGGCCAGGAAGCGCCGAAAGAATGATGGACGCAAGAATTGCGGTCGGTGTAAAGTAGAGAAACCTTGTCAAAACCTCAAGCGAGATCATCACCGTGATCGCCATTACTATGTTCGACACCACCGTTTCGCAGCCGGCGCTAAAATTCACCGCCGTCCTCGAAAATGACCCTATTAGAAATTCTAAACCGGTCAACTTCGGTTTGGAATTTTGAATGAACCGGCCGGTTTAGCAAAGAAGAACATTTTACCGGTTGCTACATAGCAAGATGTAAAAGAACCAGCGATGTTGCTAAATCCCATTGCCATCATCTCTTTGTTCCCATCTAGACGATATCCTTTTATTGTCGCAAAAGATCTCCCCACTGCAATTGCTTCCTATTATTTAATATAATTTAATCTAATTAATCGGTTATACAGATTAACCAGTGATTAATTTTAGTTAATAAAGTGTGTGACAGGAATAAACCGTGAGAGCGATGATTGCAGAAATAAGACCAATTTTGACGACTTGGCCGAGATGTGGACTGTTAAACTGTAATTGGTTAACCGAAGGTTGGTTAAACCCTGGTTTAATGTGTTTAACAATCTTAACCCCTCGTGCCTCAGCATTGGTTAAATACACGATTAAGGTTGCTAATATCACTGATATAAGCGGCGCCATTGCAGGAATCCAAAACAGTTTTTTGTTTCTTTTCCCCTGAATTCATGAAAACCAAGTAAATGAAAATTGTGACGTGGAATTATAATTTATAAATGTAATATATGGCAAATAAATGGCTTACTTACAATAAATCTAGCTAGGAGGATGAAAATGAGGAATGAGCTACCAATGACAAAGTTCAGAGGTTGCCACTGCAAAAGTTGAAAAAAGATTCGATATTCGTCACTTCAAAGCTAAACCAAAAAATAAAATAAAAATAAATGGGAAGGAAAATGAACAAATAAACCGGTACGTACCGGATGATGAAGCGAGTGGAAAACTGAAGATAAAACCGAAACCACATCGGTATTATTGGTAAAATGAGACAAACCAAATAAACCTTTGAGTTGTTGTAAACCAATGACAATGGCAGCACCGGCCATGAACCCGACAAGTGCAGCATGTGACAGAAAATCCACCAAAAACCCTAACCTGGTAGTATAGATTAATAAAGCAATTTTTTTTTATTAGAAACAATAGACCTTTGTCGTCATCGTTGGTCCATAATTCTAATATTTTAAATCTAACGTTATTTTTTATATGTATGAAATAATAACGAATCTCTATGCAATTAATTTGCCTGAAGAGTCCAAAGATGGCTTGAAACGCGCCAGCAAAAAACGTGACCGTGAAGATAATTTTCCGGTAAGCAATTGGGTCGGTGACCGGATCTTGAAGATCACGAACCATTGATGAAAGCAGAAGCGAAACAACAGCTACAGGACCAATAGCTAATTCTCTCGAACTTCCCATTGTAGAATATATCAGAGGTGGTACCACACTTGTATCTGTTTTATATATGTGTCTTTAAATAAAATTTAATTAAAATGTAAGGAATTATGAAAATTTAAGCTGAAGGATGTTGGACTTACAAAGACCGTACTCTGGATCAAGTCCAGCCAAATTAGCATATCCTATGCTCTGCAGAAATGAAATTGAAAATATATCTAAGAAACCATTATACTGACATATCGATTAATATTGGTGAGCTAGTAAAGTTACCTGAGGAATGCAAAGGCTAGCGAGAGTGAGACCAGCCATCAAATCTTTCTTGAACATGTTTAGTCTGTATTGTTTTCCCCAGCTTAGTATAGGAAAAACCGATTTAAGACAAGAGTAAACCGGGTTTGATGATGAGTTCTTCGTCTTGCTCCTTCTATGATTCTTCTTGGACAACACGTTTGCTTTTATGTACCCAACAAGCTCTTGCCACATGGTTGGTGGCGCCGGCGTATTTGTCAGCCACCGCGACAACGGCTCTTCCGCAGGGCCGACTTCCGCCTGGTGGCTCTGGTGGTTCTGAAGCTCTATGCCCATTTTGTTATCTTTGTGGGTTTTTGAGTGTGTGATAGAGAAGTGCTAACTTTGTTTTCGGCTCTCCATATAGGCATATATATATATAATCCTGAAACCATAATAAAGTATTTCCATATTGTTTTTTTTGCGTACAAATGTATTTCCATACTTTGGTCCTGACTGAACAAAAAAAAGAGTAAATAAAACGAGAATACTTTGTATTTTGTTTTCGAATTACAACTTTGTATTTTATATTATATCAATAAAATATCTTTCTTTTAATACACAAAAATTTAGAATTATTTATATATATATATAGTTAAACGATAGTGTTGAGGTGATTTTCCAACAGCTAATTTGATCGCAAGACATTGACAAAATATTTGACCTTTAGAAAAAAAACTAGAAAACAATGAATTCAAGCGACTCAACCTGTAGAATAGCATCTCCAGAAGTGGAGTTTCTGAGTCATGACTCATGATATCTATAAAAACTCCCTCAACTTTACAGTAAAAGGGAATGGATGAAGATTGAGCAATCCGCACACATCTAACAACCTCATGGTGAATCATTTGTTATTATGTTTTGAGTTTTTGACCCTGTATCAGAGATGACACATGTATTCCGTTCATCGTTATCAAAATTCTCTGGTCGAGGATAGTTCTCTCGATAGAACTCTAGAGTTCTGACTTAGAAATCTCACACCTCTCATTTTCAAACCACTTCTAGATTCACCAAATATTAAACTAAGACATAGAAGTTAACCACTATTTCTCGTCCCATAAATCTGGTTTATTGAACTCGTAAATGTTATTTTTGCTTTTTACTTATGTTTCATGAGGAGGAAAAAAAAATCCTATGTGCATGCTGATCGAATCATATATCATCGCTCTCCGGCAATCGAACATCATCGACGTTGAATCTTCCATGACGAATAAAATTAGTCGTTTAGTAATCAAAAACATATTTTCCTTCGGTGAATATTATTTTATTTAGCGTATATATGTATAGTTGGACATGTGAGTAAATCAAATGTTGTTATCCGACTGTATGTCTTTTTGAACATATGAAATATTAACAAACCAACAAGAGGGCTTGATGCAATACGTGATAACTTTGTCCGAATATATATCACGGTCGTACATAATATCAAGAATATTATTGACGTGAAAGATAAGTTCTACCTTGTGTTGACAAATTTTGAAACCGCAAAGACGTATTGATGACTCGTAAAATTAAAAAGAAACACAAGATTTAATACGTGTTGCATTTTCTTATTTTTAGGAGTACTCATTTACTCAGAAAATCTAAAAATAAGAATATGCAAGACCAATAATATGCCATTCGATTCAGCAATAGTATTAACCTTTTTTAAAAGACAATAATATTTAACGAAAATTTATAGAAATTAAAGAATTGCTTTATCTATTATCAATTGGCGATGATAAATGGGACCACATGAATCCTCATAATTGTTTTCTTAGGAATTTTTTTATCAACTTTGAAAACTTGAGCGCAAAATGAATAAATACCAACTTTGGATGGTCAGATAATTTCATATATAGTTTGACAACTAATTTTCAGAATATACTCGCTGACAAAACCAAAATATTTTCAGTATATACAGGTCATATTTCCACGGATATGTCGACTATTTTTTTTTGACGTATATGCAACAATTGTTTGACGAAACAACTTTTGGAAATAAGTCGAAAAAACAAAATCTGTCGGAAATTTTCAGTAATTAGGAAACAAACTAATGTTCCAAATTATCTACATTAGAACATACTTCGAAATTAGTTAACATACGAATTATGATCCAAAAGGAATATTTTGAGTGGAGATATCCTGGTTTCCAAATAAAAACAAAAATGGTTCGATGGAGAAAGAAGGCACTACTATATACAATAACTGACTTTGAAAGAAAAGGAAGATGAAAAAGAAATGCGAATGATAATTTCATTAGTCATTATATATAATATATGGTTGTTCTTTTTCTTTTTGTTGGGTCTCTTTTTCTTATCTTTATGTGGAAGAATATGGAGTTGAACGGAGGAGATGTGGTCTTTGGGCATTTTCGGTCCACATTCTCTTTCCATTTTGGAATTTTTGGTTACTATATAATCAAAACTAATTGGAATATATTCATCATACGGTCATGATCTAAGCATGGCTCGTATATCTTTCCACTATGAACCACTCTTATTCACTCCTCTTCCTCTCAACTCTTTTTCATCTACCAGAATCCACCAAACTAGCTATTGTTAGGTCATACTCATAGACTCGTAAGTTTAATTACTTGGTCCAACGGATCTCCACAATGGCAACTTTTTTTTACGTAAAGTTTGTTGATCAATAGTAAATTTACAAATCTGCGTTATGTAATGTTCAAAAAAAAAAGCGTAATGCATGTCAATTAAAAGAAAGAAGAAACTGTTCAGAACATAAACAATCTGTTAAGTGTTAACCCGATATAAGATAAACTCATGATAACCCCTTTTATATATAAAAGGCAATGAAACGCGTGGCCGCGTCCTACGCTTACGGGGGACCATCAACAGTGCCTTGAGAAGTTTATTTGTAAATATATCTTTTGATGTATTATTGAATATCAATTAGAAATTTGGAATATTGAGTAAATAAATAATAAATCACTGGTTGGTTTTATAGCAATCGATCGCAAGAAATAGCATTCCAATTTCCAAACGGTTATAAGTGTATGTACTCATGGATAAAGAAAGACGTTTTATTAAATCAAAAGTCTCTCTCTCTCAAATTTTGTGATGGCGGATAGATTTATATATCACGTAAAAGCTATATATATAAAAAAAAATCCATGCAAAACCGTTTTACAATGGTATAAACCGATCTAAAATACTATATCTATATAGTATCATTTTTGATAATTTACAATCAAAAATTGCCTTACAAACCCACATTTACAAGTACAATGCTTAATTTATTGAAGACAATCAATAAAAACACACAAAAGAATAAACTTGAAGAACAAAAAATGTTGATCTTAACTAAAACTTCAATAATTTAGTTGAAAAGTTATAAATAATTGCAAATTCTTTTGTTAATTTATAGATATAAGTAGAACCTATATTAATTTGTTTCATTCAACATATTTTTTAGCTGCAACCTTATGGTTCCCTCTTATTAGCACCCAAAAAATAGAGTTATATTTTGTATGCTAAATGAAATTGGTTTCTTATCTTTTAAGAAAATCAACAAAAGAAACTTTTTTACTAAAGTAAGTCCAAGGTACGGCAGCAATGTCGACGTGGCCTTCTTCGGATCCTCACCGTCTTCCATTACACGTCCGAATATGTAAACCGGTATAAGCTTGTTAAACCGGTGGTTTACACTTGCACATACTGTATGTAGACAGGCTTGTAAGTTATGGGAGAGTAGACAGAAACAAAGTGAAAACCGGCAAAATGTTCAATGCTTTACTCATCATGTCTCCATTGCTCAGCCGTACAAGAGCCGTGGCCAAACCAACTCTCACTTACATTTACAAATTACTATTTCGGTTACCTTAAATTTTCGTAAACCAGCTTCTTGGTTTATTTGTTGGTACGACGAACAAGCATTATCTGTAAGGCATTATTAGTGGCTGATCAAATACGACGACCGACAATCTTTCTTCTCCTTTCTCTTCTTCTTCTCTCCATCGTCTTCATCATTAGAGCATCGTATACGAATTCAGTAGCTTCGAGATGATCTCTCTTTACCTTTAGATCATCTTCTAAACTGTTATCCCACCAAATTTCCAATCCTCGGTGAATTTCTAGGGTTGGAGATCTATCTCATCGATTTTGCTGTCTCACAACTATCCGATGAGAAGTTCTGGGTTGGTTCTTCTCAACTTCTTCTTCTTCTACTACTTCTTCAATCCGATTTCCTCTGGTACAGTATCTTCAATCCGATTTCGATAGTTTCTATACCTTTTAGGTGCTCATGAAGTTTCCAGCTTTAGCATCAGCTTTTAGATGATGATTCGAGCTTGGGGTTTAAGTATTTTCTAGGTTTAGTCTAGTTTTTCAACTTAAAGCTGTTGGGTTCTGCAAATAATGGATGTTATGATTTGAATTTCTGAACTTTATGATTCCAATTGATTGTTACTATTGGTGGCGATTGGCACTTTTGTTCATCCTCTTGAGTGATCTTATAGATTCTGTATTTGCTTGGCCTGAGTGTTAAAATCATGAGTGTGTGGCTTTAACTACTCTCTTGGTTGATCTAACAAGGTTGGATCTTTGGATGTTATGATGATGAATCCTATAGACTCTGATTTGCTTTCGTTTGTGTTTGTCTTTCAAGTAGAGGGAGCTTTTGTTGGAACTTATGGGATAAACTATGGAAGGATTGCGGATAACATACCGTCGCCGGAAAAAGTAGTGTTGCTTCTAAAGCAAGCCAAAATTCGGAATGTTCGTATCTACGACGCAGACCACAGTGTGCTCGAAGCTTTCAGTGGGACTGGTTTAGACCTTGTGGTTGGACTACCAAATGGGTTCTTGAAAGAGATGAGCTCAAACGCCGATCACGCAGCGACTTGGGTCAAAGAGAATGTTCAGTCTTTCTTACCGGAGACTCGGATCCGTGGCATCGCCATAGGGAACGAAGTTCTCGGAGGCGGCGACTCCGAGCTCTCGGGAGCCTTGCTCGGCGCTGCTAAAAACGTCTACAACGCGTTGAAGAAACTGAATCTTGAGGACACCGTGCAGATCACCACGGCTCATTCGCAGGCTGTGTTTGCTAACTCCTACCCTCCTTCGTCCTGTATATTCAAAGAGAATGTTGTTCAGTTCATGAAGCCACTGTTGGAGTTCTTTCATCAGATTGGCTCTCCTTTTTGTTTGAACGCTTACCCTTTCTTGGCCTACACTTATAACCCCACCGAGATCGACATCAACTATGCTCTATTCAAGCCCACGGAAGGCATCTACGACCCGAAAACAGATCTTCGTTATGACAACATGCTTGATGCTCAGATTGATGCTGCCTACATGGCGCTGCAAGATGCTGGTTTCAAGAAGATGGAGGTTGTTATTACCGAAACAGGGTGGGCTTCTAAAGGTGACTCCGATGAACCTGCAGCGACGCCGGAGAACGCGAGGACTTATAACTATAACCTCAGGAAAAGGCTTGCAAAGAGGAAAGGGACACCTCTTAGACCCAAAACGGTGCTCAAGGCATACATCTTTGCATTGTTCAACGAAAATTCAAAACCTGGCAAGAGCTCAGAGACACACTTTGGACTTTATAAGCCTGATGGAACTATATCTTATGATATTGGATTCGACAGTCTAAAATCAGATGCTGCCAAGTCACCCTTTTCATCGTCAAAGGTAATGAAATAGTACATGTTTGGTTTGGCGCTGACCATATCCATTATCCATTATTTTACTCTGTGGATCCTTTATACTCAGATTCAAGCTAATGCATAGTGAGTAACAATCTCTTGTGTGTTTTGTTGCAGAGAGCTTGTTACTATGTGGCACTAGTCATCTCTGTCTCGGTTTTCCTCCTGATGATATAACTGCAGAAGTGGTATGAGCTTTGACTGTTGGATTTTGTCATACATTTTTAATAATATGATAGATTGATTATTACTAGGAGTGAGAGAGGCTAACGAAATGGTAGGAGCACAAATTTATGGGATTTCTCATACATCGCAGCCATATAGATAATATTTTCTTATATCATCATCAGACACATATATGTATATCAATCTTATGTGAACAAATTTATACATAAATTTGGATCTCTACTTAGATTAAAAGGTAGTACTAGAGAATTACGGATTTGTGTTTCTGCCTACAGAAGAATAAGCTCTGAAAGATTACTGATTTGATGCCACAAGCATAACAAAATCATATTCAAAAGATTCACATCAGGATTTGTGTTTGGATCGATCTCAGCTCGAAGCAGAGTGCCTAGCAGAAGAGAAACCACAGCAACGGGTCCAATTGCTATATCCCTCGAACAAAATCGAATCTGTAAAACGAAACCATACTGGATTCATCAGTTATCATCATCCCCTGTTTCTCAAAAGAAAACCTGTCGGAAATTTTTAGTAATCAACCACACAAATCATTTTCCAAATTATCTACACTAGAACATACACTTCGATATTAGTTAACATACGAATTCTGATCCAAAAGGAATATTTTGAGTGGAGCTAGATATCCGGGTTTCCAAATAAAAACAAAAATGGTTCGATGGAGAAAGAAGGCACTATATATAATAATCGATTTTTTGAAGGAAAAGAAGTGTGAATGATAATTTCATTATTCTTTATGTGGAAGAAAATGGAATTGAACGGAGGAGATGTGGTCTTTTGGTATGTTCGGTCCACATTCTTTTTCCATTTTGGAATTTTTGGTTACTATAATCAAAAACTAATGGAAATATTCATCATACGGTCATCATCTAAGGCATCATGGGCTCACTCTTATTCACTCCTCTCAACTCTTTTTTTATCTACCAGAATCCTCCAAACTAGCCATTGTAACGTCATACTCATAGACTCGTACTTGGTCCAACGGATCTCAACAATGCCAATTTTTTTTTTATGTAAAGCTTTTCTGATCAATAAATTTACAAATCTGCATAATGTAATGTTCAAACAAAAAAAACTGCGTAATGCATGTCAATTAAAAGAAAGAAGAAAGTGTTCAGAACATAAACAATCTTGTTAACCGATATAAGATAAACTCATGATAACCCCCTTTATATATAAAAGGCAATTAAACGTGTGGCCGCGTCCTACGCTTACGGTAGCCGAGAGAAACAAAAGTGCGATTATTATTTGTAGTCACATTCGATATGCTCTGGTGGATTCTCCACATCACACCATCCTTGCATACGAATGTGTATGTCCATGCTATGGTACGCTCTCAATCACTTACTATAGATTGTCATGGTACGCTCTCAATCAAAAAGCACTAGACCAATAACCATGAACCATTCGAAGGTGATGGTTATCTCACAAGCAAAACATCTCAGAAAGAAATGGAGTTGGTCACGACTCTCGTCTTAATTTTAATGAATTTTAAGGATTTCATAGTGATTTAGGTTTTGCAAGCAAAAGTTACATTGGTGATTTCATAAAATTTACTAATAATACAACAACTCAATCCATCGTACTTGATTTTTGGAACACTATTTGAAATAAACGATTGAATAATCTATCTCTCTAACATAATGTGGAAATGTCAAAGTGTCTCATAACAAATATTTTCGAAACATCAAATTGATTTTATTTAGTGAATTTAAAGATAATATATTTTTTAGATTAAAATCCTATGAATTGTATTACAGTACTTATAAAAACCTATATTAAGAAAAAAAAACATAATATATAATAGCTTAACACTGAAATAAAATCCATAAAACAAAACAAAAACAGCCAAAGAGCAAAAAACTCTCAATCCTCCTCTTCGGACTCGGACTCAGCGCTCTGGAGCCACTCGACAAAAGGCTTCACATTCTTCCAAACCGGCGAGCTTTTGTCGACTCCGGTTAGACCCTTTTGGTACCACTCCAAAACAAAGTCTTCCTCAATGATGTCTTCATCGTACAATGCTTTCAGAACCAGAGCCACCTCTTTAGCCGCTTCTCCGTTTCCATTCTTCCCGCAGAATGATTCGATTGAACTGAGCAGAAGCATCTGTGATCCATCCTCTTGCGTTGCAGCCACCAAGTAATTCTTCTTCTTCGTCACTTCTTTTGCAAATCCTTTGCCCACACCATCAAAGAGCGCATCGAAAGGTGGAAGATACAGGCGTATGAAAAGTACCCAAAGGGGCAGTCTCGAGGAAGGTGGAAACACCTCAAGCAGATTCTTCAGGCTGAGAATTTCCAAGATTGTCCTCCCCATGAACCCAATTGTAAGTTTTGAGTAGAATCAGATACTCTCCTCTATGCGGAAATCAATTTTTCTTCTTTTTGTGTGCAGATGTCAACATTGAGTCGCCTCCATCCACTCAGCCATGCAAGAGAATTTGCGATATAACAGGATATGAGGTACGCAAAGCTTTCGCAAGAGTTTGATCGGCCCCTATGATCTATCTTGTCTTGACATTCTTGTTTTGGACTGCGACAGGCACCATATGTCGACCCAAGAACAAACCTGCGGTATGCAAATTCCCAGGTTTTCAAGGCCGTAAGGTCACTCTCTGCCGAGCAAGTCCAGCAGTATCTCTCCATACGCAATGCTGCTGTTGTTCTCAAGTAGCTTCAGCTCAAACAAAACTACAGGAGCCAAACAGTCTCTCCTTCCTCTTTTTTTTCTATCTTCTACATGTTTGTGTTATGTACGGTCTCCAATTTTGGAACATCGTTTGATTTTACTAAAGTTATCATCCAACATATCGATTTTTGGGTACAAAGAAAGAGACTTTGAATCTTTCGACATCAACATTGTTATGATAAACCTTAGCAAGCTACAAATACAAATGACAATGGAGTTGCCTTAATCTCATGGGGCTTTCCTCAGGATCAAAGCCAATATGTAACAAAGAGCAGAGTCCACCGATGATAGCGCAACAATGAAGACAGCTACAAGACAGAGACTCAGTGTGGCAGTCTTGAGCTGTTGCCAAAACAAAAGGTTACATTACATAACTGTTCAAACAATAGCATAGCAAAAGTGTACACGCAGCACATACCGTGGTTGTAAAACTTGGCCACTCTATGAATTTCAGCTGGCTCGGTTGCTCAGATAGAAAGGTGAAGAGAGATCTCGTGCTCCTTTAAAACAAAAGTTCCACAAAGGCAATTCAATGGAACCAAATCTTGCAGAGGAAACAAGAAAGAATCAGCTTTGATTGTGTGAAAATGTATACCAGACAATGTCCTTAACAAGGCTCAACCATAAGGGCTCTTCGTCATGGAAGCTCGGACTTTGACGACCGAAACCTACAGATACCGCGCAATACCCACCCACATGCTTATAGCTAACTCTCCCATTGAGACTCTACAAGAAGCAAAACATACATACACAAGCTTACGTCAAAGCTGCCTGAGTTGTTCCTTGTCTTAACCCGCTTTCAGAAAATATGAAATTACCGAATCCCCGCGAAACTTGAAGCTACTGGGTCCCAACTCATTGCGTCTCCGAATCCGGTGTGACGGGATTGCGGGATGAGCCAACCGGATTGATCCTATGAATCAAAATTGAAGACCAAAATCATAAGAAACGAGCACGGTGAGCAAGCATAAGCCACAGGATCGAATAGTGACCTGCTCCGTTTGTGAGCAGTCCCTGAGAAAGCACCATCCTCTACAAATCCAAGTTAATTCGAGACCAAGCCTAAAAATCGCTGTAGAGGAAGACGAAAAGGTTGGTCGTCGCTCGCTAGCCTTCGATTTGCTATGGGCCTTTTGGGCTTCTAATTCGATAGATAAAAATCCCGTTCTATATTGTTGGGCTTATCATATGGACACTTCAACGGGCTGCACCAAATAAATAAGGTCTTTGGGCTTCAAAATCGATAGCTAAAAAGCCCATTTTACATTGTTGGGCTTATCAAAGTCGGATCGGATTTGGGATGTGTCAACCCAGGGATTTGGATCCACTTTGACACGCCTACCTATCACTCGATAAGATTGAAAATCCTCAAACGAAACCCTACAGGAACCTAAAGGAGAATTGAATTGAATACATCTAAGAGACTTGCGAAAATCATCGTCATCAGGAAGAATACAATCAGATCATGGAGAATTCGACGCTTACAGAGACAAACAATTCACGACGGATCGAGACAACAAATATCGGAAAAAAAAAACTATCGCCCAATAAATCAAAATCACTAATAAGCTTGAAATTAGAATTAAAAAAAAAAGGGTCGATGAATCTGGAGAGATACCTCTGTTCTTAAGACGATGAGAAGGTCGAAGACGAGAGGAATCGAAAACTCAAGAGGATTGTTGTTGGTTCGAGAGGCGTTTCCTTAAATACGAGGAGAGTTGTTGGAGAAATTAGGGTTAACTTAGGAATAGGAAAATACCCAAATTCCTTTTTTATATATTTTCGACTTTTTCGTTTGCAAAAATATTTCCTTCTCCTCAAGTAATTATTTTAATTTTCACTTTTTTTTTATGAATAGGAAAGAATGATCCAGATTCTTAGTTCTTACTATTTACTATCAACCAAAAATAATTAAAATCAGCTCTTATAATAAGTCAAAATGTTACGATAGAATGCATCAAGATTATTTATATATTTAAAATGTGATAAAAAAAATCAGTAGATAATGAAATTATTAACAACATTAGCAAACATGTACTAAACATAAACAATTATAATTACAGATAATACTAATATTTAGGCCATTTTTCAAGACATGTATTAATATTCTCAAGTTTTAGTAACTCCACTAATAAGTATAATAAGTAAAAATGTTATGATATCAAGATTATTGTATACATTTAAAATCTGATAAGAAGACCAGCAGATGGTGAAATCATTAACAACATTAGTAAGCATGTATACTAAACATAAACAAAATTAATATTACATTGAAAGTGAAATTAAATGTCATTCACCTGTTCCTTTTAACCGTAACTATTACTCAACTAAACCAACCCACATTTTATTTTAATTTAATATTCTACGTAAATTAATTAACCAAACCAAATCGCAGTTTTGCAGTCTCAAAAGATTTTTAATTTTTCGAAGAAAATGCTATAACTCATCTGTTTAAGCTCTCTAAAATTTCTTATCCAATAACCTGTTGTCTCAATTAAAATGTATTGAGTTGGGCCTAATATAATCTAATGAGGCCTGATATATATCAAGCCCATGAGCTGTTGACAAATCTCAAAAAGTCCACAGATAAAACGACACGTATTCTTTTGCTTAACCATATTTGATTAACGGTTTAATTACATGTTCAATTTCAAAAACTTTCTTACTTTTATTTTTTTGAACATTTGCTTGCATTAATAATTAAAAGTGGCAAAGGTGGTTTTTAAAACCCACCTTAGATTACAGCCCAAAATCAATGAAACCCATTATAACCTTTTGTCGAACCCAATTGAAAATAGTGAATAACAGAAGCCCAAATAAATCCCCACACCCCAAGCCCAGCTATTGCCGACTTGCAATAGAACCAGAGAACCCCAACAATTATAGCGAAGCCTGTTATTTATCTCCCTCCATAGAACTTTATTTGTAAAACATTTTTTGATGGATATGGAATATCAATTAGAAATTAAATTTAGAATCTTGAGAAAATAAATGATAAAACTCTTTTGTTAGTTTGATGGCAAATCGTCCGCAAAAAATAAAAGCATTCAAAACGATTATACGCGTTTGAACTCAAGGATTAGAAGACGTTTTGTACCGTTTATGAAATCGAAAAGTTTTTCGATACAAAACCGCTTTACAATGGTATAAACTGATCTAAAATACTGTATAGTATCATTTTGGTCGTTTACACTCAAACGCTACATTACTCGTTGTTAATCAATCAAAACTGCCTTACAAACGCACTTGATTCAATAATGCTTAATTTATTAATGACAACTAAGTTAACATAGTACATGTTATAATAACGAGTAAAACACATACATCTCTAATATTTTTTTGTTTGTCAGCACATAATCGTAATTGCTTACATATATTAATGTATGTATGATTAACAAAATTATCATTAAAACAAAAAGTTTATTAAAAACATGTACGTATGATTAAAATTTACATATATTATATATTTGTAAACAGTTGACTAATTATTTATTTTATTATTATTGGGCGGCACCTGATAATTTATTAATTGCTTATTTGTAATTTTTTGATAACTTGCTTATTTGTAGTTTATCACTACGAATAAAACTTGTAGTTGTCGATTATATACCCCCGAACAATTTCAAAGGTTAGGGTTAGTTTTTTATAACCTAATAATAATAAATTTTTAGGTTAGGAGCATAAAAAACCTTAAATATTTATTTATTTGAAACAAAAATAAAACTTAAAAATATTTATTTATTGAATTATTATTAATTTAAATTTATAGAAAATTCTTAAAGATAAAATGATATATTTATTGCTAAATTTTAATATATTTTCTTAATATGTGTAAAAACTTTTAAACATCTTTCTTTTAAGAATAAATAGAATATAAAATAATAGGGCATAATATCAATAGTTACCACTTTATTTGTTCCTGATAGGGCAGATTATCGCGTAATCATTTCTTTTCTTTTTTATCAAACACACCATTTTTTTTGTTTGGTAGTCGTTAGGGCTGGGCAAATTATCCGTTATATTTGATTCGATCCGTTATTTGCTTCGATTCAATTCGAAAAATCCGGATATCCGTAGCTTTACGGAGCAAAGCAAATACTAAATTTTGATATCCGTTAAAAACGGAGCAAATCACAAATATTAAAATTCTAAAAGCCGGATATCCGATCCGTTCCGATTTACATATATATGTGTGTATATATATAAATTATTACATATAGAATGTATAGTTAATATAATCATATGTAAATTTTTGTGAATTTATATATATTTTATTAGTTATTTTAATACAAAATTTTAAAAGAAAAATTTTAAATTTAATATATGAGTTAATTTTTGACTTTTTAATTATTTTTATAAATAATTTTAATTATTTTATAAATATTTTAATTATTTTATAATTAATTTAATATTTTTGAAACGGATCGGATATCCGGTCAAAAATACGGATTTTAACGAATATCCGAATACCGGATATCCGATTAGTAACAGAGCAAATACGGATCAAATAATTGTTAATCCGTACGGGGCGGAGCGGATCACGGATATCACTAAAATTCCGGATATCCGCTCCGTGCCCAGATCTAGTAGTCGTATGTCGCTATAAAAAAAAACAACGATCAAATTATTTTAAATCGATGAACCCTGTAACAGTTGATGCCTTTGTCCACTGATACAATCACATCAAAATGAATATATATTTCAATTGCTATCAGTCGACTCCAAGACGAATATTTTCCATATTTTTACATACATATCACTAAGATAATATGTGCAGCAACATGCCATTATTTATTGTACATCGGTATCTCAATTTGCTCATGAGGCATCGTGGCATATTTTGTATTTGTAATTTCGCATGTTCACAAATTAATTTTTTTGTACATTACGTCTTATTGACCCCAAAAAAAAAAAAATTTGAGAAATTAGCAAACAAAAACAGTGTGTGTGGCTGGCCGTGAACCAACATGGAGAGCCAATAGCTTGTAGCCAGCAAAGCACTATCTAGCGCGTGAGGAACACGGAGTCAATGGCTAGCTTATGCACTGAGGAAGAACCTAGCCATACAGTAGTCCAGGTTCAAGTTTCGTGATCAGATCACTGGCGCGGGACCCACTCGTTCACGAAAATTACCGAAAAGTCAACTCTATCCCCCAAAAAATCGCTGACCTTTTCGCTTCTCTCGATTTCGAGCCAGTGGCATTTCCGTAAAAACAAGTTTGATCCAACCGCTTCATTGTTTTTGGGCCCTTGTTCTTTCTCTTTCCGTAACTTCTGTCATTATCACCACCTATATATTTTGTTTTTCCTGGAAAAAAAAAAAGAACTTCATTATCACCACTTTTTAATCTCTTAAATTTAAAGTTTATCTTAATTAAAATATATAAAAACGAGGTTATTTACCAAAACCCAGATCGAATCTTATTTTTTTTCTTTCTGATCGCTTATTGTCATATACTTTTCTCTTCTTTTGCTAATTCTTCGTATTTTGTTTTCCATGAATTTTTTCATCAGTTTCATGCAAACTTCTCATGAAAATTTAATACTAGGATTTCGTATTTGACATTTTGAGAGATATTCAGTGAACCTGGACACGATTCAGGTTTGCTGATTTTACTGTTTTTAAAAAGCACAGTGAACAATCTGGTGTTTCAAATCTGCAAAAAGGGAGAGGTTGTAACTGTGTCTCGTGTACTTTTGTTCTAATTCTTAAATCTTTCTTTTTCGACATTTTTCTTTAAATCCCTTTTTCACATAAAAAAATAAATCAAATTACGTGAAAGATCTTTGGAGGAAAAGGCTTGTAAAAAGGACATAATTTCTTCTTCGTCTTTACCAGGTAAGTGGTGGTTTCACCTTCCAACTATCAATGGTACTTAATTACGCATCTTGTACTTTACCCACTAATTATTTGATCATTATTTATTTTTAATTTTATAATTGCTCTTTTTTTAGAACGTGTCATATAAACGTGCATACAATATTTTATTCATAATTTTTTAAATCTGATTTTTGTTATAGTTTAATCATAGTTTTTATTCCCTTTTTAAGTGAGTGTTTTCTTTTCTCTTTTTTGTGTTAGTATCAAAATGATCATTTCGATTAGAGCGTCTCTTCGGACTTCGATAATATTATAATAATAAGTTTAGAACTCATTATCAATCGTGCTTGCATACTTGTTTGGATCACAAAGTCAAAACATGTGATGTTTCACTTTGGCTCCAAGCATCCAACTGGTAACACAAATTTGGTTAAAGGAGAAACATTATTAGGTTGTTCTAAAAAAAACTTTTAGTTCAGCTTTTGTGATAGAAATTGGCTTATTCTTAAAAGTTTTTGCATTTAAGTTGAAAACGCCACTTCTTTTGAACTTTTTTTTTTGGTTGAAAAATCAGCCAATTTGTTTAAATAATCAAAGCCACGTTCCATCACACTGCACAAACGTTTTCTGTCTTAACTTTCAAGTAGTTATTATTTAATGTATGTATAGTTTTCCTTAAAAATCTTAAAAATAAATTAAATATTTATGAAATTGACATAACAGCTACACATATAGTTTTGAGTTTGGGCAAAAATGTTTGAGTCCACATTAGAACCACCAAAACCTAAGATATGAAAGTTAGGTCTGTGTAGCTTCTTAGGTAATATTTCTAGATATATGTTCAATTAGGTTTGTTTTCTAGGTTTTTTAGGTTTTGTTAAGCAAACGAATAGAAAATCCGGAAATCAAATGTTAACTCTTAGCTAAAGTTAAATTAGATAGAAAATTGAAAGGAAAACCAAAAAATTATGTTAATTTTTCGCCATTTATTCAGATAAAATATTGACATTTACCGTATGTATTTTTTAAATATCTGTAAATCTATATGCCACGTGGCGCTGGCCATTGTGGTCAACGATCTCTCCTCATGGCAGAGAGTAAACAAGATCAATGAATTGAGATTGTTAACAGTTTTGCACACAAAATTCGCTACAAACGATTGACTTGATTTGTTTTTATTTAATGTCGATATACACAAATTAAAAATTTGCAATCTGTTTAGACTTTTCATCTTTCGTTATGCACTTGGTCTTTTTGCAATCCAGATTCATCAGTTTACACGACGACACACTCTTCTCATAATTAATTAAAAACAATCTCCTAAAAAATTTTCGTTATATAAATAAGCTCCATCCATCAATGTTGCTCCAAATCACACTAAACCAAAATATTCACTTTATTCACTTTTCCAGCTAATCGATCTATCTCCTGGTTCGATTCTATTCCTCTGTGCAACCAATTTTAAAATCGAACCTCAAAAACTGCAAACTAAATTATCCCAACTATTGTCTCTGGTTTGTGTTCGCAGATACATTAGCTATGTCGGCGAGAGCTCACCCTGTGGACGGTGATGTAAGTCCGGCGACGGACGGTGGAGATCTTCCGATCAAATTGTCGTCCCATCGGCATAAAGTTGGGGTCCCACCGAAGCAAAACATTTTCCATGATTTCATGTACACTTTCAAGGAAACTTTCTTCCACGATGATCCTCTCCGACATTTCAAGGACCAGCCTAAGTCCAAGCAGTTCATGCTCGGACTCCAATCCGTCTTCCCGGTTTTCGATTGGGGACGTGACTATAGTCTCAAGAAGTTTCGTGGCGACCTCATTGCCGGTTTAACCATTGCCAGTCTCTGTATCCCTCAGGTGGAAGGAAATCTCAATTACATTATGACTTGTATCACAAGTTATCTGTCCTTGCTTTGTTTCTTATGTATATTCTACCATGATTCCAGGATATTGGTTACGCTAAGCTCGCGAATCTGGACCCTAAATACGGTTTATGTAAGTCTTATTGTGACTTGATTCTGATTAATCACACTTGACCTTGTTTGAGGAAATTATGAATCGAGTTATGGTTTGGTATTTCAGATTCGAGTTTTGTTCCTCCATTGGTGTATGCTTGTATGGGAAGTTCGAGGGATATAGCAATTGGACCCGTTGCTGTGGTTTCTCTGCTTTTAGGCACTCTGCTTCGAGCTGAGATCGATCCAAACACAAATCCTGATGAATATCTCCGCCTTGCCTTCACCGCCACGTTTTTCGCCGGTGTGACTGAAGCAGCCCTTGGGTTCTTCAGGTAAGCTGATCTCTTCCACAGAAAAAGTAGTTCTTCTTTGATGATCAGAAAGTTCTCATTTTCTTTCTTACTGCTCTCAGATTAGGATTCTTGATCGATTTTCTTTCCCACGCGGCTGTGGTGGGCTTCATGGGCGGCGCAGCAATCACTATCGCTCTTCAGCAGCTTAAAGGCTTCCTTGGGATCAAGAAATTCACCAAGAAAACTGATATCATCTCTGTTCTTGACTCTGTCTTTAGCTCAGCACATCACGGCGTAAGAACCCTTGTGCTTGCTACACTCTGTTTCCTCATTCCTCCGTTGTGTGAATCTCTCTTCACTAACCCTAATAAATTTGGTTGTGTGCAGTGGAATTGGCAGACGATACTCATCGGTGCATCGTTTTTGACATTCCTTCTCATCTCTAAGATCATTGTAAGACATAATATATATTAAGGAAACATCGAATAGTTTTGTTTTCTTTTCTTATGATCTGATTCTGATCTCTCTCTCTCTCTCTCTCTTGGCTTGATGATGGAACAGGGGAAGAAGAGCAAGAAACTGTTCTGGGTTCCAGCAATCGCGCCATTGACATCAGTTATCATTTCCACCTTCTTCGTCTACATAACCCGAGCAGACAAACAAGGAGTCCAAATTGTAAGAACTAAAACCTACTTTAAAGTAATTACTTTCGCCTCAAGCGATTCAACATTGTGTTGTGTTAATCTGTTTCCCGTTTTGACGATTGAAGGTGAAACACCTTGACGATGGCATCAACCCTTCCTCTTTCCATAAAATCTACTTCTCCGGAGATTACCTCGTTAAGGGCATCCGCATCGGTGTAGTCGCTGGCATGGTCGCGTTAACAGTAAGTTCCAAATCCATGACTCAAGAACTTCAATATCCAATTGCTTATGAGTGAACATTCCTCATCGAAATTTCTTTCTTCACAGGAAGCTGTAGCGATTGGAAGAACGTTTGCTGCAATGAAAGACTACCAAATAGACGGAAACAAAGAGATGGTGGCGTTAGGTGTGATGAACGTTGTCGGATCGATGTCTTCTTGCTACGTGGCGACAGGATCGTTCTCGAGGTCAGCCGTTAATTTCATGGCGGGATGTCAAACAGCGGTTTCAAACATCATAATGTCGATCGTCGTTCTCCTGACGCTGCTCTTCCTCACTCCTCTCTTTAAGTACACACCAAACGCCATCCTCGCAGCTATCATCATCAACGCCGTGATCCCTTTGATCGATTTCCAAGCTGCTAAACTGATCTTCAAGGTCGATAAGCTCGATTTCGTCGCTTGCATGGGAGCTTTCTTTGGCGTCATCTTTGTTTCCGTTGAGATTGGACTTCTTATCGCCGTACGTCTCAAGAAACCTAAACCCTATATATATATATGCAATCATTACGAATCTAATTCCGTTTTGATATTTAGTTTGCTGAATATGTGTGTTTGTGTTTGGACAGGTCTCTATATCGTTTGCTAAGATTCTCTTGCAAGTAACAAGACCTAGAACGGCGGTTCTCGGAAATATTCCGAGAACTTCGGTGTACCGGAATATTCAACAGTACCCTGAAGCCACTATGGTTCCAGGTGTTCTTACGATTCGTGTTGACTCTGCGATTTACTTCTCCAACTCTAATTACGTCAGAGAAAGGTAAAACCTTGAACAACAGTTTAACCTTAACCAAGAACTCTTAACTTGGTTCACAAGAACCTAATTCGGAAACCTTCAAATTTGCAGGATCCAAAGATGGTTACTAGAGGAAGAAGAGAAGGTGAAAGCAGCAAGCCTTCCCAGAATTCAGTTTCTTATCATCGAAATGTCACGTAAGTTAAACTTTTTTACTCCTAATCCCTTCTTAGTTATCTCTAAATTAAACAAAGATTAACGGACACCATTATTTTTCAGCTGTTACGGACATTGATACAAGTGGTATCCACGCCTTAGAAGACTTATACAAATCTCTCCAAAAAAGAGACATTCAGGTAAAACATACATAGACGATTAAGTTTAAGGATTCTATTTAAGCAATCAAAGTGAATTAGTTGAAGAAGATTACCTTTTTTTGTGTGGAGATTTCTCAAATTTGAATCTGTTTTTGTGTATAAAAACAGCTGATTCTAGCGAATCCTGGACCGTTGGTGATAGGCAAGCTACACTTGTCGCACTTTGCTGACATGTTAGGACACGACAATATCTTTCTCACGGTGGCTGACGCCGTTGAGTCTTGCTGTCCAAAACTCTCCGATGAGGTCTGAAATCACAAGAAAGAAAATGAAGATAATGACGAAGAAGATGATTTCTCTTAGTGTTGTTGTACAGTAGAGTTAAGAAAGTGGCTTTAGCTTTCAATTGCTGTATCTTTTGGACCCTTTCTCTTTATGTTACAGAAGAGGTCAAGAGTAAAGTTGACCTCTGGGTCCCATCCCAGCGCCTTGTTGTTCTACTTTTGTAATAAGTGTAGGTTTACTGAATTGACATGAAACCATTTCAAATCGAAATTCTTATTATAAATCATTTAAAATCCAAAAATGAATTAACAACAATGGTCTAGGAACCAATGTGCAGTTGATTAACTCAATAATGTGACAAGTTGGAATTTTAAACGCAATAAAAACTAGTATATAAAATGTTCCTATCCATATGTTGACAAAAGAAAAAGATGATCCAATCCGTTAGCAATAAGCAATCATAATATAGTATATAGTTTCATTATCTATCCCAATAAGTCAATTGTATGGGTTGGCGAATAATTTGCTTTGGATCAAGACATTCATATGAACCTGGACCAGAAACAAAGCCAGATTCATTTAAGAGTTGTTAAAATAGCCTTTAACAAAACGCTGCGTTCTTGTGACTCTTTTTTTCATATTTAGTTAGTGGGCTATATCGGATAAAGGCCCAAACTATGTGAATCCACGAAAACCCATTTCTTTGTGAAATTTGAAACACTGCGTTTTGGTCTTTTTAATCTCTCTGCTGTATTCGTTGCCGCCTCCGGCGTTATCCGTAAGCGTTTGTCATTCCGCCGTCAATGGAGCTTCTCCTCTCCTTCCGCTCCGTCGGCGTTCATCTTATCCGGCAAGCCGCTCCGATCTTAACCAGAGGGGGAAGAGTCTCAAGGCCCGTCTCTAAGAATCTCTTCGTTCTCCTATTCTCCACATCTCCTAAAACCCCTCTTCTTAAACCTCGCGCCGCGTCATCAGGTTAAGAGCCATAGAAAACGATTCCGAAGGTTCCTTAGTTTGGTATCTACTCTATTGCTAATGGGTTTCTTTCGTTCCGAATGTTGCAGAAGAGAACTCTCTTGTGTTTAAGGGAGACGAGCGTGTGGTGGGTCTTCTGGGAAAGGCAAATGACGCATTCGATAACGTCGACCGGTTTCAGAGCTCGAGCACGATTGTGGCGATCGTGACGCCGATCGGTGGGCCACCTGGAGCGGTGGGAATCGTGCGGTTGTCGGGACCTAACGCCGTGGAAATCGCACGGCGAGTCTTTCGTTCGGCTAAGAAAAGGAGGAAGAAGGCGAGCGATTGCTCCGAGGTTTCGGATTCGGATCCATGGAGTCCCACTAGTCATTTCGTTGAGTACGGAGTCGTCGTTGATTCAAAAGGCAATGTTGTTGACGAGGTAGAATTTCGAAGAAAGTTCTCAAATTTCGATTCCATTGAGACTAATTCACACTTCTCTCTGTTTCGATTTTCTTCGCAAAAGATTCAGCATTTTTTGTGACATTTCTTCTGTTATAGTTAGATAGATTGATTGTAGAATTTGAGTGTTTGATCATTGAAATTCGAAATGTGACTGCTTGTTAAGGTATTAGCAGTGCCCATGTTGGCTCCTCGGTCATACACAAGGGAGGATGTAGTTGAGCTCCAGTGTCACGGGAGCGAAGTTTGTCTGCGTCGCGTTTTGAGGACTTGTGTTGAAGCTGGAGCAAGATTAGCAGAACCAGGTCACAAACTCAATCTCCTTCCTTAACTTCTGTGTCCATCTTTATATTACAGTTTTTTTTTTTTTTTTTTTGGTTATTTGATTCTTTGATTGATGTGTGACTTCAGGAGAGTTTACACTTCGTGCCTTCTTAAATGGGCGTTTAGACCTAACGCAAGCTGAAAATGTTGAGAAACTCATATCGGCCAAGTCCTCTGCTGCTGCAGATGCTGCTTTGGAAGGGATTCAGGCATGTATTTTTGCACTCCTTGTGATAAATAACCTTAATGAGGGCTTTTCTATATTCATTCGAAGTCATTCTCTACTCTTTTTTGTCTTTAGGGAGGGTTTTCATCTTTGGTCAAATCATTAAGAGCGCAATGCATTGAGATCCTCACCGAAATCGAAGCTCGTTTAGATTTCGAGGACGAGATGCCTCCATTGGATATAGACTTGGTTATTAGCAAAGTAAACAGCATGTCTCAAGACGTAGAGAGTGCGTTAGATACAGCAAACTATGACAAGCTTCTTCGAAGCGGGTTGCAGGTAAATATTGAGAACAAATACAACAAATGCTGCTTCTTGTTCATGATTGAAGCTTTTTTTGTTTGTAAGTGTATGGTTATCTAATTTTTTTCATTTATCTGTTCTTACTGAAACGTTACAGATAGCTATTGTTGGGCGTCCGAATGTCGGGAAGTCAAGTCTTTTAAATGCCTGGAGCAAAGTATGGAACAGAATGATCCTTAATTTTTTAAAAAACTTAAATCTTCGACACTGTTTATTTCAAATTAGAGTCACATTTCGACTGGTGATTTTATTTTTAGCGTGCAGAGTGAGAGAGCCATTGTTACAGAAGTTGCTGGAACTACTCGAGACGTAGTGGAAGCTAATGTTACAGTCCGTGGTGTGCCAATCACACTTCTTGACACTGCTGGTATCAGAGAAACTGACGACATTGTCGAGAAAATAGGTCAGTATATTGGTTTAACAATCTTTTGACCAAGAATTGTCAAGCTCGGATCTTGTGAGGGAGTTTTAAAAATTATTGCAGGAGTTGAGAGATCAGAAACCGCTGCTAAGGTTGCTGATGTCATAATCATGGCGGTGAGTGCTGTCGAAGGCTGGACTGAAGAAGACACTGAGCTTCTACATAAGATCCAATCGGACAAGGTAATGTTATTATTCGACATTCACTTTCGAACGACTCGTTTTTCTGATTGTTTTGGGTTCTTCTTTATATTGAAACAGCCTATGATTCTAGTGATGAACAAAATGGACTGTGCTCCTTCTGATTGCTGTGATCAACTAGAAGATACGAAGAGAGAAGTTTTCCATAAATCTGTGTTTACATCTGCTGTAACTGGTCAAGGAATCGAAGAGCTTGAAGAAGCAATTTTGGAGATTCTTGGTCTTGATCGTGTCCCCATTGGAGGACATCAATGGACAGTGAATCAGGTCTGTCTCAATTATACATGTAAACTCTGTTTCTAGCCATTAACTTTTAAATGTTGCTATTTACTCCCCTCTCTTGTTTTGTGTTGTAACAGAGGCAATGCGAACAGCTCGTGCGGACAAAAGAAGCGCTCGTGAGGCTGAGAGAAGCGATCAGAGATGAGATTCCGATTGATTTCTGGACGATTGAGCTGAGAGAAGCTGCTTTGGCTCTTGCTCAGATCAGTGGCCAAGATGTCTCTGAAGAAGTCTTATCCTCCATTTTTTCCAAGTTTTGTATTGGTAAATAAATTAACTATTGCTAAATTAAAACCCCCAAACAAATACTAAACTATATCATTGACACAATACGCTGTTTTTTTTTTTTTTTTAAACGTAGTAAAACGTCTGTTTTAAAAAATGTCCTCATTGATTTTGTTGATTGTAAGTACAATTATCGTTAACGAACAACGTCAAAAAAATTATAATGGAGGCGAATAATGAAAAGTACCAAAAATAATGAAATGTGTGGACCAGATGGTAAAGCCCACCAGTGAAAGAGAGGATGACCTTTTTGTTGTTTGTGTTCAGAAAAAAACGAACGAATCAGCAATCAAGAAAAAAATAAATATAATTTTTAACGTCTCATCACTTTTTTGACTCACTTGAGTTGTGTCCACTTGTCCTCTCAATCATACCAAATCCTCTCTATTAGCACCAAACTTCCACGTCAGCTTCAGCTTTCCCTTCATTGTCATTTACCATCATATATAACAAAAACAAAAATAATTTAATCACATCTACAAATAAAATTGTCATTTTCCATTTCTAGTCATTCAATTGATCTCCATGCACTATCAAATGAATGTTGCTACAGTATGTTTTCGTTGTATACAAAGTTTTCAAATAAATACCAGTTTAAACATTTTACCGTGACCTTGAAATAAAAAGAAAACAAAAATATTTACACTTTTCTTGAAAGAATCATTTAAAAAATGAAAAAAAAAAACTCTTCGAAGCTTACGATGTTGAGACTTGAGACCGACCATTTTGGTATAATGTGCCACTCTGTTTAAACTCTAGTTTTTATGTGTAAAGAGGTCACAATGCACCAATCAGCATAAGCTTTCGTTGTGATTTTCGATTACAGATTACTGTTTTTTAAGGAAACAAGAGCTTTCGAGGAGTATCTTCCCCATGACAACATGTTTTTTAAATTTGTTTTGGGCATTAAATCGTCATCAGTTAAATTTTATGTGAATGTTGAAAATTTGGTGAGAGATATGAGAGGCATGTGAAGTGGAGAAACGAGAGAAGAAGGCTCTATAAAATTGCAAAGGGCAAATTGAATTTAAACATTGTTGTCAAGGACTCGAGAAGGTGGTCCATTTTTTTATAGCCCAGACGTTAGGAACCAAATAACAACATTTCCCTTTCAATTTTCAATGTTTTCGGCATTTTTTTACCCTATATTTTATATTATTTATTGCTTTTGAAATTGAAATGAGGTTTCTTAGAATTATTATTGTTTCTTTTGGCTTTATTTTTGAGTGAAGAAAATGACCGGGTGGAAATGGACAATTAATTCTTGGGGCAACTATTTTTGATGTCGAAAATTAATTATTGTTAAATTAGTGGGCCCATTTAGCCCAATGGACCCTTTCTCGAATGATTGTAAAAAAATTAGCTGCACTCGATGATTAAAAAAAAATTGTAATTTAGGAAATGATGGTTTTATTCGATCAATATAACTAATTTCACTTTACCGTGGAGAAAAATAACTACATCAACTTGTTTTCTTCCTCTGTAACGGAGAAAATAACAACACAGAAGTTTTATATTTTAACTAGACAAAATAATTTTTGTTACACCACAATAGTACAAACAGAATAAATGCCAAATGTTCTTGTTTTTCTATTAAAACAAAAAACAAAATATTTCCACTAAATGACGTGGCATTATCGTGAAACGAACATTAATCAGATCAGAATAATCAACGGTCCATATTCAGTCCTCAGTTTATGGTTCTTCTCTTTATCTTCACTGTCCCTTCTCCTTCCTCACTCCCTCCTCTCTCTCGCTCTCCCCTCTCTTTCTCTCTCTAGATTTGCTCTGTCAGAGCCCTAAAAAGAAAAAAGAAAAAAAGAGGAGCAGAAACAGAGCACAACCACACACACACGCTAATACGATGTTGCTTGGGAAGAGACAACGACCACCGATTAACAGAACCACGAGTCTGTCGGAGATAAAGTTCGATCTGAACCTTCCCGGCGAAACAGAGGTATCAAATCAGCAGAACCCAAGCCAAAATCCTGTGGTGGGTCCGTACGGTTCGAACGGTCAAGTCATAGCAGCCGTAGATCAACACCGTGGGCCGCTATTAGATCAACGGTTCTTGGCTTTGGTCTCACCGAGAGGTAACCTGAGGAGACACTCAGGCGATTTCTCCGACGCTGGACATTTCTTAAGATCTTGCTCCCTCTGCGAACGCCTACTTGTTCCTGGCCGCGACATCTATATGTACAGGTATCCAAATAATTAAAAAAACCATCAGAAACTTTTAACTCTTGAATTTTGATCATATATAACTTCGTGAAAATGGAAGTGAACCACTACAAATCGTGTGCGTTTAATCGTTTCTGAGAGTTTAAAAGATAACGAGTGTTCGCTAATTTAGATGATTTATGATATTTGATTTGTTGTCTGTAGTTGAAATATTGAATAATTAATATACTAATGATTTTATGTAATGAAAATGGCAGGGGAGATACGGCCTTTTGTAGTTCAGAGTGCAGGCAACAGCAAATGGCACAAGACGAGAGGAAAGAGAAAGGTAAATCGGTGAAGGAATCTGCGGTGGCGGCCACCGTGAAATCCGGCAAAGGAGGGAGAGCTGCAGCCGCTGTGTAATCCTCTATAATTATATATATATATATGGTATGTGTGGTTTGCTATGCGTTTGTATATGATTATGATGGGGTAATACATATATTAAAGCATTGAGCATTAATTAACCTATGTTAATCACTCTCGAGTGTCGTGGTGATATGAGATGGTTTTTCCGAGGGTTCAAATTTTACAAGTTTTGATCTATTTGAAATAAATCCAAATGTAAAACTTGTGTTTTGTTTTCAAGTACTTAATGAGAAAATTTAAGATCACCCATTTACAATGGATACTTGTGGGTAAGGTTGCAATTTTAGGATATTTAGAATCGACGATAAAGACAAATGAAACTAAGGTATGAGCAGTAGTAATTTTGTGTCATAAATTGAATAACATCGGAGATTACGAAGATCGTTATATATATACTCTAGTATCTTATTTATTAATTTTATTATAAAGTTAGAGTATCTTGTTTAAACATCAAACCTAGAATCAATAACGTTACTCTATTGGAGAATTCATTCCAAATTTTCAATTTAGGTCAACTAAAGTTGATGTACAAGTTGTACTGGCTGTAACCTTTATGTACTTTTTTTATACATACATTTATATATATATATACCGATGATATACATACGGTGTTCGTCTTTGTGTATGAATATATATATTTCTTTTAATTATTTGTAAATTTATATTTTAGTAGACAAGGCTAATTAATTACGATGTTGCTTGAGTCAGGAATCTCATGCCTAATCAGCATGGGTCCCAGTATCCACCAATTGGAAAAATTAGTAGATTCTCTTCTCTCTTTTTCTGTCTTTAAAGGTCGTTACAATTTTGACAGATTCCTAATGACATTTTTTTTTTTGTGTGTTTCCCATTTGTTTCAAAACTTTTGCTAATACATTTAGTTCCTTTTTTTTTTCCTAACGAAATGATCAACGATACCTTTTTACAGTTTGTTGTATGCATACTCATCAACAAACATAATAGTATTAAGTTTAGTTTGGCATAACAACGATCATTATTTTAAGTCGTCTGTGTGTTCAGATATCACTTTTTGAGAATAATTTCACTATTGCTTTGATAAGTTTTACCATGAGACAAAATTCCTTATAGTATTTTGTATATCGGAGTAAAAACAGAAAGTGTACGTATTAACAAAAATAAAGATTATAAAGTTTAAATTTCGCATATAGCTTGCTTTGTGGGTAAATTTTCTAGTAGCAAGTTGATATTAAACACTATAACGTATTAAGTGAGTAATATAATAGTTCCACTTGGCCAAATTGGCATGTGTCCGCATCAAATTTGGCCAACTATCTGAATTCTAACGTCTCTTTGATCTCTTCCAACCTAGCATCCATGCTCCTTAATTATTGTTTTACGAAACAAAAGCTGTATAATAATGTTTTTTTATTATTTAAAAAGCAAAACTAGCTAAAAGCAAATCCGAGATATAAATTAAAGATGGTTGGCATCTTTCTCGACCAAAGAAGATGGTAAAGAACTCTGAGTAACTGCTAAGAGTGAGCGCGGATCGAATATTCAGGAATTTTTTAGTATTTGTGGTTTGCTCAATTTTTAACAAATATTTAATTTTATAATTTGATTTGCTCCGGAAATATACGGATATCCGGAAAATTTACAAGTATTTACGAATATTTACGAATATTTATGAATATTTAGTTTGATCCGTTTAATATACACAAAACTGAAAGTACATCAATTTTTAGTATCTGCATTTGAGTGAAGACTCATTATCAAATGACACGAAATATATACACTTAATTCATGAAAATAAATTCAATATAAGTATTAAGTTCTGTTTTCTAGTTTGAAGTTTGAACTTTCAGTAGAGATAGATTAACTAAATTACAATGATGCAGGTTTTCACAAAATTATCATGTGTCTAAAGAGAAGAGCCAAAAACTCAAAATTTAGTTGCTAACAAATAAAATAGAGTATATAATATAATTGCCATATGCTAGTATGTGTTAATGTGTGTAGTATTTGTTTTTTAGGAGGGGACAGGAAATGCGAAGTTGTCCCTTTACTCTTTGGTTCTACTTCTAATTTTCTATATTCAAGATATTTAGTCTTAGTGTGGGGATAAGAATAATTGGAGTACACGTGCAAATATGCTCTTCACTAATTTTTGTTTTGTTTTTGTCTAATCCAGTTGTACAATAACTCTTAATTTGCTCCTTTTTACTTCGAGTCTAATATAGCTAGGGTTTTAATGCTATAATATAAAGATTAAGTACACTTGGGAAAGGCTAAATTTGTAGTTTATTTAGTCTCAGTAGTGCTTATGAGTTATGTATGACTTATGACCGTCTTTAAGTTCTGATATTAACTTAATCACATTTAAGCACGGCCGTAAACTTCTTTCCGTTTGCATTAAGGCAACATTCTAAAACTACACCCACGCATAGTCGACCTTTATGCCAAACTTTGATTATATTACTATATATCTTTCATGTTATTATTTATTCTAATTATAGTGGTGTTGGCCCATTTATATATTGCGGATCGAGTTGTTCCATCCAGATTAAGCAAAGACAAGTGGGAACAGCTCATGTGAACCCCAAGTCAAGTACTAGCTTATTAACTGTTCATTACATTCTTAATTTGGAGTTTAACAATAATCTCACGTACGTGTATTATTAAGGGTATACAATAAAACGAAACATACTAAATTGGTATCTCAATTATTTTGATTCCTGATCTGATTGTAGATATTATACTTTCATGCTTCCCCACTAGCTTAGTATATGGTCCCTCGCTTTTTTGTTTGTATAATAATTAAATATGAACTCTATTTAATTTTATAACCACAAAAATACTAGAATGATTAGAGCATATACTATATATGTATAATTGAATATTTCATCATCACTAAAATAAAATTAGAAATTGGAAAACTAAATCAAATCATCTATGATAACTGAAATAAAAGTACGAACACTAACACAAAATCTAAAAGAAAAATGTACCAGTCATTTACTTATTTGTTTTTGATTCTCATATATTTTCTATTATTTGGTTTTCAAGTAACAATATATCATTTTACATTCTATTTTCATTTTAACTATAACTTGATGTACCTAATATATAATATAAAATCCTATGTATTAGAATAGAATTCTATGTATTTCGAATGGTTAAATAAGTATTTATTTTAAACTATTTATATTAATTTAAATTTAAAGAGTTAAACCTAACCTAACCAATGTACATATAGTGAAGAAATAAAAACTACTATGTAGAAAAAGTGAAGAAAGTATATACATTTTTAAAACAAAACGGTGATGAATGATCAAAATATTGGTCAAACAAAAAGGTTTTGGTTTGGTACGATAAAATAATTGATGTTGGCCATTAAATGTACACTACATTACACGAATAGATCGATAGTCATCAATATCATCATCATGTGACTGAATAAAACTATTCTCAAACCTATTATGATGATGTTCACATTTTAACATTAGTTTCGCAGCATGTCTTCTTTTCCCCTTATTTTCAGCGCATCATTTTTGTTTTGAAAACTTACATGCTGAAAAGTGAAAAGGGTTTAAGTGTTTAACAGTTTTTTTACATTTGCTCATGAGTATATTAATTATATTTACCACCATTCAAACCACCAATAGCACATGTGGATCCTCCGCTATAAGGTTTTGTGAGAGCTGAAAAATAAATTATGTTGGACATGCATGGGCCGAAAAGTATTGATCCTTTTGAGCCTACAACACATGGTAACCCAGGCCTGTCAGTGAAACTAATGGGCTTAAAGAGGTCCAGGGAAGCATAATGCAATTTTATCTCAAAGTCTTAAAAAACATTTAATTTTGGATGGGCCGAAAAGTATTGATCAATTTGGGCCTACAACACATGGTAACCCAGGCCTGTTAGTGAAACTAATGGGCTTAAAGAGGTCCAGGGAAGGATAATGGAATTTTATCTCAAAGTTTTAAAAACATTAAATTTTAGATGGGCCGAAAAGTATTGATCCGTTTGGGCCTACAACACATGGTAACCCAGGCCTGTCAGTGAAACTAATGGGCTTAATAGAGGTCCAGGGAAGCATAATGGAATTTTATCTCAAAGTCTTAAAAAAACATTTAATTTTGGATGCTTTCTTGCCATGTGAGCACCGACAGAGAGAGTTACCACTAGTATCCAGCTGCAATCACGCAAACGCACCGCCTTTTCTTTTACACAGAGCGTCTGGGGTCCACTCGTATTCTTCCAATCATATACTGCCACGTCAACATAATCAAATAGTGAGTTGATGAAAATGCCCCTGAATTAGCACTAAATTTACGATACAAGCACCGATTTCTTTAATTTACAATGGCCTAATCTCACGCGCTTTCATCTTCTACCTAGATTCGCTCATCCACTCTCTGTCTTAAATTTCACAAACTGTGTGTTTTCCTTCTTCGTCACTTCAATCCATAATCTCGCTCTCTCTCTTGTTCTCTTTTCTCTCTGTCTTGAAAAATGGCGAAACTGATGTTGTTGATGGTTCTCTGTATCTTGCCGGCGATAGCCATGGCGGCAAGGAGGCCACATATTGGTAGGAACACTATGGTGGTTAAAGGTCGCACCTACTGTGACATCTGCAAGTTCGGCTTCGAGACTGTTGAATCCTCCTACTACATCCCCGGTATGTATATCCTTACTCCTCTGCTTCTTTTTCGTCAGAGATCTGATAAAATTTCGCTTCTTGCAAAGTCCTCTTGAGAATCTTGCGATGTTACCTTCCTGATTCTCATGGATTAGTTTTATAGATCTGAGTGCTGATTCTCGATTCTAATTGATTAGTCTGTTTAGATCTGAGCACCTCGCTCACTTTTATTGTTTGTTTCTCGATTCTGCTTATGGCACTATAGCTTGCTTTAGATTGTAAGTACCTCCGATGATTTGTCCTTTGTTACGTTTCTTGATGTGGTGAGGATTGTTTTGTGTTTTGTAATAGGTGCGACGGTGAGGCTAGTGTGCAAAGACAGGAAGACAATGGACGAGAACTACAGAGCTGAAACTGTGTCTGACGAAGAAGGAAACTACAAGTTCATTGTCCACGAAGATCACAAAGACGCGGTGTGCGATGTTCTGCTTGTGAAAAGCTCAGACGCGAGCTGTCCTAAGATCTCACCAGGACGTGAACAGTCCCGTGTGATCTTGAACCATTACAATGGCATTGCTTCGCAGGTCAGATACGCCAACAACATGGGGTTCGAGAAAGAAGTTAGCGATGTGTTCTGCTCTGAGCTCATCAAGAAGTATCAGGTTGATGAAGATGATGTTTAAGATTAGAACCCTCTTCTAATCTCCTCTGATAAAATTGCTGTTTTTTCGATTTGGTTTAATGAGTTTCGGAGTTTATGGAAGAAATATATCTGTATTTTTTTAATATTTATTTGTCGTAGAAGATGATGATGACTCTCTGTGGTGATCGGAACTTTGTTTGTGTAAGCTGCTTCTTTATATTACTGTGTCATTTCCTAGCTTGGGAAGTGTCTTCATTCTAAATTTCTTTTTAATCGGATCTTGACTTAGTTGAAGTTTCATTAAAGCTTTCATATATGAAGGTGAAACTTGGGGGTTGAATGAATATGCGAATTAACAGATTAATTTTAGTGTAACACAATCAAAGTACACCAACTTTTTTTTTTTTTTTTTCATCAATCATAGTACACCAACTATTCACACTTAAATCTAACTCTACCAAGACTTAACCAACTTATACGAAGACTTAACCAACTATGTACTTTAAAAACAAATCAAAGCATACAAAATATGTGAAATTTAGTTTCATCTGGTTGGAAAGTGTTTTTCAGTGAATTATCTATCCCTAACCTTATCAAATAAATGGAAAAAAAATTAGTTCTTAAAGACTTGTGCAGTAGCTGTGTGTGTTTTAGTATCCCTAGTATACCAAAAACAGGCCCTTGACCCGGATAAAAACTCAGAATTAGTACTCCCATATAGTTTGGGCTACAAACTCAAATCTACTTTTATTGTTGATCAAGCAAAAAATTCTGAATGGACTTTGATGGGCAACAAACTCAAATCTACAAACTCAATTGCATTAGAAATGGGCTAAAAACGCAAGCACCCATCTATAAGGATTTTTATTTAACTTTGGGATTAAGTTTAAACAAAACTAAGCAAAGACTAGATCACCTAAGGTTTGGTATGTACACATAAACATAATGGGTTGTTGGGAAACATATAAATTTCACATTGACCAACCCCAAGTCCCCAAGCAGCTAAAAATACATCACCAAACTCAACACTCTCCATTACGAACTTTTTTTTTTAAACAAAAAGCGGAATATATAAATCATTTATGAAATTTCTTTTCAGCTTTCCTCATATAAAATTTATGCCGAAAATAAAAATAAAAATAAAAATATTAAAATAAATTTGGGAAACAAACAAAATAACGAGATGTAAAGAAAGGGCCAAAAAGGCAGTAGGCAGAACAAGAAATTGCCAAATGTCAAAACCAGTTGGTCGCCGTCAAAATCAGTTCCACACAGTTCATAGAAACAAAAGAGAGAGAGAGAGTCAAATAAACCCTAATTATTTATAAATTTACGAACAAAGTCACGAAATTAGTCGTTAATTACGCCTCCTTCACCTTCAACAACCTTCGCGTCATTATAAATTTTCTTTTTACCTTCTCGTTTCTCTTTCTTCCACGCCAAAGCCAAAAAAATCCTCTATAAAGCTTTCATTTTTTCGGTCTGAGGTTTTAGTTTGGGTATATATAAAAATCGACGTGTGTATTGAGTCATTTCCTTCTCCTACTGCTTCTCTCGTCATTGAAATCGACGTGTACCCAACAACAAAAACAGCAACCTTTCCTCTATTGCTTTCTCCATCCTCGGTTTCGTCGTCTTAAGCATTTCACAGGTATGTTTTCTCTGTATTTCGCCTGCATTGGATTTTCCGATTTCCCCTCTTAATCGCAAGTTTGTTTCTTTCGATTTTGGGTATACATATTCGCAATCAAATTTGTTAATGTGTGATTTTGCGTTTTTAAGGGTTTTCCCCTTTCATTAGGGATTTGAGATCTTTAAGTTAATCGTCACTTACCTTTTTAGTATTCTTGATTACTGCTTAAGTTAATAGACTTTCAAAAAACCCTTTTTTTGATTCTTGTTATTTGCGTAGGAATTTTCCGGAAAAATGGCTACGGTTGTGTCTCACCAAGCGATAGGGTCTATTGTCTCTCATAGACCATCCAGTTTCAAAGCTTCTCAGTTTCTGAAGGAGCCTTTGAATGTGCCTATGAAACTTAGACGCAAAGGATTCAAGATCGAAGCTACTGCATCTCAGATTCCCGTTCTTGACACCGTCTTGTCTCCTTCCAAGAACACCCCTCAAGCATTCAAGAAAAAATCAAGTATTGCTGCTTTTTTTTTCTCTACTTGGTCTCTTGAGTATATATTGATTGAGAGGAAAACAGAGTTTCTGAATCAAGTTTTTTCCAGATGAAGCGTCATTGATATTGATTAGGCATGGAGAGTCGTTATGGAACGAGAAGAATCTGTTCACGGGGTGTGTCGATGTGCCATTGACGGAGAAAGGTGTGGCGGAAGCTATTGAAGCTGGGAAGAGGATTAGCAACATACCTGTAGATTTGATCTTCACGTCATCTCTAATCCGTGCTCAGATGACCGCAATGCTTGCCATGACTCAGCATCGCTGCAAGAAGGTGACGAGAAGATCAAAAAGATTGTTGCTTTTCAAAAATATAAGCTCTACTTGACTTTTTAAGTGTCAACTTCTGTCTCTAGGTTCCGATCATATTACACGATGAGAGCGAAAAGGCGCAAACTTGGAGTCATGTGTTCAGCGAAGAAACTAGGAAGCAATCTATTCCGGTGATAGCGGCTTGGCAGCTTAATGAGAGAATGTAATAACATACAAATGTGGCTTCTCTTGTGTTTCTGATCATTCAGACTTTATATAAAGTCTCTGACTTATCTCTTTTTTGGGGTTGAGTTAGGTATGGAGAGTTACAAGGTTTAAACAAGAAGGAAACAGCGGAAAGATATGGAACAGAGCAAGTTCACGAATGGCGTAGGAGTTACCACATTCCTCCTCCTAAAGGAGAGAGCTTGGAGATGTGCGCTGAGAGAGCTGTGGCTTATTTTGAAGACAACGTATGAATGAAAGATTCTCTTCATTTTCTCGTACTTACGTAATGGTTTATGCAGATCCTTAGAAAACCGTTTTTAAATACGAGTGCAGATTCAACCAGAGCTTGCATTTGGAAACAACGTAATGATTGCTGCTCACGGGAACTCTTTGCGATCTATCATTATGTATCTTGACAAATTAACTTCTCAGGAGGTAACAAAACAATCTGGTTCCACTCTTTTTCAATCATCATTTTGGTTTTTGCGGATTTGCTAAGAGTTTCAGTTTGGTTTGCTTCTCTCAGGTCACAAGTCTAGAGCTATCTACGGGTTTACCGTTACTCTACATCTTCAAAGACAGAAAATTCATGAGACGAGGAAGCCCGGTCGGTCCTACAGAAGCTGGTGTCTATGCTTACACTAAGGTACACCGAACCAAGCCAACTGTATGTCTGGTTTCTTTATCTCCATGGTTATGAGTTTGCTGACATAATAATGCTTCTTGATTTCAGAGATTGGCACAGTACAGGCAGAAGCTTGATGAGACCCTTCTTAATTAATGTGTTCCTGAAGTAAACCGAAAAATCGTTTTTTTTTGGTTTTTGGTTTTCACACTCTTGAGTGTCTATGTAGTGAGAGAAGAATCACCAAGAACAGTTTTAAATATGTATTAGATACACAAATCACGTTTATTATACATGTTATTTCAATCCAAAAAAGCCAATTCAAGTGGAAGTGTATTTTCTTGTTTATGTTTTTTCACACTCATACATTAACCGTAAGAGGAAGCTCTGAATCTCCAGCGGTTAAGAAATACTTTCCTTCTTCAACAACCATAACTCCAACCTCATTAGCTCTGCTCAGATGCTCGCATAGACCAATCTCAAACTCAATCTCAGCTTTCTCTCCTTTACTTAGCACAACGCTTTTAAACCCGACGAGCTGCTTCTCTGCGCGTTTCCCGTCTTCTCCTCCTCTCTCGTGCCTCGCAAACATCAGCACGGGATGTTTCCCTGCCATCTCTCCTTGATTCTCCACCTCAACACTGACCTTAGTCTTGGCTACATCGCAGCCTTCTTTCCCCATTTCTGAAACCAGAGCGTACCGGACAGAACCCGAGTTAGATTGTGGTTTAGATTGGTTCAAATAGAGGTTGGTTTGAGGCAGAGTCTTGAACCGGTAAGCGTAAGTTGAGTAGCTGAGACCATGACCAAACTCAAACACTTTAGGACCTTTATAGAATCTGTAAGTCCTTCCTGGATATCCAGATGACGACCGCATCCTCATGTCTGTCATCTTCACATTCACAAAGCTCTGAGGATACCAAGTCACTGGTAATCTCCCTCCTACAATACACACAAAATTCGGAGCTTAGAAGAAACTAAAAATCGAAGCTTTTTTCACTAATTCTTGAAGGAGAAGAAGAAGAAAGACTCACCGGGATTGTGCTCTCCGAAGATGATTTCAGCAAGAGCAACCCCTCCGGCTTCTCCGGGATAACCAGCCCAAATAATGCTTCCGATCTTATCGTTGTTAGTAGCAAACGAGATATCGACGGGACCACCACAGATCAGAACAAGAACCACTGGCTTCTTTGAAGCTTTCGCAACGCTCGTTATAAGCTCTCGTTGCTTCCCGGGAAGGCTGAGATCCACACGGTCCATATCTTCTTTCTCTTGAGTCTGGTCTAGTCCCATGATCAAGACCACGCGATCAGCGTTTCTGGCGATTGCAACCGCTTGATCAATCGCAGCGTTGGAGCAAGCCACGGAATCGCATCCTTGATGGTAAACAGCGTTTTTGACGTAGCCGCGGATCGCGTCGAGAGGAGTCACGGTCTTGCAAGGCGGTCCGGCGTAGTTACCGAGAAGCGTTTTAGCGGCGTAAGCGTTTGGACCGATGACAGCTAACGAACCGCTGCTTTGGGAGAAAGGAAGGAGTTTAAGAGCGTTTTTCAAGAGGACGATACCGTTACGAGCTGCTTCGAGTGCTAAAGCTTGATGAGCCGGAGAACAGACGTCTTTAGGACTGATGTTTCCGTAGGTCAGTTTGGTTGGATCGCCGTTAAAGAGACCGAGACGAATCCTAACGGAGAAAAGATTGATGAGAGCTCTGTCTATGTCGGATTCCGACACTTTCTTCTGTTGAAGAGCTGATTTGGTGTGTTTCTGTAAGTAAGATCCGCAGTTTACGTCCATGCCGGCTTTGAGGACGTCAGCGACGGCGTCTTCAGGGGTTTTGGCGTAGCCTTGATCATCGTAGATGATTGACACGGCGTCACAATCGGAAGTAATGTATCTGAGAAAGAAGAAAAAAACAGAGACGAGTTTGATCATGAAATTAACGTGGCTTTATCAAAGAGACAACGAAACGAGACAACAAGAGAGAGAGAGACGAACCCTTGGAAGTGCCAGAGACCACGAGCGGTTCGGGTCAAGAGGTTTGGGTCAGCGCAAGAGGGAATGCCGTTGACTCGGTTATAAGCGCACATGATGCCACTGGCTCTGCCTTCTTCTATGCATTTCTTGAACGGTGGTTGGTACGTCTCAGCCAGATCAGCCAAGCTCACCTTATTTTTATAAATCAACGGATTATATTATTGAATAATAATAAAGCGATAAACATAATTAATGTGAAATTAAGCAAAAGAGTATTGTGTGATATGTGGGCTATCCAACCTCGAATCTTATGATTAGGATATTTTGCACATATTAGAATAAAGATTTGCTTTTCAAGGAAAGACTAGACAACATTTTCTTTCTCATTTGGGATAAGTGGAATTTCATTAAAATTAATGCATTTGGAAGTATATAAAGTTATTGTTTTTGATGAAAACAATAATTTTTGTTTGTTTCTAATTTCTAACAAAATTTGACTCGATCGTTACAAACCCAGTCTCCACGTCAAATTTCAACATGAAGATTATATAATGATTATCTACCTACATATCCATATATCATGACAAGACATAAAGATTAGCACATATTCATATATATTAATGACAAGACGTAAAGAGTGCAGTCAAGGATAATACTCTTTGATGCCCCCATTAAAACGGCATTATGTAAAGTTTTACTTTGATGCCTTAAAGATTGCACTTTAGAAGGAAAGCAAAGCGTTTTATTATTTCTGGACCAAATAAATGGAAAAGGATGAGTCAAAAAGAGAGAGTAGTAACCGCTGAAAAGTGAATAGTGAACAGAGAATTATTTACCTGAGCATTGAAAACGTAGCGAGTGATACCTTTCCAACGGTCAAGATCGTAGGCCGTAAAATGCTTACAACAAGCGGAGGCTTGAAGGTGACCGGAGAGTGTTTTCCGACCGTCGAAAGAGTCACCTTGTAATCCTCTGACGTAAGCCACAGCGTAAGCTCCGGTCACCGTCGGATCTTCTCCTGGAGTCTCTTGGCCTCTTCCCCACCGTGGATCCCTGAATATGTTAATGTTGGGTGCCCAAAATGTCATCCCTTTTGCTTGCCCTGCGTTGTACACTCCTCTTGCCTCCTTTCCTATTACCTGAAATCTCAATTCAAAAACTTTCTTATTTTGTAGCCCTTCTTCTAATTATTAAAGAGACTTTGGCTAATATTTAAAATACTGACACTAATTTTCAGAAAGTTTGGATTTTAGTGGTAATTTTGGAAAACAAACCATATTTTTAAAGTTATGATATTACTTTGATATATACTTCTAAATTCCACAAAAAAGCTTCTAGATATGAACAATTAATAATTCGCAAGACAGATTAAAAAATTGAGTAATTCAACAAACACGAGGAAAAGGTGTATGAGTGAGAGAGAGAACGCACTTGAGCAATGCGGAACCATTGGTAGGAGTCGAAGGAAGCGGCGGTTAAGATAACCTGAGGAAAGCTAGTGGCAGCTTTAACCGTTCCGTTAAACCGGATTCCTGGACCGACGCCGGCTACGCCGTGTAACGCCTCCGACCACCACTCGTACGCCGGAACTCCGAGACGAGGTATCCCGGGAGCTGAATTCACCAGCTGAGAGATCTTCTCGTCTACGGTTAGCCGCGAGACGAGATCGCGAGCTCGCCGGCTAATTGGGAGGTCAGTGCGGCAGAACTGGAAGAGTTTGGTGGTGGGATTCGAAGGGTCGCAAGCGTGCGGCGGAGATGACGGAGGAGGAGCTGGATCGACGCCGTGAAGAAAGAAGAAGAGAATGAGAAGGAGAGAAACCGATTTAGCCATCTTCGAAATGCGGAAAAAAAAAAGAGATGAGAGAAACTGTGAGAGACTGTGATGAGAGTGACAGAGTCTGCTTATTATTGTCAGAATCGAATTGACGTTCATACCCTTCTTATTCGCATCGGTGGTGAACTTTTTATTTTTATATAAAAAGGAAAAATACTTTGGTTATGGACTAAGGCTCTAAGCCCAATAACGCCTTCTGAATTATATGGATCCAATTTTTGGGTCTCTGATTTATGCCATTTAGAATTTTATAGCTCTAATGTTATTAATAGCTTACTTTAGGCCCATTAAAACATTTTGGTAAATCTTAAAAACATTAAATACCAGAGTTAAAGGAGTTGCAACGAAATGTAAAAGTTAACCGTCCAACCAAAAATAGGTTGTGGAAAAAATGGATAACAGTAATATTTTATATCACAATAGGTTGTCATTTCAAGCCATTTGTCCCAATGCGCTAATCACAAATAAACCTAATTTCGGCTGGTCACGTAATTAGGTTTGACTAGATAAAAATTGTCGGTTTGAAACAATTAATAAAATGTTAGTAGATAACTCTCAGCCAAGTCTTTTGGTGATGTGAGAGCTTTGTAGGAAAAAACAATTCAGTCAAAAATTACACAAATTACAAAGGGAGTTTTAGAATAACTAGGCTTGGGTGAATTATTATTCACTGTTAGTCTTGAAATGAAAATGAAGTATTGGTGTAGAGTTTATTCTTTTATTGCGGTCTCTGATAAAATCACCCACGTGCATCAGTGCATGAACGTAGGTCTTGTTAGCCACACGTGTCACTTCTGGTCGACGAGTGAGGAGTGTGTAAACGTATCTGTCCTCGTGACGTTATAGGCTTGTAGCCGGTTTAGTGACTAAACGTCTGTGATTTGTCGAAATTGCCATTAATAGTAAATCTAGTGATTGTCAGATGTCGGTAGAACACCATGGCCACGTACCAAAGTGTAACACTAACAACAAACATATTTTTATTACAATGTTTGAAAATGTCCTCATGTGTCTATTTTTAATGGTTGTCTCATTTTTTCCTAAAAATAATATCATGGTATTTTAATGTTGTAATAATATTATCAGTTGAACCTATGATGGATACATATGGACTACATCTGTTTCCTAAAATATTATTACAACATCAAGTATATACTTGAACAAATAAAAAAATGTAAATTTTACATTTACTAAGAAAGATAGATAGACAAAAAACCAAAAAAAGGAAACGCCAAAAATCAACGCACAAAGAAACAAGAATTTGGCCTTATACGTATCTTAAAATGAGATCCTAATATTTACATCATCAAAGGTTTCAAAGTTTGAGAAAGAATATATAAAGACTTCGAAAAAAATAGATATTTTGTTTCCTTGTTTTGTCGCAAATTCATTTGACCATGTAACGACTGTTCCGGTAAACATGTGGGTCCCAAAAGCTTCGGACTTCAACGTAAAAATACGCGCGGCTTCCAACTCCTTTTGAAATCCGCCAAGTTGGTACCACCGGCTCTAACCGGTCCCATGTCTCCACCGTTATAAGTGCTCTCCTTCCCACCGTTTTCTCGCTTAACCACACAAAAGCTTAATTTGCTCTTCTCTCTACGATCACCAATTTCGTTAAAAACATTCCATTTCCAGAAGAATCTTTGATTCGCGATCAAACACATACGTTTTCTTCTCCACGTTTCTTTCTCTGGATTCGAATATCCGTTGCTTGTCGGCTTTTGAACAGGTTGGTTTACCTTTTCATAACTTCGATCGATTCATAGAGCTGTCTCGTTTCGCTGGTTCGGTTGCTAAATCTGTTCATTTATATAAGTGTTTGAAGAATGGATATCTTCGACAACTCTGATCTCGAATACCTCGTCGATGACTTTCACGGTGTCTCTGATTTCGAAGACGACGAACCCTTTGGAGAGGTTGAGCTCACGAGTGGAACTGATTCGGATTTCATCGACTCTGATTTCGAGCCGGTATAGTAATAATACCTTTGAGTGTCTTCTGGGGTTATCTTACTTAATGGCATGTGATCAATGAACAAAGCTCTGTTATGTTTCTTCTTTAGAGCAAGACGAAGACCGATACGTCGGCGTTGGAAGCTAGGAACGGAAAAGACATCCAAGGGATCCCTTGGGAGAGGCTTAATTACAGCAGAGGTATATACCGTGAGAAGAGACTGCGACAGTATAAAAACTTCGAGAGCCTCTTTCGATCCAGGGAAGAGCTTGATAAGGTTTGTATTAATACCATAAGTTAGTTTCATTTATGATTGACCAAGTTGAGATTTTTGAGTTTTCGGTGATGCAGCTTGTCTTATGAATTTTTTTTTTTTTTTTTTTTTTTTGGAATTGTTTGTTGGCAGGAATGTTTGCAAGTAGAGAAAGGAAAGACTTTTTATAACTTCCAATACAACACGAGGCTTGTCAAGTCCACTATTTCACATTTTCAGGTAGAACAACTTTTACCAAACCAATGTTTGGGCAATACTCTGTTAGCTTATGTCTGGTGTCATTTTCATTTTATTTTGTTTTGTGTTTAATAATCTACAAACCCCCAAACTTTTAGTGAGACATTGCCACTGTATGAAATGGCAAATAAAAAAAAATATTTTGAAGATGTATAACATGTTTTATGTTGTTACTGTTTGTTTTCTTGGTTGTGTTATGATTTTGATCGTCGAATCTTAGATGCCATTTCCCAGTTTTCCTTTGTTCACTCTGCACACCTCTGCTCTGTAGCTGGGGGTGTTGATTCACAGAAAGTCAATTTTTCTTTTGCAGATAATCTTGAAGGCTGCTTAACATAACTTGCTCGTTCCTAACTTCTCAAAAAATAAGAATAATTTTAGGTTCAATGTTTACTCAGGTACATCACCGTTTTAAGGTTCCAAGTGATTCAAAAAAAGTGTCAAGATATGTGTCGAAGAAGAGTTTCTAGACCAGGAAACTTGTTAACTATTTCGTTATAGACTTCCATAGGCGTAGCAAATCGTTGTCACAGAGTGTATTAGCTTCCTTTGCCTTGCATTTAGCGTCTCTCAGTGTCTTTGTTAGATCATTTGTATAGAAAGAAACAGCATTTGAAGACGTGTGATTACCTCACTGCATACAGTTGCTACCTATGCTTTAACCTTTCTTAAACAGGTTTGGAGAGCAGCTGGCGCCATAAGGAAACCTTTGTTAATATGGTATGATAGGAAATGTTTGGACATCTATAAGGACTCTCTGACTTTGTCATCATTCTTTCTTACAGGGAATCTTTTTGTTTCAGCTTGCATAATGCATATTACTGCATCTTTTAGTCTTATTGTAGTTTATGGCTCCGTTGATATATATGTCTGTAAACGACTTTTAACTCTCTAAATAATATTTGGAGTGTAAACGACTACTCACTAGACCTTGAAGTTAACGTTTGATAACTGAAAGGGTCGCTTTGTTTCCTTCTTGGTTTGTGTTCTGTGTGAGGACTAACATGTTCTTTTTTCGTTGTTGTTGTGTGTTTAAGCTAAACTAATTATGTCTTTACGTGGATCGTTAATACTCTTATGTTCCCATGTTTCAGCTGAGAAACTTGATATGGGCAACATCAAAGCACGATGTGTATTTCATGAACAACTACTCTCTCATGCATTGGTCATCCTTGCTGGGAAGAGGCAAAGAGATACTTAATGTTGCAAAGCCCATTGTTCCTACAACGGTCAGCAACCTTCACTTCTTATATCACTTGTTCCTGAACTAAACTAACGTTGTCAAATTCAATCTGCAGAAGCAGCAGCAAGAAATGTTGTCACATTCTCTGTCAAGAGTCCAAATAAGCACCATGGCAGTTAAAGACGATCTGATAGTTGCGGGAGGGTTCCAAGGGGAGCTTATCTGTAAGGTACTTAGTTAGTTTTCTACAAATGATGTTAATATATGCGTTAATCTGGATGCTCGCTCACTCGCTGTGATCTCTCTTTCCAGAAAAAACACGAACCTGGGGTTGCCTTCTGCACAAAACTAACAGCAGCCGAGAACGACATCACCAATTCGGTTGACATATACAACGCACCTAGGTAACTAAGAACTGCGACTAAAACAGAACACACATCTGTTGCAAAATTGAAGACAAAACTCTTCTGACTCTATCCTTCTTCTCTGAATCAAATGTAGTGGATCGTTGAGGGTTATAACCGCAAACAATGACAGTACGGTCCGGCAATTTGATGCTACAAACTTCACTTTCATCAACAGTTTCGCCTTTGACTGGTCCGTTAATGTAAGCGAGTCACCTACCATCTCTTGAAAATCCTCTGTTTTCTCAAAAGTGTTCAAAGTTTTTTTATTATTTTTGGTAGAACGTCTCAGCCAGTCCAGACGGGAAGCTGGTGGCTGTTCTAGGGGACAGTCCCGAGTGCATACTAGCCGACGCCGGATCAGGAAAGTTCGTCCACAGTCTCGAAGGCCATCTCGACTACTCGTTTTCATCGGCATGGCACCCGAACGGTCAGATCTTAGCCACGGGGAACCAAGACACGACCTGCAGGCTATGGGACGTGAGGAACCTGTCTCGGTCGCTAAAAGTGTTGAAAGGAAACATGGGAGCCATCAGAGCCTTGAGGTTCACGTCTGACGGACGGTTCTTAGCCATGGCTGAGCCAGCTGACTTTGTACACGTGTTCGACGCTGAGGATGATTACACTCGGTGTCAAGAGATCGATCTGTTTGGAGAGATAGCGGGAATCTCGTTTAGCCCCGACACGGAAGCACTGTTCGTGGGAGTGGCTGATCGTACTTACGGGAGCTTGTTGGAGTTTAGCAGGAAACGAAACCACTTGTATTTGGATTCCATTTTCTGATCTAATCTCCAAATCATTAGCAGCATATAGGGGATAATATGAATATATGATATATGCATCCTTTTGGAGCTATATTTTGTATTTATGTGTGTGTGTGAGTTTGGTTAATTATGTTAGTGGCATTGGGAGGGGATTAAGTCGTTGTTTTTGTGGACTTTTTTTACCTTTGTTGCCACACTTGTGTAATGACGATACATAAATAAAAAACCTTGTCAAAGGTTGAGCAATTGGTTTGCTTTTGCCAAAAGTAAATCCAAACAGATCCATTTGTAATTTGGGCTTTTTTGTACCGATAGCCCACTAAGGTAGATGTGATTTGTTGGTTAATGACTAAATGGTTAGACATAAATATTGCTAGGTGATTTGATGGTGGAGATTTTTTTCTTAATATGAGAAAAAGTGATTTAAGGATGTGTCATCACTGTCATGTACTCTCATGTGTGTGTGTGTGAGCCACTGAATCAAATGTTAAAGCTTTACGAAACATTCTTCAGATTTACACCTAACCTTCTTCTAAAACCTAAATAGTCTTGTGATTCTATTTCTTCGACAACTTTTTTCTTTTTCTTTCGGAAATGTCACACATATATTAGAACTTAGTTCTAATCTCCAAGGAACTTTCTACCCATAATGCCCTGGAACAACTCAAGAGATATTTTTTTCATCGAATATATAGTGGTGTTACAATTCAAATTGAGAACTATGTCTACTGAAAACAAGAAAATGTTATAGAATCCAAAAAAAATATGTACTTATTTTGGATCTCCAGTTTATAAAAACAAAACTTGTACTAATAATTAAGAGTATTATTTTTTTAAAAAAGGGAGAAATGGACCATATGTCACGTTATTCACGATATCACGCGATAACGATAAAACCAAAGAAGAAGAAAAGGTATTGAACAGAAATCTGACGGTGACAATTCACCTAAAGTTCACATGCCATTCATCTTCCGCATAAAACGACATCCAACTGCTCTGAAAACGACGACACCCTTATTTCTGCAAAATCTTTCACTCAGTCAAAACTTAAGTTTCTATTTTCTATTTGTATCACGAAAATAGTCACAATTTTTCTTAATGACAGAAAGCTTTAATTTTTATTTTCTTCTAGTATCCCAAAAGTAATCACAAAAATTCTTATTAAAATTTCTTATATTTTTCAAATTTACCCGCTAGAATAATTTTACTGTAACGTGTTGATTAAAAAATGACCGAGCAAATTTTCGATTATCTGAAGAAAAAAAGATATTTCAAAGCGAGTCAGAGAGAGAGAGAAGAGACAGACATAAGTGGAGTGAGGTTGGTTACAGTTCACGGTGACCACACAGCTAGTAAGATGACAGTTCAATCTGGGCCATTGATCGTGAACACGTGGCAAAGATGTAACGGTCGTTGGATTTCAAAAGTTTCAGAAACGGCAGTGTGTGACGGAAACCGCGTGAAGAGGGCTAAAAAGGAACTTTTTATAAACGGAAACTTTTCAAAGTAACGATATGATAGAGTGGACACGCGCAATCCATGCCGTTGATCCTATTGGATATCATTTTCCTTTATCCTTTTTTTTTCTTTTTTATTTATTTTGTTTTGGAACGTTCGAGGTCGATGATCTTTTTTTGCTAATTCCGTGTGTAACGTGCTAGATCTTTTTTTTTGTTTACGGAATAATTAGGCATAAATTTATCACATTTTAAAGAATTCTAAAATTGTTAATGAGAGAAACGATGCCAGACAAAAAGGTTAAATGTTTTTTGGACCCCAACAAAATGTTACAACATTGAATGAATTTTCTTCTTTTTTTTTTACATCAGCGGCATCTGAATTTTGTTTGTACTGCCGTATTGGGTTCAGTGTTGAGGTAAATACTTTAGCAAACAAAAAAGTGCTTAGTTAAATACGAGGATGGCCGTAAAAAAAAAAATGCCGAAAAAAAAAAAATACGAGGATGAACGTGTGAACATTGTATTCAAGATTCTCCGATTCCAATATTCCAAGAACAGCTTTTCATTCTTACGACGTGGCACAGTTCCTAATATAAATTGAAACTTTTATAGAAATACATACAATACAGATAATATAAGTAAGTAATAAAGGCCTATGACTATGGGAAGTCCAGTTATTTGTATTTTGAATAAAAGCCATCGAAAATAATAAAATTTAGATTAGAGGGTGTGCATTATGGAGTTTTTTTTTTGTAGGAGTTGACAATTTCATTTCAAGTAATCAAAATTTCAATTCATTTCAAAAGTCCAGCCAGATTAGAGGTGCATTGGAGTTGACAATTTCATTTCCTCATGTCATGCTCCGATAATTATTCCTCATGGTCCTCGTATTATTCCATGTGAAATACAACCTCGAATAATACGGCATCTTTAAAAATAAAATAAAAAAACATATACTACGGCATCTTGCTCTTTCAGTATGCGAAAAGTCATGTATCCTCAAACCCTATATGCAAACAAAAAACGAAAAATCCATATTTCATATAAGACATATACATATAAATATAGTATAGTTACTTCGACTGTATGCAGATAATTTAGCTACAGATTGTTGATCCATATTTCATATTATATCAAATATTAAGACTCATCTTTTTTCAAAATTAAACTTTGAACCAATATTGTTATGGTGGTTAGTTTGAAAAAAAAAATATATATCTACGTGAGAAACTATTGACTAATTATGTAAAAACCCTAGAATAAACGATTAACATGCCAAAAGGGTACACAATTACACAAATTCTTAAATCTATATATTTACTTCATCTGTTTCACTTTATAAGATGCTTAAAATTTTCACATATATATTTTAAAAACTACATTAATTTAAATATTGTTTACTTAAAAAAAAACAAAATCATTATTGTATTAACCAAATAATTAAACCATGATAAAGCTGTATACAAGAAAAAAATGATCTTACGTACTGTGTGTTGCTTAACATTTATATGCTCAAAATGTTATCAAACTCGAAGCTTCTTCCGCCGTCGCCGCAAACGGCTTACGTGTTCAATGGTCACGTGCGTCCCACATGCGTACACTACTTCACCTCGCGTATTCCATGCTTCTCTGCTGAGTGCTGACTTTTTTTTATATATATACAAACAAAATGACTTTTCGAAATTTGAAACTTATTTATAAATTCTAGACGCCACTAGCTAGTTTTTCATTTTTTTATATGCAAGTGGTATATTTTAATCTACCATATTGGAGTTTAAATGTATAAAGTTGTGTGTATTATGTATAAGCATGTACGTGGTAATATTGCAATAAAAATTAACATGTATTATTTCTTATGGACAAAGTTAATTGTTTGTTGTTCTTGACGGTAATTTTGGTTTTTTTCCAGTACTAATAACGTAGTAAGTAAACCTCGTTGACCAAAAAAGGAGGTAAAAGTAAAACTCCGTATTATACTATGTTTTAGAGAGTTTATTTATTTATTATAATATACAGTGCATCTGCATGCATCATCTTATGTTTGTATTATGCTTTTTTATTTATATATGGATGTTTCATGTATGTATTATACCTTGTCCGGTAACCAATTTTGTCTAAATATTGTAATCATAATCGTGCAGGTACTCGGATTTGAACTCAATTTTTCTACATGAATAAATTTAGAAACTTAACCATGGACATTGCACGATTTCATCGGAATCTCTAAGTTAGAGCTATGATAATAGCAAATAACTCGAGTTATTTGGAAAATGCGGCTACAAATAAAATACTCAACCAGATAAGATGGCGAAAGGTTCGGACGTTAGCTAGAAATTAAAGAAATTTAGTATAAAAATGGTGATATATATAATATGGTAATGATAATGGTGGAGTTCTCCTCCAATCCATGATCCCTCTCTAACCCTCTAGAGACTTCTTAATATTTTTGTAACAATTTATGTCGACTAAAGTCTAAACTAACGCATTATAATTATCATGATGAACACTTGCGACTAAACACAACTTAAAATATTAAACATGATGTAAATCTATGTCACTATCCGCGTCTTGGGATATTTTTCTTTATTCCATATATTATTTCTTATATGGCGTCGATATTTGAATTTTGAACCTTATTCGTTTGGCTAATTAAAAATTTGCATTGCAGTTTAATGTCAATGAAAGAACTTACGTCCGTAGATGAATGAACTTGTCATATAGATTAACGTTTTACATAATCAATGAAACTATTGTCTGTATTCTATTTATAATATTGGTTAAATTCTCAAATCGTTGATTCCGAGCTAAGATTAATTTTGTTCCTAAAAAATGTCTCTCGTTATTATCTCCACTAATAAGAATGTAATAAAATAGAAAAGGATGAGGAGGAAGTAGGTGACCAATTAATAAGAATATCACAACTGTTTTGGAAGCAGCCCTGTGCCGTCGTCACTCACCATCTTAATTCTTATCTCTTCATTATCATTATTACCAACCAACTAAGTATTTGTTATAATATCACCACTACTATCTCTTATATTCACAAAATGATTATATATCGTTGAAAAAAATATCAGATATTATGATCGATTTACCGTTGTATGAGCAAATAATGTTTTGGTACGTTTACACCGTTTTCTAAACATTTTTTCATCTCATCATGTCTAAGAGCGGTATGCAAATGATCTAAGTAAAAACTCACGGCCTATTTTATGATCAATTTTGGTTCTTGTTATAAGTGAAACAATAACGCATGGCCTCACATTTTAAAAGTTAAATTTTTGAGAGGAGAAGAATATTTCTTTTAACTGAAAAAATATTGAAAAAGCACGACTTTTTAATATTATGTAGAGCGTCCCAAAATATTATATTGACCTTGCTTGTGGTAATAATTTTTGGTGTAATTATATTTTTTCCAAAACAATTAAGTTAATATGTTTAACAAACAAAAAAATCTTTAAGTTTGAAGCTAATTATATGTTCTATTTGTTACAAATATATAGTAATAACCAATATGACCAATAGAATAGAAGCAATGACTAACATTATAAGCATATATTCCCGGTGTTTTCAAAGAAGAACGTTTTGAGTTTTCTATCCATGTAAAGAAAATTTTAACAATTTTTTTTAATTTTGTTTAATTAATTATTACTTTAATATTTATTTAAATATGAAAAAAAACTAATGGTTATATTTTTAAAAATTGAAAATATTTTTTTTTTCCAAAACATGAAACAGACGAGAGAGTATGAACACAGACCCGAAACGGTCAACAAAATCAGGTGTGACTATTGACTCCAAGATCACAATTCACAAACGATATGAAGACACGTGTTTTAAACTTTACGAGCACCTGCCAGCCACTTCACTGTATCTAATATACGCGTCGTTCATTTATTAGCCGTATGTCATCTCTCTACCGGCTCGCAGGTTAAACAGTTTTACCTTGGTCACGTTGGGAATTTTCGGGTGTGTAAAATCTAGCAATTCGTTTATTTTAAGGTTTTTCCCTGCCAATAGTACTTTAAATATTAATTGTTGAAATATATTTCTGCTGTAAATGAATGAATGTCTTATTTACGTACCGTAAAAAAAGTAATTCCGCATGCAACTTTTTTAAAAAATGGGTTTGACATTATGAAAACATTAACAAGAAGTTTCGGTGAATTAGAAATTTAATTTAGGTTATAGTATTAAAAAAGAAAAAAAAAAGAATGCTTAATAAATGGAAGATATGGGAGTAAGAAAAACGCAAAAATACGAAAATAATATGAATAAAAAATGGGAATAGTGTGAGGAGACAACCCCCTACTATATAACGAGAGCCAAGCTGCTGAGGTTAGAGCATCGGTGAGGCTGAGAGCAAATACACTACAAAAGTTAAAAAAAAAAAAAAAAAAACTGAGTGTCCTCCCCAAAAAAGAAATTTGTTAATTGCGATTGTTTTTTCTCATTTGAATCTTAATTTTTCGATTTTTGCAATTTCCCACAAATCTTTGTTTTCCCCTAGCTTCTTCGATCCCTTTCTATTAATCATCTGTCTTTCAAAGAGGAAGAAAAAAAGAAAAATCGGTTTCAGGGTTTGTTAATGTTTGAATTGTTTCCGATTGAATATTCTTACAGAAAATCAAGCTTATGAAACTGTATTTTTCCGCTTTGTTTTTAGTTGAAAGCCAGGTATTTTCAGAACGAGATCTTTTTTTATAACTTCTTCTGAATTTATCTTTTTAATTATTTTTTTTCTATAGATTTAGTCGAGGGTAATTTTTTGTTCCCTCCTTTTGGATCTAAACAGAGGTTGCCTATTTCAAACCTTTTGATCCATTATTTTTTTTATTTTCTCGGAAAAACCCTGTTCTTTACTTTTGATAAGAATCAGGTGAATTTTTCGGATTCAATTTTCTTATTTTCAAATTTATTTGTGATGGAAGCTGCTATGAATAATTTGTACAGTAGCAGAACGATTCATCAACAGTCAGATTCATTTGGCGGTGGTGAACTCATGGAGGCGCTTGTACCTTTTATCAAAAGCGTTTCCGATTCTTCTTCCTCGGCGTCTGCGTCTGCGTTTCTTCATCCCGCAGCGTCTGCGTTTTCTCTTCCTCCTTCTCCTCTCTCTCCCTTCCCCGGATATTACCCTGAAGACTGCTCAACGTTCATGACCCAACCGTTTTCGTACGGGTCGGATCTTCAGCAAACCGGGTCACTAATCGGGCTCAACAACCTCTCTTCTTCCCAAATTCACCAGATCCAGTCTCAGATCCATCAGAATCATGCTCTTCCTCTTCCTCCCACGCACCATCAGAGCCTCAACTCTTTCTCGAATCTTCTCAGCCCAAAGCCGCTACTGATGAAGCAATCTGGAGTCGCCGGATCTTGTTTCGCATACGGTTCAGGTGTTCCGCCGAAGCCGACGAAGTTGTACAGAGGTGTGAGGCAGCGTCACTGGGGGAAATGGGTCGCTGAGATCCGTTTGCCTAGAAACCGGACTCGTCTCTGGCTTGGGACCTTCGACACGGCGGAGGAAGCAGCGTTGGCCTACGATAAGGCGGCGTATAAGCTGCGCGGCGATTTCGCCCGGCTTAACTTCCCTAACCTACGTCACAACGGTTCCCACATCGGAGGCGAATTCGGCGAATACAAACCTCTTCACTCCACAGTCGACGCCAAGCTCGAAGCTATTTGTCAGAGTATGGCGGAGACGCAGAAACAGGAAAAAACGACGAAAGCATCGAAGAAGCGTGCCTCGTCGGCGACGCAGAAGAAAACTGAGACGGTTCCGACGCCAGATCTAACGGAGAAAGTCAAGGCGGAGGAGAACTCGAATTCGATCGCTGGCTCTCCGTCTGTGACGGAGTTCGTTGAGTCCGCCGGATCTTCACCGTTGTCGGACTTGACGTTCGCTGACACGGAGGAGCAGCCGCAGTGGAACGAGACCTTCTCTCTGGAGAAGTATCCGTCGTACGAGATCGATTGGGATTCGATTCTGTCTTCTTGATCAGTTCGTGGGAGTTTAGGGGTAAAATAGGTAATTTAGAAGCCGCCTGCAATGGAGTTTTTGGAAATTGCAGCGAGAGGCTCTCTACTAGAGTAATTATTATGGTTAGGGGTAAATTTCGTATGTTAATATTTTGTATTATGTTTGTATTAATCTCTGTGTCGGTCCAGCTTGCGGTTTTTTGTCATGCTTCGACCATGCCACAGACAGATCTTCAGTCTATGTAATTTTATTTGCTTTCTATGTAATTTGTAGCTTCAGTTTCTTTATCTTAATGAAATCTCCCCTTTGTCGTTTATTCCATTTTTTACCCTTTTAACTGTTTTACAATGCGGTTTAGATAAACCATGAAATGTTATAGAAGATCATTTGGAACGTGGTTATATTAGTTTGAAGAATCAGTTTGTTGTATGTGATACGGGTGAATGAAAATTGAAAATCTTAACTATACCAAATAGTTCTTTTTTTACGTATCTGAAGTGAAAATTAACCAGAAACGGAATAAAAAAAGCAACGGAATTAAACTTTTGAGATACTGGTCCGGTTCATTGATGAAATGATTTATTATATATGACGTGTGTATTAGCGTATACAAAAGGTTATCGTTTAAAAGCAAATTTTGTAATAATCTATCACATGATCCGTCAGAGTAACCTACACATCAAATCATATTCGTCGGATTGATAGGAGAGTTCAAACGCATATTGACATCCTATTAATTTAGATGGATCATTAGAAGTAGAATAGTAAGATATTTAGAATAATTTTCGTTTGTGTTTGCCAGTTGTTTAAATGCGGAACTGAATCTACGAATGATGTTAACACATTTACAAGAATCCACATAACGTATGATTCATCCCCTAACACGTTTCGTTATTCCTTAATAGCTTATCGAAGCTCGTAGTCACATTTTTGGAATTTTTCTCTCGCGTTTTCAACTTTGTAACAGATCACTGTCACATAGTTTTTTTTTTCTTGACCGTTTTTAATTCACATATGTTTGAAGCTTGGCGTGTTGGTAGATGTGGCCGGCCATGCCGTAACTTTAGTGCAGCATCATCTATCATTTTATTCACTTAATTCAAACTGTAATAGTATAAAGTTTGGATTTGGCAATCAAAAGAATCAAGAAAATCAATAATTCGATGTCACTGTAGTCAAGTAGAAAAAGACAAAACTCGGCAGAAAATTGATCGAATCTTGATCACACATTTCTAGAATGGATTTTCGCCTATACACCAATGGGTGTGACTCGAAGAAATAAAAGGAAAAGACCAAAACAAGAAAAGAAAAGTCGATCGATGTAAGAGCACGAGGATTTTTGGACCAATATGTTTATACGTTGTAAATTATGCTGAAGACATTATTTATTTGTTTCTCAAGTGCATTAAAAATACCACTTTAAACTAAAAAAATAATAATCTCAAATCGCTTATGTTTATTCTATAATTTTGTGATTTCTTACAATATCGCAAATAATATTGGGAGGAATCTAAATTTGTATGCATTAGTATAATATTACAAGTAGTAAAGAGAGGAGAATTCCAAGTTACGCAAAGGAAGCATAAAGATGGAAAGATTGAAAGGCACACAACACCAAAGGAGCCCACCACAGATTATGTTCACACTCCATTTCTCTTCTCTTTCACATGCATATTTCAACCATTGTTTGTATAAAGTAGTTTGTATTTAAAACATTGCATTAAATTCGCTAGCACCATTATTATCCGTTGTCGTGTTGTGCTTCATTCAACTTCAATCAAGCACATAAAAAAACATCAGGACTTTACCTTGCAACTCAAATTCTTCAACTTCGGTGGAGTTTCAAGGCTGTCTAGTATTTGGCAAAGAACATTTTATTTCTGAATTTTATTTCAATTTTTTTTTTGAGAATTTGATTTGTATGAGCCTGAAAAACATTATTATGGTAAACATTAGAAGCCAAAATCAAAAGTTGTATAAGAAAAATTAATTATAAGCAGTTTCCTTATTTGAATCGTACTGCTGTGATGACATTATCTGCCTTCATTATTACGCTTATGTTCGAGCAAGATCAAGAAATGATAGAAAAGGCCCCAAATCATAGAGACTTTTGATAAACCCCAAAGCAACTAACACTTCCTATTTAAATAAAGGGACTATTTGCTCCATAAGGCCCAAAGACAGAAAACATTTCTTGAGCGTGGTGGATAGTGGGCCTTGAGGTTCGGAAGATTTCTGAATAAAAAAGCCCATGAATTATAAAACAATTTTTTTAACCAAAACATAATAAAAGCCCTGAATTACAAAACATAAGCTTACTTGCTCCACAAGCATCATCCCACAATCTTGTCAACCGGGTCATGAAAAAACATAATGCAGAGCAAGGGTAAGCTCCATTGCAGGCCAAGCTAGGGTACACAGGCTTTTGGATCTTCCACAGTATAGATAGAAACTCTTTGTGTTGTGAATTTGTTCTTAAATGCTACACGAAGACTTGTCAACATCTATTACAAAATCTACAGATCCCGAGACTAACCTTGAAACTAATACAAGATCCTCAAATTAAAGAAGTGAAACAGGGCCAACTATAGACATTTTCAAGTGGTAATCTTGAGTCTTTTTTTTTTTTTTTTTTTTTAAATAATAAAAACAAAAGAGCACTAGTTTCTGCAACTCTATATTAAAAATCAATAATCTTACAACACTTCTAAAAAACCAGCTTCTTGAGCTGCTCCTTGTTCCCGATCAAAGGGGTTGTATAGCTCAGCCGAATTTACCGATCTCCATCTTTTTCTTTATCGCACGTTGTCCGTGATATACAAATGAATCAATGATTCCGGATACAGTGAAAATGCCTAATACGATAAACCAAAACTGTCAGATTTGATGATTATTACAGTTACAGAAGGTAAAATTGATTGGATAAAAGAGAGAGAGAGAGAGATCAACAATCACACCTCCAACTATAGCGCAAACATTGGTGAGGAAGTGCAAGAACTCCACATGCTGCTCCGTAAAAATCACCTGCAACAATCAAAAGTAAAAATGTTTAGAAATCAGGATAGTTTTGAGTAACACATACAATACAACGTATCAGACTCCGAGATACCTTAATAGGAGAGAGATCATAGAAAAAGAAAACACCAGGCAGTGACTGCGCCTGTCCTGCTTCCGTTTTCTCGAAATGTTCAGTCACAGAGAACTGCCAAGTACAACCACAAAAACCAAACTCTTAGATATGTTACGACAAAGGTCAAAGCGGTTTAAAGAAAATGTTACAGCTAAATCAGAGGCTATAATCTTAAGAGGCAGTCTCTTCACCTGATTTGACTGAATAATATGTGCTTTAACGTCTGTGTATTCTGTAGGTACAACCTGGAATCCAAAGTTAAAGAAACAGAAAACACCAATTAAATCATCACAACAGATTCCTTCTATCTTCTTCCTTAAAACATAAATGGTGAGGCCAGTTATTATATCCGTTTCATGACTTCTTTGAGCGAGACATCCTCATAACTATCAGTAAACCGAGCTTAAATTACAGAGGACATCACGATATTGTCCCAAATAACAAGATGTGGAAATGTCTGTCTAGAGGCAAACCTTGATAAAGTACTGATACATGCCATTCAATGTCTCTTGAGACCACTGCACACTGAGAAACCAAGAATAAAGGTCAAGAGAGAAGAGATGATTCGAATTACTGAGTAATTGCACGCACGGGGTAAAAAAGAGATTTTTACCCATCTAAGGGATTCACCACACTAGGGAAATAGTCCCCAAAGGCCAGCCTGTTAACCTTGTGGCTTATCTGAAAAGAAGATACAAAGGGTCAGACTTATTATGGACATATCATCATACAAAGAGACTTAAAAGGAAATGTTTCTTCACTTACATTGTAATTGTCTCCTTGGAACACTAAGAGATCTTGTAGATGAAAGCCTGATTGACGGAAGGTTTTCCCAGGAACGAAGTGAAAACTCCCAGCCACTTTATTAACTTCCAAGTAACCAAAAATATTACATCCTTCACCTTCCTCGTCCTTAACCCTTTGCACAAAACCTTCTCTTTTACACTGAGACAAACGGGTAAGTGTCATACAACTTAGATGAGACTAGGCTCACACTATATAAAAGCAAGTAAAAACATTTGAGATAGAGCTAGTTCACCTAACACAACTATACATCACGAAAGCCACAATACCATACCTGGTCAATGATCTCAGGGTCTGACATGGCCCAACCTTTCTTTCGATAAGCTTCACGAACTTCCTCACATGAATTACAACACTCTTCATCTGACTGCAAAGTATTCCAAACATACCAAAAGCAAGAGAGGTGAAAACATATCACCACATATAATAGAATCAAATTCTATACAATGTTGTCGAAAAGCCTCTCTAAGAGTACATTCTTCCTTACAACTTTGGATAAAAAAAAGGCTTACCGCTTCGGCTCCATAGCAGGAACCACAGTATGTTTCATTATGCTCTAGCCTGCCACCATGTCTTTGTAAAGGATTATCAATCTGTGGAAACAAGAACATCAGCGAAAAAAAGAAATACAGAGGAGAAAAACACTTGAGAGACATCTACTGATTTGAAAGCAAACCTTGGTATGACCGATTCCATCTTGTCTCGTCTCTATAACATTGCCATAAGAGTCTAACCTTCTTTTAACTATATCATGCCTCTGCAATCCATGAACGACAGATACATCATAACTTGTAAAAACGTAATGTAGCCAAAGACTATAGAAAGTAAGGTACATACCACATCAAGGTGTCGCTCTCCGCTGATATCCATGGAATCAAGGCTAATAATCGAACAAGCAAGAGCAGGGAAAGTAACATCGAACTGCAAAACGATTGATTCATATGGTAAGTTGTTGTATACTCTGTTTATACAGAAGGTGTCAAATAAAGCAACAAAAGTGTATTTTTACATTGATGCGTAGCTTCTCTCCTCTCGATGTATCAACACGAAGCTGAGTCTCAGTAACAGGGTGAAGATAAAGTCCTAAAAAGAGCAGATCAAGTAAAGAGAAAAACTCAAACTTTGTTCAAGGGTTATCGCAACAAAACTAGCCTCCATTGTTGGATTTGAAAGCTACGGAAAAAAGAAGGAGACAAGAGTGCTTACGAAGCTCGGAGAAGAACAGAATCAGCATGACGATGGAGGAGACTAGTGTGATCAATCCGCCGGAAAGTGTACGGCTGTAAAAATCATCGTTGATTTTAGGATAAGCATCCAAATTCCTCAATCTGTTCATCACGCCCGCCATTACCCAGAGATCTTCACAATATCTAGGGTTTTTCCCCCCTTTTTCACTTACAAATCTGATCGATTTTCACAGCTCCAATCTCTGTTTAACGACTAAGATTAAAGCGAGAAGGCAATGATTAACGGGTTAATCATCAGACGTTGCTTTGACCTTGTTTTCTCTTTTCTTTCTCTTCTTCCAAAACTCTACGCTTTTGGGTACGGCGTGAAATACGGTAGTGTCGTATTTGTATCGTATGTATGCTTTTCAGTATCATTTATTTAAGAGAAATACGGTATTATTGGACCCATGTTTTAATCATTTTAACTAAAAAATTTGTTTTAATTTTACTTTAATTCGTAAAGATTTGTGTTCCTTTCTTGTTGACAAATAATACTTTTATTCTATAATTCTTCAAAATAAAATGAATGGAAAAGAATTGTACGTAAAGTTTAATGTTCCAAATGTTACTTACTAGAAGTCTAGTACAGTGTTGTACTATTATCTACCAATATCTAAAATATGCAGAAAAAAACTTAAATTCCCCATATCGTGTAATTATAGTGTGAAAAAGTTGCGGTTTTAAGCTAGGTAAGACTATTCTTTATCATGATTCATAACCACATGATCCACATTATGGTTTCGAGCGAGCATTTTGTTTCTAATTGAAAAACTTTAAGGTTTATATTTGGTTGTGGGAGAGAAATGCTTTTGGTTGAAATTTTTTTATAGTTTAGATGAACTGCGTATCAATACAATATATGTAAATTTATTTATGGAAATAAAGAAAAATTACCACAAAAAAAAAGTTCAATGTTATTCACCTTTTCTTTATTTTTTGTTGGTCCCTTTAAAGGCTTAAAGCCATAAGTATGTAAACATTCCAAGGTTGATACTTTTTCTGAATTTGGAGAATTGGCTCATGTGTTATTTAGCCCATAACCCAATTTAAGAGTATCAATATTTTGGTATTATGAACTTAGCTGTTTTTTTACCCAAAAAAAAAGAACTTGGCTGCTCATCACTTTTTAAAAATCGAAAAAGTGAGAAAAAAATATATTGGAAAAAAGTCGTAATCCTTGTCCCGTCCATTATTAACTCTTCACGTGTAAAGTCCATATTTCAGTAACAAAATAAATAAATGAATAAAATATGGGCTTTTAGTGGGCTTAGCACTATGGGCTGCTGTGGGTCCTTCGATGTATTATTGCCAGCCCGATTTTTCACGTCGCAGTCACAAGTCGCCGTGGGTCCCAAGTCCTGTTTTTCAGTTTTTCAGTTTTTCCCAGTCTCAGCTCCATTCTTTCGTGTTTCCTTATTAAGGTATTTCGAAGTCAAATATCTTCTCTTTTTTTTTGCTTAACCAAAAATTTAACTATTGCAAAAACACATGAGCACCTTAACTCCAATTTATGTAAAAGAGTAAAAAAAATTCCCCCTTAATGAAATATCACACAATATATTTATATTTTAGGTAAAATGATGTGAATTACGAATTTTAAAACGATTAGTTAAGATCAGTTATATATATTATCTGCTACTATAGAAAAACAGAGTCCGGATAAACAAAAGAATGCACTAATACATGCACCCTTTTCATAAAGTTACTTATTTAAGTAAACGCTGAAGATTTTTGACTTTACATGAGAAACTTTGGTACTAAGGATCGAAACGTAGTTGGGTATGACAAAGAGCTTAGTGTGTACCGTAAAATGGACAAATGAATCCACTTGGTAGTTGGTAGTACTAGCTTATAAACCGAGCACTTCAAAAGATTATTAATATATACTAATTAATTGTCAACAGTTAATTATATAATTTATTCGTAAGATAATATACTTTTATGCCTCCCCGCAAAAGGAACTCAAAGTACAATTACCGATCAGATATCAACATTTAAATAAGCATAGCAAAAACGATCAGTTCGTGGCAAATCTTGGGAACCTAGATTTACAACAAAAAGTATTTGGCAATATACGATTTTGTAATTTATAAAGTATGGAAGAATAAATATGATATTTTATGCCCTTTCGTGTCGCGATTCACCTCCAAGATTTTATGAATTTATAGCACAATAATAGTTGAGAAGTTGGGACGAGAAAACAGATTATTATGGACGTGAACATATATTCCAAAAATATAAAGTATAAGACTGAAGTACTACAGTAGTGTATATCTCGAAAAGTTTGTTGTTTGGTATTAAGAAAGTATGATTCACATATAGAAAGTATAAACATCTAATAGCACAATTTAAACAAAAGAAAAATTAGTTGTTGGAAGTTGACATTATATTAACATGTAAAATTTGATATACAGGCATATATATTTGACTAGCTAAGGGCCAATTTGGTAGTTGACATTATATTAACATGATGTTAAATTTTTTTTTTTATTTTAAGAACATGAGTGGCACGAAAATATAAATAGTGTGTTTAATATAATTGTTACTCGATTCACTCGATTAAAAAGATTTTCATGTCGGTTTAAGCCATAAGTTGGCAATACTATTCAGACCTAATTCTAATAGTTAAGTATATCTTTCATCAATTTCCTACCAAACTAATTACATGTGTCTTCACATGCCTTCACACTTTATTTTTTTTTTAACTTTCTTCCATCAAATTAAATACTAATTAATGTGCATGCCACACAATTCTCTTATATATAAATTTGAGTAAATATACTGATATGCTTGTTATTGTTATAAATATATTAGTATATTTCCCGTATAACTTGCCACTATAGTCTATGGTTACTAGCTAGACAATAAGAAAATTAATATATAAGTAATGTTATAAAATCAGATACTTTTGTGTTTCTAAACAACAAAATTCAAAAGGTTGTTTTAAAATATTTCATTGTATGCATATATTAAGATCAACCTCATAATAGATGGTGAAGTATTCGAGACATATTGTTGGGACTTTTTTGAAAAATGATTGAGAATTTGGTGGATTGGTTTTTCTTTCAAATGGAAGTACACTATTTTGTATTTTTGAGGATTTTATCTTCGTTTTGTTAGTATCACGTAACTCAAAAAAAGCATAGTAACATCTCAAAGGGGGAAATACTGAAATAGTGAAATTCTATGGTGTTCAGCATGTACGTTTAGATCAAACAAACTAATATAAAAAAGAAAGCTTCTTCCCATATAACGATTAGCATTTAAAATTTAAGATTTTTCATTTTGTTGGATAGAAGCAAAGGCAAAAATATTTGTGTTCAAATATTGTTCATAATAAATAACTGTGATATTATTTATACCATGGTAGCAATAAAATGATGGTACTGTATTATTTAAAACCAATCGAACTAACATTTTGATTCATCATTTGAAAAAAAAAAAGAACACTAAATAAATAATCCCTTTTAGCTCTTGGGGCAAGACAGTTGAAATGTGGCCCTAGGTTCCATCGAAGGGACCAACAAATCGTCAGTTTTATTTTATATATTTCTAAATAGCATTGGAAATGAGCCATATACGAATCTACAAAATAATAATATGAAAAGTGTTATTACCTTAGCTAATTTAGAGAAATAAATTGCCATAAAAAAAAATCAATCAGTGATGACAAAAAAAACATGATTAAAGTCTCAAATTTCGGTAAATACACTTCCATCATGTAATTCATTTGTAAGCAGAATAAAAAAATTGAACTAGTATAGAATTTATTCTCAGTTTTATTTCGAAACTAATTAATCTAATTAAAAAGATTATCGTGGGGGGAAGACAACTGAAAGCTGATATACAAAATAATTTTTTTAAAACTGAAATATTGTTGCAAGTGGGCAGATACTAGATAGCCACGTAGGCACAGACGCACAGTTGAGTGCCAATACGAAGAATGAAGACACATTCACATGCTTTTTTTTGTCACGAACATTCACATATTTATAAAACTCGAATTATTGGTGGGGAGAAGAATAACAAAATCATCTTATAATATGTTTACATTTTTTTGGACAAACAAGACTTATATTAAAGGACTTCAAACTCTAGTAAAGGAGAAAGCATTACAAGATTAAAAAAAAAAAGCAGATTTGGCCAAGGAGTCGGCCATGCAAGTGGCTAAATGAGAGAGGTAAACTAAACAGAAATAACATTATAAACATAAGAAATTTGATATTGATTAAGATGCCATGCACTTCATTTAAGTCACCTACCAAAAATTGAGTAGGGGAGTACGTTCTTAGCAACCTGATTAACATTATATGCCAGCATTTTTTGGCCGAAACAGTACTTCTTCTATGTTTTTAATATTCTACTCTATTCTACAGTTGCAAAAGGTTGATATCCATGCACCATATCGGAGAAGCAACGTAGCGCCTCCGGGTGCATAAGTTTTTTTGGGTTCAATTATTATTTTTGTTCTTACTTTTCCATCAACGCGTCAAGAACCCATGGACATCAAAACTTGTTCTTCTCCACGACTCCACCATAGTCCCAAGGATTCATCTTGTCATCTCTTCTTTAATTTTAACCACCTGAGATTGTAAATATCCTACAAAGCTATATTCATATATAAATTGAAAAGTCGAAAATTAAGGCATTGCTCAATGTATAGAGATCTCTCCCAAGTATAGAAAGTTTAGGCAAAGTTTAGGAAATTTACCAAATTCATTATGCATTATATAATTGCGCTATTGTAGTTAACACAAAATTTAAAAGTGCCATCCTCGAACATTATCAGCTAGATGATTTGTTTTATATAATACCTTTTTAGTTACACAATTATGACAGATGGAAAAATTGTATATCATGTAATATAATTGTTTGCAATATATATCTGATGAATTAATGAGGAATTACTAATTTTGTAATGGGTATGAACAAATTGGAAAAGCGTAACAAAGCTTAGATACGACTGAAAGCAAAACTAGTTTTTTTGTTCTGGTTCGGATACATTACAGTTTTTGTCACCACTTCAACCCTGAGGAGAGCCGACTTGAAATAATATATATATATATACATATATACATATATATATATATATATCTTTTCTATTTTTTGGAACTAACTGTGAGCATTTATATGAAATCTATATAGTTTTCTTTGGCTCGTTCTGTCTTTCTCTGTTCAGTGTCATTATTGTTTGAGATATTTTTATAAATATAAAAATTATATATATATATATATATATTAGTACAAAAATATTCATTTCAAGTCGGCTCTCCTCAGGGTTGAAGTGGTAACTTTTAATTCTAAAAAGTTATATATATATTAGTACAAAAATAATTTAACTATACATATAGGAGTAAATGAATAATAAAAAGAAAGCGAAAATAGAATGAGTTCTAGAAGGAGAAGGCCCACATTGTATCAACCATGCATGCGAGCAAGTTTTATTGAAAAAACAAAAGTCTTCCTTAATGGGAAAGTTATGCCAAGTCCCCTTTTGTGGAACGGGGACCCTGGCTAACAATCAAAAAGCCAGTAAATTAATTAGTGATCTTACACCTCAAACAATTATTTTATTTTCGCAAAATGGTTTAGCAGTTGAAGTCTTATATGTTTCAATTTTATTTGTGATGGAAACCCTAAATTTCGAAACAATAAAAACTTTTAATAAACTCACATGTTTGTAAGTTGTAACCTCCATTAGTTGTCAAACCATACACGTAAACCTAACTGTTAGTCTTCTGTGTTCATATAATTCCAAATACAACAAATTGACAAATAGTAAAATACCTCATAATTCTATTGCGTTTTATAGCTCTGTGATATAATTTGGTTTGAACAAATTTTTTTATTTTTATACTAATTACTCGTTTAAGTTTGTTAGACTCCAGTACTTATTTATACATGTTTATTTAAATCCAATTAACAACTAGTTAAATAATCCAAATTGTAAGTTCATCAGTTCATTTTGGATGTCTGCCATACACAATACATTTACATTATATACTGAAAATACCAATAGAAACATCCTTGTTTTCACCAAAATAATCCATCCTGTTTCAATTTTTACATTATAAGTTGAAAATATATATATACATATATATATATATCTTATACAAAGAAAATATGAAACTATACATAGAAAAATAATGGTCTTTTAGAAAAGGTGACACATATATATAAACCGAAAATTACATCGTGTCGGAGATATAATTTGTTATATGGAACTATTTACGATGAACTTTTGCGTTATGGTGATTAGTTCATGAACCCAACCATGCCGAATTTAGCTTTTCTCTAACCGCCGCCAAATTTAAAGAAAAATAAATCAAACCACAGCCTCACAACGTCTTAATTAGCAGCACGAAAAGGATCGGAAACTTCCACACATGTGTTTATGACTTTGTTTATATATGTACAAATGAATCAAAATACAATGAATATATAAAATGTGCTAATAGAGCTAATTTAATAAATTAAAACAATAATAATTAAATACCAAAGTGATTGTCCCCGTCGGAACAAGAAATCTAAAGGTTTTCTAGTTTCGTGCCCTTTGTGGATTCTCAAGTAACGAAAGTCAAGAATGTTGACCCATGTGGTCGTCTTTAGCTATGAAACTATATTCAAACATCAATTAGACGTAATTTAATTATAGAGTTCAAAAAGGCAATACAACAAACCGTTGCGAATATTAATTTTGTATATAATATGGGTCCGTACGTATAATACGAACAAGGGCATGCATTTGCAATGAATAGAGAAAAGTGATACATACACGAAGGAATTTTAACTTATGCGATTTTTTATGACATGACAAAACTATAGAGAGTTTATAGCTACTAGTTTTGATCTAATACCATAGAATGTTAGATAGATTTGGGTGCAATCGTTTTTTGTTCCTGTGGGCGTTCACCATTCTAGTATATATTCGCTCTATTTCTTTGATGTTTCCCGGTTTTTTATTAGGTCTATATTAGGTCTAATTTAAAAGCTGTTTAAAAATTCCCCAAAACAAGAATTTTGATTTCCTCTAGTTTGTTAAACAAATGGATCTGTGTGCTATGGTTATAGCTGGTTATAATAATGTGATCGTTAGACCGGAAGACTGTATTTATAACTTAATTCTTCATAGCCATATATATCCTTGCCCGTATTACTTGAATTATATGGTTCAAGACATAGATAAATGCATACTATCTATTTCCAATAAAAACCAAAAACTATGTACTAAGCAAACAGAAATATACTTAATGCATAGAAACTATATAATTCGATATATTATCCTTGAAAATATACTCTATCATTATGTAATTTAAGAATAATATTTTGTTTCATTTTATAAGATGTTTTACAAGTTTTCTATGCAAATTTCAATGTTCTGTGGTACTTTTTAACTTTTTAAATTCTATAGTATTTTTATGATTGGATAAATATTATTTTTAACTAATTTTTAAATGATGTTTCGTTTAAAAATATTAATTTCTTAAATTTTGTGATTTTAAGTTTAAATTTTTATATAATGGGACAGGAGAAGTATTAAAGAGATCATAATTCTGATTTCACTTTCTCTTTTGATCTTCAATCTCTTAACTCTCACATCGATCTTTCTTTTTAACGAAGAACAAACAGAATTTCATAGTTTATAGATTACGACCTCCGTTTATTGATTTTGAGATAGAACACTATATTATTCTATATTGGTATTGCATATGCATTAATGCATATATATGAGGACATATGTATGTATATATAACATTTTGAAGTGGTTGATCTAGAAAAAAAAGTCTCTGAATATGCTGATATGAATTTCGGTGAAATTTAGACTTTTTTTTATTCCTAATCTTACGAATAGGAACCGAATATCATTTTCGAGATCATGTAGAGATATGGTTTTTGATCAAATCCCTTAATTCATTAATAGTTGATATGTATTTTAAAAGTCGCATAATCTTGGCAGCTCGCGATTAGTGGCTAGTGATTGATTCCATAATATAATACATTTCACCCATTTTCAGTCATTACATTCCTTGAACTCTACCACCATATCTAACTTAAGATTTCATATTCAAAACACAAAACACTTGGAAAATTCAGTTAGTAAACATATTAAAAATAAGAACCATTTATTCCAACAGAATATTTACGACAGAAGCCTCTTTGAGATCAGTTTTCGTCCTTTTTGGTGTTTATACTCTCTTTAATTTTATTAAGAACGGCACTCAGATATAAGAACAATTAAAAAAAGTAATCAGCAAATAACCATTCGTAACATAGCTCGCATGATTAAACAACAATCTGATTTCTTAAATAAAAATGATTACTTTTGTAAGCCATCAAAAGCTCATATCTCAGAAAAGAAAACGTTTATATATTAAAATGACTATGGATCAGAAAAGAAGACTCACATTTTTTTTTTTTAGACATACAGGCCAATCATAAAAGTTTAGACGTTTTCTAATCCGAAATCCAGATATTAAAATCCATAATCTTCTCAAAATAGGAACAAATGGTCTTTCTTTTCTTTCTTTTTTTGAACTTCAACAAATTAATTTATTTCTGTAATATTTTCTGTAAGTACTTGTTTACGATATTTTATTAATAAGAACTATTGCCTTAAATTTTCACACGTCTAAGAAATTCAAAGTAAATATAAATGTTTCTAATATATTTCATTCGCATTATTAAAATAACAAAAACAAAAAACCCTCACGTAATATCTAAAAGATATGCTGTAAAAAAACCCTTTTTACCGGAAAAACTAACACTTTCAGTAAAATTTAAATATCAATTTCTTCTCAAGGATCCAATGGTATGGAATTTAAAATAGAATTAAAAGGCTGAAAAATAGAGAAAGAGAGAGAGAGGGGCATAATGTGGCCAAAAAGGTACAGAGGGAGCCACCAATGATAGATGGAGTTTTTTGCATTTTCTTTTGTCTCATATTTTTTTTCTTTCTCTCTTCCTTCTTCTCACACTTCTCTCTCTCTGTCTTCCCTATAAATTCCTCTTCTCCTCCTTCCCCATTTCCTCCTCCTCACTCTCTCTATCTCTCTCTACACTTCTCTCTCTCTCTCTCTTTCTCTTTCTCAACACTCGTGAGAAAAATGACGAACCAGAATGTCATCGTCTCCGACAGAAAAACCATCTTGGGTTTGAAAACCGTCACTGTCTCTGTCTCTGACTCTGCTCTGTTCTCTTCACCTCCCGCTTACTTTTCCTTCCCTCGTCGAAAATTCTTGAAACTCCTCGAAGCAGCCGACAACAAGAACACTCTTGGTGCTGGAAAGATTGCATCTTGGGTCGATTCCATGCGTGATTCTTCCCCTACACGTCTCAGATCCTCTTCTCATGACTCTGTCTCAGATCACGACGATCAAACTTCTTGGATCGTACGTTAATTATCTGTATCTTACCACTTAAGTCTCAATTACCTATTTTCCGGGGTTTGGAATCTGATCATGATCTTGTGTGTTTTAGGTTCGGTTTCCTTCGGCATTAAACATGTTTGATGAGATTGTGAATGCTGCAAAAGGGAAACAGATTGTTATGTTTCTTGATTACGATGGGACTCTTTCTCCCATAGTTGAAGATCCCGACAAAGCTTACATAACCCATGAGGTTTATATTCTGTTCCATAGCTTAATAGATCTTTTGGGTTTAACTAATAATTTTGTTTATGAATTTAATAATGTATATTTTTGCTTTTACAGATGCGAGAAGTTGTAAAAGACGTGGCTTTAAACTTCCCGACTGCTATAGTCACCGGAAGATCCATAGATAAGGTACATTGCAGTTTACCAAATATTTACTAATTGATTTTATTATTTTTAACCACATTATACTGATGGTGAAATATGAAATTTTGTTTTCAGGTTCGTAGTTTTGTTAAACTCAACGAGATTTACTACGCTGGAAGCCACGGCATGGACATTGAAGGTCCGACAAACGAAAGTAATTGCGGCGAGGTGGGAAAACAAATGCAAAAAAGTCAATAGAAATTTGTTTTTTTTTTTTTTTTTTTTATAAATCTGATTTCTTATAGATTTTGTTTTGTGTGAAATGATCACAGAGTAATCAAGGATTATTGTTTCAGCCTGCTCGTGAATTTGTACCGATGATCGAGAAGGTGCATTTTGATATTATTATTTTTTACATGATTAATCGAATTGCGTACCAATTAAAACAGTAAATATATTTAACTTTATCGGATATATATAATAATTTCAGGTGATTAAGATTTTAGAGGAAAAGACAAAATGGATCCCTGGGGCTATGGTGGAGAACAACAAGTTTTGTCTGTCCGTACATTTTCGACGTGTTGATGAGAAAGTAAGAACAAAAATGATGATGAACAATCAAACTTTCTCTTCTTTGAAAAAAATGAAATGGCTCAAATTACTTTTCTTTTTTTTTAAATCCGAAGTACTTAAAGACACCTAAAACACTTATTTCTTGAAAATGATTAATGTAACGTATATATAACTTTCAAATCAAGAAAAACTATTGGTAAAGATGATATTTGATCGGTATTTCACTTTGCAGCAATAAATATTATAAAGCAAAACACCACTATTTTTTTTATATAAATGATGATTATTTTGGTAACCGAATTACTAATATTTTATCAACAACATTTTTTGTTTTTAACAGAGATGGGCTGCATTGGCCGAACAAGTAAAATCAGTTCTAATTGACTATCCAGAGCTGAAACTAACCCACGGTAGAAAGGTAAAATTAATTTTTATCTCCTTCGTTTTACCACGCATTAGAAGAATTTCGACCCCAACAAAAAGCTGATAAGTATATTAATTTATCTATTTGTAAAAACAGGTGCTTGAAATCCGCCCCACGATCAAATGGGACAAGGGCCAAGCTCTCAATTTTTTGCTAAAATCATTAGGTGAGAGAACCCACATATAATACTTGTTATTTGGAAAATTAAATAATTATTAGATCTTTAATTCTTATATATTTAATCTGATTAAAATAGGATTTGAAAATTCGGAAGATGTTGTACCGGTGTATATTGGAGACGACCGTACCGATGAAGATGCGTTTAAGGTATATATAGTGGCAATTAATCACAACTCGTTATTTACTATTTTACTGTATTTTACAGTTTATAACAAATCTAGTTTTATTAAAGAGTTCAATTAAGATTGACGTAGTAAATTAACGATGTAATTCTATAGGTTTTACGTGAAAGGGGACAAGGTTTTGGAATTCTTGTCTCAAAAGTTGCAAAGGAGACCAATGCCTCTTATTCTCTGCAAGACCCTTCACAGGTTAATGAGTATCTGAAGCGTTTGGTAGAGTGGAAGAGGAAGACAGTGGGAAAAAAGTGAAACACGTACAACATAAATAACACCTGAGTTTATTTCCAAATTTTGAGGAGTTATTAAGTACCGATAAATATAATTAAACACCCTTTCAAGAAAATTAGTAGATGGCTAGAGGGTGTTTCGCCAGATGTATTTATATTTTTTCTTCATCGACCCGAAAATTGTAAATTTCGTGTAACGATTTAGAAAAGAAATTACTGATATATATAACTCATTCTCATTTTAACCTTAAACCAAAAAAAAACTCATTCTCATTTGATCATTCTCGTATATTTTGATATATATACAAAATATATCTATATAAAAACTTAGTACATTTTCCACTACCATCGCCATCAATACATAAAATATTATATAAAGAAATTTGCACAAAAAAAAGAGGAAAGAAATATATTATCAGACACATCCGTGCTTCGATTACACACGTGGACACGTTCACTCATTTACTATATTAATTAAAACAGTTTAAACAATGTTGTAGAATATAGACGCAAAAATACATTAAATTAAACATGTTGCGGTCTCTCATCTAATTAAAGAAATGATCATAAGCCAAAATTTTGAAACTTTTTGATGATATTTTCATGTTAATTAGGACTATAAATTAGTTTTCCTTGAACACATATTGTTTTAGCTTAGCCATTGCAACATTTATATAGCGAGTAACAACTGCAAAGTCTATTGATTATTTTGAGTTTTGACATAAAATCCTTAAAGATTAAAATAAACATAGCATTTCAAATGTTAGTGCTTTGAAATTCTAGTTAGATTGAAGTCGGTTATATATATAAAGATAGATTCATGCTAGATTGTGATAGCTAGGGTATGGGTCAGTAGGCTTTAATTATTCATTACTTTTAGATGAAAACCCATAGCATTTACATGATACTCGCGCTACCTTCACAATGTGACATGTAATAAAAAAGATTTATCTTTACGTTCAACCAATAATTATTATTATCACAGGGAGATGAAAACATCAATTACAAGTTGCATGCAGATCAAGAACATGCAAATTACGAAGACCAATTTTGTTTATTGGTAACGTTTGTAATAAACTAATCGTCTCCAGATATCTGAGACCAACTAAAGTCACAAGCTTTTAATTAAACAATACTAATACTATTAATTATTGTTCATCATATATAGCTATATCTAATCAATACAACAATAACACTCAAATATCTTCATAAGTTGACACATCAGATCTTTTAATCTTTGAGAAGCTAACACATCAGCTATTTTACAAACCAATCAAATTAAAACATTAATACAACTCATCTACTTATTTTAATTTTTAAATTTAAACCCATTAAAAATCCAAATACAGTTTTTGTTAATAATTTGTTTTATTTTTTAAAAAATCAAACCCCAAATAATAAACAACATCAAATAAAAAAAATCTTTGTTTTATTGTTTGTCAAATACAAGCTCAAATAATAAATAACAGCAAATAAAAAAAAAATCTTTGTTTTATTTTTTGCCAAACCCAAATCCCAATAATAATTAACAGCAAATAAATAATTTTTTTAGCTATTTGTTTTTTTTTACAGAAACGTATATGATTTAAAAAGTGTAGGCTCATCAACAACTATGTTTCCATAACAACAACGCAAAAAGTCTTATGTTATAAGAAGCTCACACATCAACAAAATTTTGAACCAATAAAAACATAACAATAATACATATCATTCATACACTAATAAAATCAGTTTACTATTTTGCAGACCCATTAAAAAGCCCAAAAGTTTACAAAAAAATGGAAGTCAAAAGCAAATGAGAAGAAGCTCAGACCACCATGACTTGGAGATTCGCATTTCCAGTGGTTACTCTGAACAAATTTTCATGGGTTTAGCTGGAATAGAGAATTCTTTGGTTTCAGCAGGAAAATATGATTTTCAGTTTTGCTAGGAAAACATAATATCTTGGTTATGGCGGAAAAATGAATTATCGGGTTTGGCGGAAAATGTGAATTTTTGGTTTTGGTGAGAAAACAAAAAAAAAAATATTAATTTTGACGCGAAAACAAAATATCTTAGTTTTGACGAGAAAATGCGAGGAAAATGCAAATTTTCAATTGACAAAAAATATGATTTCTTGGTTTTGATAGGAAATGCAAATTTTCGGCTTTTGATGGATAATATGATTTCTTGATTTTTTTCGGGAAAATGTGATTTTTTACTTTTTGTGGGAAATTGTAATTTGAAGATTTTGGCGAAAAATGTAATTTCTCAGTTTGATGGGAAAACAAAATTTCTCGATTTTAGAAGGAATAAGCAATTTCTCAGTTTTGATGGAAAATGCAAATTTTCAGTTTTTTGACATATAATGTGATTTTTTGGTTTTCGTGATAAAATACGGTTTTTTAGTTTTCGCGGAAAACACAATTTCTCAGGAGATAATACAGTTTTTGGTTTCTGTGAAAAAATATAGTTTATCAGTTTTGGTAGGAAGGCCTGATTTATAGTTTGATAATTTTTTTTTGCGGGAATTGACGATTTCTCGGTTTTCATGGGAAAATAAATTTTTTGGTCTTGGTGAAAAAACTTGATTTCTCTGTTTTGATGGGAAAACACAAGTTCTCGCAGGATAATATGATTTTTTGGTTTTTGCGGGAAAATGTAATTTCTTTGTTTTGGTATGAAAATGAAATTCCAAGTTTGACGAGAAAATGAATATTTTTGGTTTTGACAAGAATATGTGAAATGAAATTTTTTTGTTTTATCGAAAAGTGCGATTTCTCAGGTTTTTTAAATGGCAATTTGCTTTATATAATTTCAAAGGAGGATCAAGTGGCAATTTAATAGAGATAACAAATTATATTTGCCATTAGCATAAATGTACTTAAAAATATATTGTTTTATTCTTACATATATATTTCTAGATAGTTAGCTAAACAAATTTGATAGTAGATTATAATTTTAAAAAATAAAAAAATTAAGGATATATAATTTTTATTCATATTTAAAACATATAAATACATAACTTAAGCTAATAAAAAATAAATATAATACTGATTTATATTATAAAAATAATTTTATTATATTAAAACTAGAAATATATCCCGCAGCGTAGCGCGGATATATACCTAGTTTATTTATAATAAATAAATTATACTACTCTCTCCGTTTTTTATATAAGATGTTTTAGAGATTTTTTGTGTTTAAAAATAGTTAGATATTTTCACATATCTATGCAAAAATTAATTGTATTTTTATTATTTAAACTGTTTAAATTCTACATGTATTTTTTTATTGATGAAATTATTTTAGAATTAATGATAAAATATATTTTATTTTGGAAAAATATAAAATTAAATGATTTCTTAATTTATGTGTAAAAACCTTAAACATCATCCAATAAAAAAGAGAGAGAATATTAATTAAGTGGTACTGAATGGTTTCCATTTCAAAAGAAGTTGTCTTATAAATATAGATCAGTGATTAATTTTCTTTAAACGTTAAAATTATTTAACAGTTTTATTTTGATCAGTCAAAATAATGTCACGTTATAAACATATTAGAAAATCTAGTAAGTGGACTACTCGATGGTTATATTCTTTTTAAAGAGGTTAATTAAATGGTAAAAAGTTTGGATCACTCATAATCATCAAAATAAAGAAAAACACTATTTATAAAAGAAAATCAAAGAATTGACATAATGATAGATCTGATCTTAGTGCTTCCTACTTCCTGCTGAGCCATGGAAGGAAGCTCAACAAGTGGGAAATAATAAGATTCAAGTGCCTGCGAAGTTACCTGTGATGAGTTGGTTTTGTTGTTGTTAATATGTGTATACGGCTTATTCCTTTTGAAAAGACAGCTTCTTTCTTTTCATGTTGCCATGTGTTATTATACTGTCAAACAAATATCAGAAACATATATTAAAGATAGCATGCAAATAGAAATCATATATTTAATGACAAATTGGCATGGTTATATAAGTTGGTGTGCTGAAACTGTGAATTTAGGTGTTTAAACGTCTCGATTACGTACTGTTAAAAATATGTCGTGTAAGATAATTTATCAATTGCGTAAATATGTTAAAAGAAAATAAAGGGCAGAAGAAGGACGAATCTTGTTAAAGTGAGGTCTCTTTTATTTTCCCCTTTGAAGAAACTTTTCATTATTTAAACAAAAAGACATTTATCGTATTATAATTTATTGTTGTATATATGTGGAATAGTGAGTTTATTTTTCGAATGGTAGGTGGTGAAAAGGAAAGCCGCTATAAAGCAACACTACTTAGGTTGAATGAGGAGTTGGAATCCACTTAAAGCGGTTTAATTTAATGTAAAATAAACATATAAAAAGGCTTTATATGTATACTATTTGTTACATTACACTAATCCTTTCTTTGTAATATGTTAGATATATTTGGACTAAGTGGGACATCGAACATGCATCCATTCCACGAGAAGACATGACTTGTTGATACGTGTAAAGAACCTAAAGCCGTTAAGTGTGTGTGTGTATATCTTCACTTATATTACCATATTAATTACTTATCGTCGAGATACTCCATCATTATTTAAAGAAGAAACCCCATCATTGGTGACCCGACTTGAAAAGAGTAAACTAAGTACGATTTCCTCCAATTATTGGGATCAACTCTATTTGCCTGCACTTAGTTTTATGCATGGTAGCTTTTCTACCTAGTCATTTTTTTTACTATGACTGTTTTCTACCTAATTGTATTCATAAAGTTTTTTAGCTCAATAATCATTCGATGACGTGTTTTTATGAAACTTTTCGTGAAAGATCTATTCATCCCGATATTGATGGGACGCTCGATATAGCAAGGTAAGATACATTGAGTTATCAATAAGAATGAATGAGAAATGGAAAAAAAAATATAAAATTGTAAAAGGCTAGATATTCATAAATAGATGTTTTGGATGGTGACAAACAAAAAAAGAAGAAGATATGATTAAGGAAATACATAAGAAAATAAAAAGAGAGCAAACATAGTCTGTTTTCTATGTGACAGCTATCAGTGAGCCACTAAACTATGCACATGAACAATGGGGTTCATGTGTTACTCTTTAGATCTGTGTCTCAGTTTAACAACTAATATGATATATAATTTTATAAGATCAGTTTAAATCTTCAAATCCTCAATATATTCCTAACAATTGTAGTTGAGAGCGATCTGAGATTATATTTTATATTATTTGAAAAGTATTAAAAAATACAACAATTTATTTTGTTGGGTGATTTTGAAGGATTCCTAAATCATACTTCTTCGAGCAGT